TGTGTCAGCTCGGGCCTTCGGCCCTCGCCCTCCCTTTTAGATGGGTGTCAACTCGGGCCTTCGGCCCTCGTCCTCTCCCTTCCTTTTAGATGTGTGTCTGCTTGGGCCTTCGGCCCTCGCCCTCCCTTTTAGATGGGTGTCAGCTCGGGCCTTCGCCCTCGCCCTCTTTTTTAGATGGGTGTCAGCTCGGGCCTTCGGCCCTCGCCCTTCCTTTTAGATGGGTGTCAGCCCGGACCTTCGGCCCTCCCCTCCTTTTAGATGGGTGTCAGCTCGGGCCTTCGGCCCTTGTCTTCCCTTTTGATGGGTGTCAGCTCAGGCCTTCGGCCCTCGCCCTTTTTTAGATGGGTATCAGATTAAAAATGGTCAACGTAAACCTATGGAGCGTAGGCGAGGCGCTTGTGCAAAACCCCGCGCTTCGCGCGGGGTTTTGCGGCACGCGCCTCGCGGGGCGTCAAAGGTCGCTTGGTTCTGGGCTCGTAACATGATCCTATTCCTATAACGATTAGGATGGGACTCATTCTTCCAATCAGAATTCGAAACCTGAAGCAAAAACATGAAGCAGAAGTAGAGTCACTTTGGGCCTTCGGCCCTCGTCTTTCACACATTTGGACTCATCCTTCCACTTAGACTCTTGTCTTTCCTTTATTCGGACTCATCCTTACACTTAGACCCTTGTCTTTCCTTTATTCGGACTCGTCCTTTCATTTAGAGTCACTTCGGACTCATCCTTTCACTTAGAGTCACTTCGGACTCATCCTTACACTTAGAACCTTCTTTCCCCCGTTGGGACTCATATTTCAACTTAGAGTCACTTCGGGCCTTCGGCCCTCGTGTTTCCTCAGTTGGGACTTATCCTTTCACTTAGAGTCACTTGGGACTCATCCTTCCTCTTAGACCTATGTCTTTCCTTTATTCGGACCCATCCTTCCATTTAGACTCAAAAATTCCACTCACAAATCAAAATTTTAAAAGCTGAAGCAAAATTGCTTCTAAAATCAAAATTTTAAAAGCTGAAGCAAAATTGCTTCTATAATCAAAAATAACCCTTGTCTTTCCTTTATGTTTTTCCTTTATTTTTCGAAAATTCAACACTTGAAGCAAATTTGCATCAGGTTTCGAAAATTCAAAACATGAAGCAAATTTGCTTCAAGTTTCGAAATTTCAAAACTCGAAGCAAATTTGCTTCAAGTTTCAAAAATTCGAAACGTGAAGCAAAAATGTGAAGCAGAAGCATGCTTCTGCTTCGGATCCATAACAGGATCCAGCTTATCCCCCCATAAATTTTTCCCAATATACAGAATTTAGCCCTAAGTTCTTCGCCGGTTTGCCCGGCATGGTCAGAGACGGAGAAAAATTTAGCCTCTCTTCTACCTATTTCACCTGTCAATCATTTTTCCTCTCTCCCTCCCATCATTCTCCGGGTACGGTAGTCCAACCCGATAAATTTTGAACTTTTGTAACTTCGTCAAAATGTACCGAAAAATTCCGAAAAAAATATTTTTATATCCAGCTCGATGAGAGCTTCCGAATGATATCTCATTTGTCATATCTATCTTGATTTTTAAAATTATAATTTTTCGGCCGAGAATTTCAGCCGAAAAAAATCACTGAAATTTTTAAAAAATCATATCTCGCCCAAAGTAAACCTTTTTTATAAATTTTAAAATTCTATAAGATGCAGAAAATTCTGCTCTATCCAGGAAAAATACTGTCGGCCCGAACCGCCGGCAAAAATCCCGAAAAAATTTCGAAAAACCAAAAAATTTTGGGTTTTTCTAAATCCGACCCTTACACCCCCAGTTTCGAATTTTTTCGAAATTTTTTGAGCTCAAAAAATTTCTAATTTTTTACTCTATTTTATAAAGCAAACCCCATCACATTCCGATAATCCGACAAAAAGTTATGATCCCATAAAAAATCCCTCACATCCACCAAAAGGGATTCCCCCCCTTTTGAAAAATTCGAGGGGTCAAAAATTTTCGAATTTTGACCAAAAAATATCCTATATGGTGCATTGATATGCGCTAAATCCATATCAGGTGTCAGAAAAATTCTAAAAAATTTTTCAAAAAAGTTATAGTCCAAAAAAGTTTCGCGACATTTGCGAACATTGGCCATAACTTTTTCAGACTCAAACAGACCCCCGACATATTATACCTTTTTCGGAGCCCCTCATTATCCCCTCTTGAATGACTACTCATTCACCGATATCCACTTTAATCTCAAATCCCGAAACTCTCGGATTTCGTAGTTCGAACTCCGAACTTCGACTTTCGACATTATCCTATATCCCACTAAGCTCCCCTCATTATTTCCTCTTGAATGATTACTCATTCGACCGTACTTCCCAATCCCGAAAATCCCGGATTTCGAAGTTCGAACTCCGAACTTCGACTTTCAGCTTGATCCTTTATCCCATTAGACTCCCCTCAGTCCCAGCTCTTGAATGACTACCCACTCACCCATATCCCCCAACCTCGTAAATCCCGGATTTCGAAGTTCGAACGCGAAACTTCGAATTTAGACTTTATCTTTTATCCCATTAGACTCCCCTGATAATCCCCTCTTGAATGACTACCCACTTGCGAATATCCCCAAACCCCGAAAATCCCGGATTTCGAAGTTCGAACACCGAACTTCGAATTTCGACATTATCCCTTATCCCATTAGACTCCCCTCATTATCCCCTCTTGAATGAATACTCATTCGACCATGCTTCCCAATCCCGAAAATACCGGATTTCGAAGTTCGAACTCATAGCTTCGACTTTCATACTTATCCCTTATCCCATTAGACTCCCCTAATTATCCCCTCTTGAATGACTACCCACTCATCCACATCCACAAATCCCGAAAAACCCGGATTTCGAAGTTCGAACTCCGAACTTCGACTTTCGGCTTTAGCATATATCCCATTCAACTCCCCTCATTATCCGCTTTCGAATGACTACTCATTCGACCATATTCAAAAATCCCTAAAAATCCCTAAATCCCGGATCCCTAATTTAGAATTCCCCTTATTCCACTTTCAATAAACCCTCCCTCAACTTGAAACTTGCTTAAGTTTCGAAATCCAAAAATTTAAACTCGAAATTTCTTCCCATCAATCAAAATTTCTCTCTCACCTATGAGATTTGCCCCCAGGATTTCCTCACTTTAGAGAAATCCGACAATTATCGGTAAGACAGTTTTCTTACCAGAATTTTGTGTCAAGCATAAGTACCCCTAAAGTTCGAATTTCGATTTTGAAATTTTTCCTACCTATATCTACATATCCCAACTTAAAATCCTACCAGCAGAAATTTTTCGGTAACTTTATCCGTTTCCGAGTTATTTCCAAAAAAGTCAAATTTTAAATCCCGACACACCCGACAATTCACCGGAAATGTCTGAATTTTGTGTCAAGCATAAGTACCCTTGTAATTCGAATTTTGACTTCGAGTTTTTTGCATTCGACATTGTCTTTTGATGCTTCAGTGCCCTCCCAGCAGAAATTTTCTTCTAAGTCCACTCAGTCCCGAGATAGACCCGGCACCTATATTATTTAGGTACCAAGGGGTTCCTAAAAAATTCCGTCCGTATTTTTCCCAGATGCGGCATAAAATTTGACCCCGGACATGTAAAACTTTCAGCCCATGATCTCAACTCTGTAAAGAGCTTTAATTTTTCCGACACTTTCTGCCAAAACTTTTATATAATGTATTAAAATATTTATTTTTGTGTTTTAACTTTTAAAAAATTATATTTTTAATATTTTGTTTGTTTTTAATAAAATTTGGTAAATTAATTTTATTTAATTTTTATTAATTGTGTAAATTTAAATATAAAATAGTTTTGAATTTCGTCTTCTAATTTTTCAAAAATTCTAGAGGCCACAGTTTTGTCAGGCGGTCCCTAAAAGTTACACTCAGATACTCTCAGATACTTTATTAGGCGCATATAAAGTTCTGTGGGGCTCTCTTTTTTTGGAGAGCCCTGAAAAATGTTCTCATTTTTTCGTTAATTTCCCGCCGAAACGGCCTCGAAAACTTGGTTTTTACTAATATAATAGTTTGGTTTTTACTAATCTAAGCTAAAAATATTTTAAAATTTAAAAAGATTTTTGATTGAAACCCTAAAAAATAAAAATAAGCATCAAAGAAGTAAACGTAAATATTTATTTATATTTGCTTGACACTTACAGAATTATTTATATTTTTTTAAATTTATTTTATAAAAAATATTTTTTTCTATTTTTTGTTGTCAATATTCAACAAAAACTTTATATTTATTTATTTGTATCTTTTTCTCTTTTCTTTTTAATATTTTCTTGCCAATTCCAATTAAATTTTAATATTTATCTATTTTCTCCTTTTTTGGCCAAGAATCACACACATACACACATTTTTATATATTTTTAAAAGCTTTGCTTGTCTCTCAAGTTTTTATAATTAATGCTTCTTCTTTTTCCACAAATCTTAAAAAATAAAAATGTTCTTCTCTTTTTTTGTTAATTAATTAAATTTGAGATTTTTTTGTTGTCAATTTGAATTTTTGTTTATTTTAAATATTAAATGACTGAAACAAAAAAATATTTTTTCCTTACATATTTTTGGAAATAATTGTAAATTAATTTTAAAAATTTTAGTTTAATTTTTAATATTATTTTTAAAAAATGGGAAATACTCATCCAAATGGTGGAGGGAATTATTCTAGCCCAGCAATAAATACAAACACAACAAATGTAAAGAATAAATTTATTTAAATTGAAAAATTAGAAAAAAAAATTTATAACAGTTTTTTTGATTAATTAGCCTCCTTAGGCTTTATTAATTATCCTCCCACTCTCTATTAGTTACCCCCTCAAGTGTGAAGTTGAAAAAAATACCACCCTCTCTCACATGCCCTACAACTTCAAAACTCGAATAATCACCTCTCCCCGATTAATTAACCTCTCCAACGAGAGGTTGAGACACCCAGGAAAATCACTCAAGAAAGAGTACAGCATATTTATTTAGTCAGTTCAAAAATCCGGAAAATCTACTCGATTTAAAATGACAGAAATTTTGGGTTTGCGTCGTCAATCGACAGGAAATGAAGTAATTAATTCAATTAAAATAAAGGTATTGAATAAATAAATAAATTTTCAAAATAAATTTATTAAAGAATAATAATTATCGTTCATTCACTCAAAGTGCCCATCAATCCATAGAAATGTGTGAACAAGTAAATAATTTTTAAAAATATTTTTTGAACAAATGTCTCTTTTTTAAAGTTCAATTCCTTCAAAGAAGAGAATAAAATAATTAAAAATAATAAAAATACTTCCTCACTTCCACAGATTGAAATAAATGGAGTTAATTCGGAAAAGGAAATTAATGATGAGAAAAAAGTGAAAAAATATTTTTGTGAAAATTTTAAATTAAATTTTAGAATAATTCTGATATTCAACAAAATACAGAAATTAATTTGGAAATTAATTCTTTAAAGAATCAGAAAGGAGGAGAAAGTGAATATTCCTCAGCAATCCCTTTATATTTTAAAGTAAATTTTAATTAAATAATTAAATATAAATTAAATTTAGCATAAAGCCCAAAAAGTTGATTCACGCAAAATAGCTGCCAAAAAGCGTCTTGAAAGGGGTGATTTTTAAAAAATATTATTTAGATATTTTAAAAATTTAATTTAAAATATTTTAAAGGTCAAACAACTAGCGGTTCTGATAATTCTTCACAAAATGCCAAAAAAGTATTTTTTAAATTTCTCTTCTATATTATCTAAAAAATACAAATTAGGTATGGACTAGGGCACACACACAAGTCCATAGTTTCGGGAATCGGGACGGCGCGATCCCTGACAGACTTTACATACAACGTACCGCCAACCCTTCATACACCCTTAAGGTACCTGTTTTAGCATTGGGTGAAGAAGTTGTCCAATCAACGTCTTTTATTTTGATATACCTCCTTTCTACGTACAATTTTTCTCAAAATTCCACGGACACCCCACAGCTTCTCCTTTGTAAGGGCGGATGTAAAATCGAGGTTCTCCAATGTACCAATTTTTTATTTAAAATTAATTTAAAATAATTTTCTTTCTATGATTGATTAATTTAATTTTTCAGTCATCATTCTCAGAAAGAACACTTGCCAAATCATTAGATAATAAACACACAGTTAATTAATTAATTAAAATAAAAATTAATTTTAACTTTTAATTTAATTAAAAAAGGACAATAATTTTTTATTTGATTTAAAACCTTTACAATCAAATATAAAATGTTCTCCCAATCACCATTCACAACAACGTTTGGGAAGTGTTGGGAATGTTTTTGGATTAATTAATTTAAATAATCGTTTATTTTCTTCGAATATTGAAATTAATATTTTAAATTTTGAGGTGAATTAAGGGCTTTTTAAATTAATTTTTAAATAAATTTAAATATAGCAATCAGAAATAATACAAAAAACTTGGTTATTGGCTAATGAAAAAATTAGACTTTTTGCTGGGCCGGATAGAAGCTTTGCTTTTTTTACATTTGACAGAATATTTGAAAGAGCTCCTGAATTAAAATCTGTAAAATAATTTAATTTTTTATTTAAAATTTCTAAGTAATTTATGAATAGAAAAATTCAAATAAAGATAATTTTAATTATTTCCCATTCTCTTATTCCTTTAATAAAATAAAGTAATTCTATTCATTTGAATTTTGTCCGAATTAGAGAATAATGTTCGAAACAAATTTATGAAAATTATATTTATTACAGATTTCGGCCAATTCCCAGAACTAGGGTTGTCGGTTCCTAGAAAATCATCCGTAACTTAAACAAAAAATTGAACCAATCAACCTCGATTCTTCGATTCGGTTCCGAACCGACGATCATACTCATAACCGTTAATTAATTTTTAAAAGTTTTTCATTTTAAACTAATCTTTAACTACTTTTTAATTAAAATTAAAAAAAATATCTTTTTTAAGCTTTTTGGAATATCCCCAAATATTTCAATTTTTGAACTGGATGAAAATCAATGGGATCAACATCCATTTTCTAGACATGTTCGGATATTTAACAATATATTAGATTTATCTGTTAGAAATTCTGCCGAATTGGAAAAAGAAATGTTTGTTTTTAAATATGTATTAGTGATAAAAAAATTTTAACATTCCCTAATTAATACTAAAAATGTCATATACAAATAAAACAAAAGACGAAAGATCTAAGGTTGAAATTTTTCGTATATCCTTAGATAGCTCATTTGAAAAGAACTCATCTAGATGAGTTGAATAACACCAGAATCATTGACATCGAAATTACAGGGCAGTTATTATCGACTGATTGACAGCCGGTCCAAATTCTATGGGTTAGATGAGCTACTCATCTCGAAAAGTTCTTTAAAATGATCCAAAATTTGCAAAAGGGTGTGACATGATAGCAGAGCTGAATCGGAATTCCGACTTCCGGTTTCCAACGTTTTTTTCCTTCCGCTTTCCGACAGTTTCGATTTCCGGCACCTCCGTCATTTCCGATTCACCTGCATAATAGAAAAGTGTCAAAATATAAATAAGATTTCGGAAATTTAAACAATAAACCTCCAAAAAAAATTTAAAAACAACACAAAATCTGATTTATTAATTTTAAGGCTTCCAGTACTTTTTGCTTATGGACAAAGACATTATAGAGCAAATATTGTAATAAAAATATTTTTTGAAAATAATTTTTTTAAATTTTTGATTATTTTAGAAGGAACATTTTAACGAAAAAACTGTTCGATTATTTTGTAGTCAAATAATCGGAACTTTATGTGATTTATTAGATAAAAAATTAAATTTGTTTGCTCAAGAAGCCTGGATTGAAATGGTTACTTATTTGGGGAGAGCTTTGCTTTCTGGGGTTTTTTTTAAATTATTTTTTGTGAAATATTTTTTAAAGTTTGAACATGAACGACAAAAAAGAAAAAAATTTCCTTTGCCAAAGAATTATTAATTAAAAATATCAATTTGTAAATGTGTTAACAAAGACGGGTTTTTAAAATAAAAATGATCTCTATTAAATATTCAAATATATTTGTAATTTATTGTAAAATAATAAAATACATTTAATTTTAAAATAGTTTAAATAAAAACTCAGACCCCTAGCTTGTCTCTCATAATTAAAATTAATGCATATGACCAAGATCTAGACCAAATAAATTTGTTTTTAATAATAATTTTGGCCAGTCAAATAATCGGAAGGACTGTTAAATTAGCTTTTATTGCTTATCTCTTTTTATTGGCATTTAGGAAAAATGTTTAATTAATTGCTAATCAAAAAGGTTATATTTGCACTCATTTGATAGAGGATAAATTAATAATTTCTATCAAGTTTTTTTATTAAAAGTCTAAAATTTGGAAGAAAGTTGAGGAAAGGAAAATATGTTCTTCTGGTCCTATCTTTTCTCCGGCACTGTATTATTAAATTGTAAGTTGTCTAGAAGTTTCTAAAATTTTGAAAGATAAAATACCTAAAGTTAAAGTGATTAGGGAAAATACGAGTAAGCTTAAGTTTTATAAAGCTAAATATTTTGTACCAAAAGCATGTTTTATAACGGGTATTGTAAAATTCTGCTAAAGTAAAAATATGTATTATAAATCTTGGTCTACTATTTGTTTACTTTAGTTCAATTTTTTATATAGTACTTACTCTGTACATACATAATAATATTGATTCTTCTATGAAATATAAAAAGAAATGTGGGGGGTAATGTTTGTTGGCTTCCTTGCTTACACTAAATTGACCTACTAAAAATATAAAAAATCTTTAAAAAATTTCTGAACAAAAACTTGGCAACCATGAAATAGAAACCATTATTCAATAAAACAATGAAAACTAAAACAATACCTATTGAACTACTTGTTGATATATTCAAAGCTGCTAGTAATTTATCTTTTAATGAATTTCAAAATTGGTATAAAACTATTTAAGAATTATTTAAAATATTTTTGATTTCAAATTAGGTTTTGATTATTTTTTAAATCCAAAACCATTTAACCTCAGCCATTATATACAAAATTTTATTAATTTATACATAAAAGCAGAATCTTTGATAATCTTTATCTCCTAAGTTGAGTCATAAAAAATGTCGCATTGCAAAAACATTATTGAATTTTTTGTAGATGTTCAAAAGCTTTGAAATTTTGGATTTAAATTTTTTAGTGTATTTTTTAATAGATCCCAAAATTTGAGAAACATATCCAACAAATCATGGGAGCAAAATAAGATGCCATCCCGAAGATATCTTGGGCGTTGGTACCTTACATTATATAGAGGGGCGTGTACTCTCAAATTCAAAATAATTTCTGTTTAAAATAATGGTCAGACTGTCAAACTATTATCAGTCTGAAATCAAAACATAAAATATTTTTTGAGCTCTAATAACCCTAAGAATTTCAAAAAACCGTCAATTTATTCAAAACTTAAATTTTAAATTAAATTAGTCAAACAACTTATAATCACCATATTAATAACAAATTGGGAATGGAAAATAAAATTCTAGCAACAAAATATCTCAGAAAATATTGGTATAAATTTGCCAGAAATTTATTAACTTGTTCGAGTTTAGTAAATTTATTTGTTGGAGAAAATTTCAAGAAAATAAAGGTGAATAAATTTTGTTGGATTTTTATTGAAATTTTGGAACGATAGAAAAGACATTTTTATCAATAAAATAAAAAATTTTTAATCGTGCTACCATGAGGCAATATGTGGGGAAATTTCTGATCCCGGTTTATTACCTGAAGGACATGCAAACTTTTGATCAACATCGTCTATTACTTTTTATTTCTTTACAAGTTTAATCGGGAAATCTTGAGGAATTAAAGGGATAATGAGGTTTTCGCGGGATTAATTGATGGATTTGGACGGATATCGAGGAATTAATTTTATATATGTAAAGCAGGGGATTAAAAGGATTTTGCCCTGATATCCCCTATATCACTCCAAATATGGGAAACTCTCCTATATTTCTCTAAATATGCTGATCTCTCCAAGTCTTCTGATCTCCTTGATATCCCTCCAGACCCTCCCGATTAAACTTGCAAAAAAAGTAAGGTCTCGATCAAAAGTTTATAGGTCTTCAATGTAATAAGTCTTTAGGGGTGTAGGTTATTAGTCTACCCCCCCCCCCCGGAACATTAAGTAATCTCTATGAGATAGCATCAAATCCTAAATCATTCTTTAAGCCTTTGCTTATATGATTGTTTTTAATTAACCTATATAATTACCTAATTTATATAATTAATTTTGTTAAAATTATGAATCTTTCCTTAACATCAATTTTTGCGTTTAAATTAAAAATTTAATATTATGTATATGGCAAAGAGTATTTTTAGTAGTTCAGTTAAATAACTGACCGCTTAAATATGTTTATATTAACTCATACAAGTTCATTCTTCTCTTTTCTTAACAAAAATCATTTTTTTCCTGTATGTTTATTAAAAATAAACTTAGGTAAATTAAATTGATTTTTGACAAAAATGGACTTCACTCTACGATGTTCCTTTACTTGGGGAACCCTCCAAATTTTAAATACCTCTAATAGTCCTTACCCCTATGCCTATTATAAAATAATTTTTAATTTTAAAATTTAGTAATTAATAATTTAAAAACCTTCTTCTAAATTAAAGCAAGCCTTATTGACTGACATGAGCAGCGAATTGACGGTGAATATTAAATTATTTTATTTGGGATTTTGTGAGTAAAGATATTGTCGGCTTAATATTTTTTAAATTGCCTCTTAATCTCAAAATTAGGGTTATCGATGAAACCTGAAATTTTCTCTTACCCCAGCAAAAATTTATCGTTTTCGATTAACCTGATAAAATACACTATTGAGAACCCCAAATCTTATTTGAAATTTTTAATTCAATTTTTTCAACAGTTAAACGAAGCGAAAGCATTTATTTCCAAGTTAACCAATGACCTGGAGGACTCAAGAATTCTTAAGGATAGTGTTGCTTTGCTAAACGAGAAATTAACTCGTGACCTTGAGGAATCAAAACTTCTTACTGCACGTAGTGCTTCGCTAAATGAGAAATTAACTAATGATTTGGCTGAAGCTCGGAATTTTATTGAGAAGTTGACAAAAGATCTTCCTGGCCCTTCAGGTGCTTATTTTGTTCCTCGTTTAATCAAAATATAGGTACTACTGAAGAAAAGGGTGCTTTTTCTGCGGACTTATTTTGCGGACTTTTCCTTTCTTTTAAATGTTTCTTTTTTAATGTTTTGTTTGTCTTGCTTGTAGCAAGTTTTGCTTGTAGCAACTAACGGTCAAAGGATTGATTTTTATGTCAATTTGAAAAATATGTGTTCACCATTAATTTGAACATTATAAACGTTAAAATTGACTTTAACTATATTTTCAATTACCCGATGATGAATTTCAACAATGGATCACTGATCTCGGAATGCTTCATAGAAAAAGAATATGTGATTGTGGACAGAAATGCGGGTAATTTCAAACCTTGTCCCCTCCCCATTATTTTTATTACCTAAGATTGTACAAAATGGTCAGATTTCCTCCTTCCTCTCTTTCCTCTATTTAAGCTTGGCATATTCAAACAAGAGACATTGCTGATAATGAGAAGATTAATTGAGTTGTTCAATATTGAGTTCATTTTATTTTTTCAGTTGTTCAATATTTTTAAATATAAGTAAGAATGTAATGTTTTTACACAGAAATTCATAATGTTATACACCAAATCAATTTTATTTAATTCTTTTTTGGTTTAAATTGTTTTCGAAGGCAAAAAATAAGTGTATGGACTATGTATAAAATTAATCTTCTCTTTATCAATGTCACTTGTTTGAATATGCCACAGAGCAAATAGAGGAAGAAGAAAATCTGACCTTTATGTACAATCTTAGGTAAGAAAAATAATAGGGGGGAGGACCTTTGACAGTTAGTTGCTACAAGTAAAACATTTAAAAGAAAGGAAAAGTCCGCAAAAAAAGTCCGCAGAAAAAGCACCCTTTTCTTCAGTAGTGCCAAAATATATTGTCTACGATTACATGTAGTTTTCTAACAGTTTTATTTTTAGTTAAATTTTAGAAACCACAAAAATTTAAAGTCAACTTTTTCCATTTAAGCTACAAAAAATTTTTTTAATTAAAAAAAATTTTTATATAAATTTAGGAGAAATGACTAAACAACAAAAATATAAGAAATGTAAATTTTGTAACAAGAACTTTAAAAAGGAGGGGCTTGGTCTCCATCTTTTTTTGGTACACAAGGAAGGTGCTCCGACTTCTTCTGGTAATAATTAACTTTTCTATGTTATAAAAACTTTATAATGTTCCGACTTTATAATGAAAAAAAATTTTTAAATTTAATTTTGAAATTTAAATTTAATTTTTTAGGTGGTCAAGGAGAGAGTTCTTCATCAATTGGTATCTTTTATTTTTAATATTTAAAAAAATTGGCCAAAAATATTTTAAAAATTTTTAAAATTTTTTATAAGTAAATGTAGTTCGGGCTAATGGATGTTCATAATCATAAAATAAAATAACTAATCTGTTTCGGCACAACCCTGGCATATGCCCCAAAATTTACAAGTCATTGCTCACAACCCCAAAAAATAAAATCATAAAAAAAATAAAATTTAGGTGCTTTAGCTAAAAAGCGTTCTGCTTCGTTATCACCAAGAAAGGAATGTCTTCCTTGTAATACAAAGATTACTATTAAAAATTTCAATCAGAATTTACGTACTCCTAAACATAAGAAAATGGCGCAGGTGTTACTGGTGAGGCAGGTGGAAGTTCAACAAAAGAGGAGGATAAATAGAGTGGCTTTTGTAAGGATTTTTGTTTGTTATAGTTTATAGGTATTGTTGACAAATATTTGTTTGAGGTACATATACAATTTTTAAATATATTTTGGCTCATAAAAATTCTAAAAAAAATTCCTTTCTCTTAAAAAAAACTTGTAATTTAACATCAATCCTTAAAATATAATTGATTTTAATAAAAAAAATTTCCAAGATACACATAATTTATGAGCCTTTATATTTACATTAACAATAATTTTCTCAAATATTTATGTACCTCAGTTTTTAAATTTAAATTTTGTATTCCTTTGAATGTTGTGACTTTGTTTTCTAGGAGAGTTTGTTATCGGTTATTTTACAAATGTTCAAAATAATTTTATATCGAATAAGAATAAAAGTTTGTTTTCACCAAGGCTTTTATTTTTATCTAAAGGATACTAAGGCTATAGGATCACTGAATTAGAAAAATATAAAAAATAAAATTTTCTGAAGTTTAAAATGTCAATTTATAGTTTACCTACAAGGTAAAATTTATCTACAATTTTACTCATTCATTTCGATCTGATTTTTAGAAATTTGTTAAATTTTAACAAAAATAATTTTATAAAATATTCTCCTCAAAAGATCCCCACTTTTCTCGTTTCCCCGCTGCAGATACACAAAAAATAAACCAATCAGACAATTAACTAGCAATAGGGAAAATTGGCCAATATTCAAAAAAACTAGCCGATGTCTTCAAATGTTTTGATATTGTCAAGCCTTTTAAAATTCTAAAAATCTAATTTTTATTGAAAAAATTCTAAAAGAATTTTAAGATTTTTTAAGTGAAAAAATGGAATGTTGTGACTTATAGGGGGTTTTTGTTGGCTGGACCGATTTCGACAAATGAGGTGTCATTCGAAAGAGCTCGCCGAGCTGAGTCGATCCCGCGGGGGAAGAAGTCGATCCGACAATCAGGGACCGAGTTACAGACCCCTGAAGTTTGAAAAAGAGAAGGGGGGAGTAAGCTCATATTGGGGTGAAAAATTCGAAAATGCAAATAATAGCTCACTCGACTCGGCTCGTCGAGCTGAGTCGAATAACACTAAAATCAGCTCGATACCTTGATTCTGAGCCAAGATAAATAGGTTCAAAATGGTCAACATAAACCTATGGGGCGTAGGCGAGGCGCTTGTGCGAAACCCCGCGCTTCGCGCGGGGTTTCGCGGCACGCGCCTCGCGGGGCGTCAACGGTCGCTGGGTCTGGGTCAGTAACATAATCCTATTCCTATCATCGATGAGTTGGGCATACTTGGCTTCCTCCGCAGCACCAAAAACTCCACGGGCGCCTTAGGTAAGGAGTTAAAAGAAACGATCATAACTTTGTCCAATCAAGTCGGATTTCGGTGATTTTGGTGTACAATACCCAAGAAATGGAATGAACTTCTCGGAAGAAATGTGTAGACACGAATTTTAATTGAGTACTACTAGAAAAATTATGTAATTATTAAAAAATTCCTCTAAAACTAAAACAAATATTCTACACGATCTATCTTAAGCAACAAGCAGCCAGCATTTTAATTATTATTTAATACTATAAAAACCTAATTTTTTCTTTCTCATCATATCTCAAGAATATCAGCTTAGTTCTGTCTGTTTCATAATGCGGCAAGTGTTGGTGTTGCTTTTGCTCTTCTGCTTCATTGTGTCAGGCCAAACGAAGCCTAAACCAGGTCCACCTATAGAGAGGATGTATCCTTTTCCTACTGCTCCATCAACTCCCACCACTTCATCTACATCATCTACTTCATCTACTTCTACAACTCCAACTACATCTAAAACCCTTCCTCCTGCTGCCGCTGATACATCCACAACTACAAAAGGAGTCCCTCTGGTTGTTCCCGATGCTCCTACATTAGCTTATACTTCAACTACCACAACTCAAACAACAACAACGACTACTTCAAAGGCGGAAGAGAGTAAAAGTGGATTGTTGATTGCTTTTCTGTTTATTGTTGTTATTATTGTTGTGTAAGTTTCAGTTAAAAAGTTTTTGAAAAATAATCCCCCCATTTTTAGGATTACCGGCATTGTTGTTCTCATCGTTTTGATGATCTTGAAAAGTGATAAAAAGGAGGAGGAAACCAAGTCCAAAACAAAGAAAGAAAAGAAGCAGAAAGGAGGTAGCAAAATTGGTCAAGAAAAATCTGAGGTGACAATTGAAAAGAATCCTGGACTTTCATTGGCATCGAAGACCAGAACCAAGACGAAAGTAAATACGCTTATCTAAATATCTGATAAAATAAAAGATTATTTCCTTTGTATTGTATGTACCTATATAAATTGAGATTAGATTATGTTATGCTTTGTATATTTTTGTTGTTTGTTAATAATAAATATAATATGTACACTCTGTCACAAAAGTTCATGGGGGTAATTTAAGTTCTTACCCAAATTAAAATTCTCAAAAACTGGGAATTTTGAGGTTAAATTTAATTTTTTAACCAAAAAGTCTATTTATAACTACTGTCTTCCAAAATAATTACGAATGAAAGCCCTGCTTTAAAACTAAAACTTTCTGTTCAGTAAACTATAAAAGCCTTCATTTCTCTTCCTTAATCATCATATTTCAAAAATATCAGCTTAGATCTGTCTGTTTTATAATGCGGCAAGTGTTGGTGTTGCTTTTGCTCTTCTGCTTCGTTGTGTCAGGCCAAATCAGACCTAAACGAAGGTTTCCATTTTTTGGCCGAAGGGATAACGATCGTACCTTACCTCCTCCCACTACAACAACAACAACTACTACATCATCTACTTCTACAACTCCAACTACATCTAAAACCCTTCCGCCTGCTGACACATCCACAACTACAAAAGGAGTTCCTTCGGTTGCTCCCAAATCAACTTCTGCTTCAACTACCACAACTAAAAAAACAACAACGACTACTACTTCAAAGGCGGAAGAGAGTAAAAGTGGATTGTTGATTGCTTTTCTGTTTATTGTTGTTATTATTGCTGTGTAAGTTTCAGTTAAAAAGTTTTTGAAAAATAATTCTCTATTTTTAGGATTACCGGCATTGTTGTTCTCATCGTTTTGATGATCTTGAAAAGTGATAAAAAAGAGGAGGAAACCAAGTCCAAGACAAAGAAAGAAAAGAAGCAGAAAGGAGGTAGCAAAATTGGTTATGAAAAATCTGAGGTGACAATTGAAAAGAATCCTGGACTTTCATTGGCATCGAAGACCAGAACCAAGACGAAAGTAAATACGCTTATCTAAATATCTGATAAAATAAAAAGATTATTTCCTTTGTATGTATGTGAAAATATTTGTTGTTTTTTGCTGTTATTGTATAGGTTAATTTAGATTAGATTGTGTTAATATTTCTCTGTATATTTTGTTGTTTGGTAATAATAAATAAAGAGATATTGGTCTTAAACTTCCTTAAAACAACCCGTCTGAAGTCGGATTCGTTAAATAATTTTTAAAATTACCTATTTCTCAATCACGAGAGAATTTATAAAATCATTTTTAATTTAAAATTCATTTTATTGTAATAATTGGCGTTATTTTGGCATTCTGTTTTTAAAAGAAAAAAGACTGTAGAGTCTAACCTAGAGTCTAATCAGCTTATCGTTTAAGTATTTTCTGATAACTTTTTTTCATTGTAATTTATCAATTTAAGCTCCAAGATTTTTTTTAATTATTTATTAATGTTCCGGTCTTGTTGTTATCTTTATTTTAATGCCAAAAAATCAATTATTGGACAGCAACTTCCATTTATGCTAAAGTCATATTTGAGCACAAGTCAACGTAATATTTCTTTAAATTTATTTAAAAAAAATTTTTTAAAGTTCTTCGTTTATTTATTCAAATACAAGAAACTCCAAATCCTCTCAGCCTTAAATTTCTTCCCGGTCAAAAATTATTAAAAGATTCTAATCGAACATTTGAATTTACATCTGCAAAAGAAGCTGCCCATCAAAGTCCTTTAGCTAGGTTTTTTTGTTTTGTTATATTTTTAATATTTTAAATTTTAGAGATTTACTTCGGATTGATGGTGTTAGAAGTGTTTTCTTTGGAGAAGATTTTGTAATTTTTATTTAAAATTAAAAATCAATTTTTAAAATAATGTCGAAAGTTTGACTAATTAATTTAATTTTTTCCCAAAAATGAGAAAAGATAATGAATCTTTATTTTAAAATTTATTTTGTTTACCGTCTCTTTTTTAATTACTTTTCAACTAATATTGAACCTGACAGACCCCACATTTTTTCCTCCCCAAGTTTTTTTCCTAACAAATATCTTCAGAATGTTCATTGTCAGACTTTTTTCTTTCATCCATCCCAAATGTCTTAATTTGATCAATTATTTAATTGAGAATCCAAGTTTTTAAATGATCCCTTTTAGGGATGCCGTTTCCGAATCGGGCCGGCGGTCATTTTTTTCGGGCTTTATTTTTATCGAGTCGGGCCGTACGAGTCTTTTTCGGGCCAAATATCTTATGCCCGACTCGATCTTTCGGTCTGAGTCGGGCCATTTTGGCAACTCTAATCTTTTTGATTGATTGGGGCAGAATATAGAATGTGGGATGGAAGAAAGAAAAGAGTTTGCCCATTCTGTACATGAATAAGGAAAAACTCGGGGAGGGAAAATGGGGGTCTGTCAGGTTCAATATTACCCTTTCCCAGTTAATTTTTTAGTAAATTCTCTTTAATTTTTCTTTTAAAAATATTTAATTATTAATTTAAAAGGTAAGCATTCAAAAAAGAGGTGAAGATGAAGATTGGGCATTAATGAAACCTTTAATTTTTGCTGCTATAATGGATCATTTACAAAATGGGAGACCTATAATTAATGAAAATAATTTGGATAATTTAAATGTTGGGCCTTCAGATACTGGTTTTTTTTAAATTATTTGTTTAAATAATTTTTTAAAAATAATTTTTTTATTTAAAGCAATTTTGCCAGAAGATGACGAAGTTGTTGCTACAATTAAAGAATTATTGGAAACAAGAATTAAACCTATGGTACAGGAAGATGGAGGGGATGTTTTGTATGCTGGATTTGAAGATGGAGTTGTTAAATTATTATTAAAGGTTTTTTTGGAAATTTTGTAAAGAGATTGGGGAGTTGAGATTGGGTTATTTTTGTTAATTTCTCTTTGTTTTGGTTTCTCTCGGTTCACCTATTTTAATACATCGAATATTCTTTTTTTCAGAATTTTTATGTCATTATTGAAATTCTTTAGTGATAGGTATTAAAGATCGAGGCTGGGCCTGGACCAAGGCTTGGGTTTTTTTCTGTACCCAGAGTTCAGGCCCAAGCATTTTTTGACCTTCCTAGGTTGTTCCTGGGCCTGGGTTTTTTCTGGATACAAGCTCAGGATCTGGCCCAGGTCAATAAATCAACCCCCAGTGTCCAAGAACAGACCCAGGCTTTTCAAAAATCTTTATCTCTAATATGTATGTTTTTTAATTGTTTGTAACATCTACAAGACAACAAAATTATTATAAGAATAATTGTGAAAAAAATTTTTAAAATCGTTTTTATTTAAAAAAGTCCATTAAAAATTAACCACACTCTACTCTTTACAATTATTATATTTTTGAAAAAATATTTATTTTTAAGGGTTCATGTACAGGCTGCCCAAGTTCTTTAGTTACTTTAAAACAAGGAATTAAAAATATGATGCAATTTTATGTTCCTGAGGTTTTTAAATATTTTAAAGAAAATTAATTTAAATTAAAAGGTAAAAGATGTTGTTGAAATACCTGACCCAAATAGAGATTTGGAAGAACAAGCACTCGAAGAATTTGAATTTAAATTGAAAAAAGCACCAAAAAATGAAAGTTGATTTTTTTGTTAAAAATAAAATATAGTTCTAAAAGTCAAAAATTTTATTTTCTTTCAAATGTGAAAATTTTTTGCTTAAATTTCTTCCTAGTCAAAAATTAGAATATTAAAAGATTCTAATCTAAAACTTTTAATTTACAAGGAGAAGTAAAAAAAGATATAGGCAAATAAAATCACATACATACTTTCAAGATTAAGGGGGTCACTGATCCGTTCGGAAAAAAGTAACTGGAAGCCTTTAATTTGACTTAAAAAAACAAGGATTATCAAAAATTAATTTTTATATCCAAGCTAGAAACTAGGGTTGTTGGCGACCGGTTAAAAACCGGTACCCTCGGTTTTCGGTTTTGGCCGGTTTACGACCCCCGGTTTTCGGTTTTCGATTGACCCCCGGTTTTTGGTTAACCGAAATCGGTTTATGCCTGAATTTGCCATACAGAATATTCAATTCATATTTTATCGCATTATTGTGCTTCAATGAAATATTCTAGAGATCAGCCAACGAAAATTTTGTTATTTAGAGCTGCAAGTGCACAGCAGACTAGCGCAGGCAAAAGAGTCTGCTGTGCAAGTGCAAATACAGTGCTGGGTATTGGCCATTTATTATTTATTAGCTTCGGCTCCTACGGAAAATAGATGAGAGTTTTGGGATATAATAAAAGTGGTCACACAGGCTTAACTTTTCCCGATATCCTTGCAAATCTTTTGATATCTCCGTTCCAATTCCTTATAATTTTTTTAAAATTTTCTCGAGTCTGTATCTCCGGCACACCAATCCGTCGATATTCCCTTTAATTCCCAAATCCACCTTAATCCTTGCAAATCTCCAATTTCTTCTTTTTTCAGCGCCGCAGGCAAAAATTTTGAGAATTTTGGAGAATCCTTAATCTAAAAATCTTCCTTTTTCTGCGCCGCAAGCAAAAATTTTCATAATTTTCGAAGGCCAATATGTAAAAATATTCGGCCCTATCTGAAAATAATGCGGCAATCAAATTTTTTTCCTTATTCTTAAAAATGGTTAATTTTCTTATAATTTTTCTCTCTATTTTTGATTTTTGCCTTAAGACTTCAAACGCAAAAGGATTATTTTTCTTTACTTTTGTGAGCATTTACTTTTTTTCTGTCCGTGTTTTTAATGACCAATATGTGTGCGTGTTTTGTTGTCCGAGTCCGTCCGTGTTTTGTCTGTCTGGGTCCGTCCGTGTTTTGACTGACCGATGTGTGTGCGTGTTTTGTCTGTCCGGGTCCGTCCGTGTTTTGTCAAAACACGGACGAACTCGAACAGTTTTGACAAAACACGGACGAACTCGGACAGACAGACAAAACACGGACGAACTCGGACAGACAGACAAAACACGGACGAACTCGGACAGACAGACAAAACACGGACGAACTCGGACAGACAGACAAAACACGGACGAACTCGGACAGACAGACAAAACACGGACGAACTCGGACAGACAGACAAAACACGGACGAACTCGGACAGACAGACAAAACACGGACGAACTCGGACAGACAGACAAAACACGGACGAACTCGGACAGACAGACAAAACACGGACGAACTCGGACAGACAGACAAAACACGGACGAACTCGGACAGACAGACAAAACACGGACGAACTCGGACGGACAGACAAAACACGGACGAACTCGGACAGACAGACAAAACACGGACGAACTCGGACAGACAGACAAAACACGGACGAACTCGGACAGACAGACAAAACACGGACGAACTCGGACAGACAGACAAAACACGGACGAACTCGGACAGACAGACAAAACACGGACGAACTCGGACAGACAGACAAAACACGGACGAACTCGGACAGACAGACAAAACACGGACTGACTCGGACAGACAAGCAAAACAAAATAGGGAAAATACACCTTTTCGCGTGTATTTTTCCTACGGCATAAATCAAATATAGAGAGAATTAAATGAGAAATTGACCATTATGGGGAGTAGGAAAAAATTTGATTGCCGCATTATTTTCATATACGGCCAATATTCCATTTTCTGCGCCGCAGGCGAAAATTTTGAAAATTATAAAACACCACTGAAAATTTTGACTTGTTTTTTCACTTTTTTCTTAAATTTAAAATAAATTTCTAGTATAAAATAAAAAATAAAGTTTAAGATTATTAGTTTTTGTAATTAAAATGAAAATAAGTCAACTTTCCAACTTTGGATTCGAACCCAGTCCCAAACAAAAAATAATCTAAGTGACCCCATCAAGTAACCACTCAACCACACACAATGTCATCGAAACAGTGAAAAAATTTATTATTGAAGGAAAATTAGGAAAATATTCTGGCGAAGTGTGTTCCGGGAATTAAAATGGCCAAAAAATTTCCAAAAAATTCCATCTTTAGGGGTGTATTTTATAAACCGAAACCGGTCGGTTTAGGCCATCGGTTTTCGGTTTTCGCCGGTTTTTGACCCCCGGTTTTCGGTTTCGGTTTATTGGCCAAAAACACCGGTTTTCGGTTTCGGTTCGGTTAACCGACCGCCAACAACCCTACTAGAAACGTGCGAGACCGAAAATTTTCTAAGACTAGACCCCAAGACCGAAAACCTCCATGAAGTCTTGGAATCAAGACCAAGAATCTCGAACGTCTCTAGTCCAAACAACACACACTTACAAATCATTTTAAACAATTTATTACAATAATTACCCAAACACATACAATAACCACATTATTACAAAACAATCATAATAACAGAACAATAAGAGGGGAAATTACAAAACCAAATATACAATATATTATGGGATATAAACAATTTATTTAGATGAGTTTATTTCCTATTTATATATCCTTGTCTTCGTCTACATTCATCCTCTTCCTTCAAGCCATTTATGCAGCAACAGAGCCAATAGCCTTTGGTGTCGGAATTTGCTTCTTTGGTGGTGGCAGACTGGAAGAACGACGCTTGCTGCTGCTCGACTTCTTACTTCCCTTGCGAGAGCCTCCGCGTTTGCTGCTGCTGGCCTTGGAGGTAGATGCCCCACGCCTTTTAGAAGAGGAGCGCTTGGACGAGGACTTTTTGGAAGACGCTGATTTCTTGGATGCTGAGGGGCCAGCCTTCTTTGCTTCTTTCACAATGCCCTTCAGATCGATCTCGACGCCGTACTCCTCGCGCAAGTAGCTGTTTGCATACTGAAAAAAGAGAAAAGGATTTGTTAGCCTAAAGAAAGAGAGGAGTCTTAATTAAAGAAAAAAAGTAAAATAAACTTACGAAGCCAGAGACGAAGAACACGATCGTGTAGAACACCCAGAACCATGCATTAACCATCTTCGGTTGATGACAGACCTAGTTGACGGTGAACGAACTTTGCTTGTGAACGAAGACAGGCGTAGCCTTGCGAGTTGATGAGTTGATTTTGGGTTGATTTAATGATAAAAATACCCTCTTTTTATAATCAAATTTTCAGCAGGAGATTTTTGTGAGTGAGGACTAACTATATAAAGTTGTAAATATACTTGATAGATTCTTTTTTCTATATTTCTTGTTGCGATAGAGCATGTTGTTCGTAGTCTTCCTACATACGTGAGTACCCGATGTTTGAAAGTTCGTTGCGCTTTCGAAAAACTTCCTAAGGAGGGCAGTTTTGGAAAAAGTCCAGTGTCTAAATAAAGTTGCTTGATTATTCAGCCAACTAATTAACAAAATTAGTTGAAGATTAACAATAAAAATTAAGAAATTTGCCCTTGCGCCTATAAAACATTTTATACTCGTTATCAGTGTCCTATCGCTATTGCCTAAGTAATTTGAATAACCCGTCATTTGTTTAAACGATTACACAGTTTCGAATTACTTTCGGTTGTATTTAATGCATTAATCTTTCCATTCAATTTTTACAACTCTCTCTCATTTAAAAAGTATTAAATAGTTCCCATGGTAATAGAATAAATTAGTGCGCAAGATTCTTTCAAAAAAATATTTTTAAAAACAAATGTCAGAATTAGAACTAATTAATTTGGGAAAATTATCAAAACAACAACGTTTAACAAAAGATAACAACAATATAAATATTTTAGAAAGAATATCTGAAAAAGAGGAAAGTTTTTATGAAAGTAATTGTTGTAAATCAGAAGAAGAAAAGGTTTTTTTAAAGGAAAATAATTTTAGAAAATATCTTCGGTTAACGCCCCCCTCCCTTTCTTTTTTCTGTTCTATTTTTTTCTTTTCTAAGACAAATAATATACATTCGAAAGAGCTTTTCGAGCTGAATCGAACGGCACTAGAATCATCAAAATCTAACTTAAATCGACATAGTTATGAGCATTTGTTTTAATCCTTTTTCAAAATCATAAAAAGCAAGTCCATAGAGGAGGATATAGCCTCATAATTTGTTCAGAACCCAGCTCGGGTAGCTCTTTCGAATGATATACCGTATTTTCTTGATTAATTTCCCTGGGGAATTAATATTTCAACACATCCGGGATGGGGAATTATTCAAGTTTTGGCATTTGAACGTGCAGTAGGGTATTTGGGGGTGGGGAACTATTATTTCAACCCATCCCTGGCAGTGGGAATTAATCGAGATGGGGAATTATTCGAGGGAGGGGAATTAATCGAGAAAATACGAAATGGTCAGGGAAATAGTAAAAAAGGGGGCGTCAGCCGAAATATTACCCTAAATATTTTAATTAATTTTTTTGAAAAGAAATTGTTAAGTCCTTCAATTAAATCTTCTACAAAAAATAATTTATTAGCAATATGTGAAAATAAAACAATTATAAAATTAAATAATGAAATTGAGGAGGAAGAAGAGGAAAAAGAATTAATTAATTTAAATGGAAAAAATTTTAAAAATAATTTACCGGACAATGAATGGGTAAATAAATAAAATTAATTAAATTTTAAATTAAAATTAAATTTAAATAGTTTATTTCATTATTTTTACGCTCACTTAAAAATGAAAGAGAACTTAAATGGTGGAAATTTCCAAAGAAAACTGAGCAGGAGGAGTTTACTATCGTTTGAGAATTTATTTTAAAAATTTATAAATTCATTTTTAGATTTCTCTTTTTCAGGGGAAAATTGTCGTTAAAATACCTATTTTAATTTCCATTAAAATAAAAATGTTTTCCTTTACCTTCCAAAGCAAATTTTTAGTGGTTCTAGATTCTAAACTGGAAGCCTCAAGAATCAGAGAGAGGTTGAAAAAATAATTACCCTTCTTAAAAATAGTTATAATTAGCCTTTCTGAAAAAAGCTCAAATAATTACCCCCTCCCTTTTAATTACCCCCTCCAACAAGAGGTTGAAACAATAATTACCTTGGGTAATTATTTTAGCAAATACGGTAATTAATTTTTTTAGCCAATTTGTTGGATTTTATTAATAATTGGATTTACAACAAATTCCTGGACAATATTTTCTTCTCAATTTATTCAATTTTTAATTTTAATAGAAAATGAAAACCCAATTCAAAAATTATTTATTTTTATTTTAATATTTATTAATTCTTTTGCAATTTTTGGAGTAACTTTTAAATTATTTGTATTATTAATTCCAACAATTATTTTTTATGTAATATACTTTTTAAAATAAAAATACAGTCAACCCTCACTAAAAACCCAAAAATGCACCCAAAATAGATACGTGTCTAAACGATACTCCCTATTTAAGATTAGAGACCAAACAGGGAGTAATGTTCGGGAGTTAAAAAGGCCTAGAATTGAGACCGAGGCCGGGAATCAACCCCGACTCGGGACCGAGACCCAGAGTCTCGAACATCGCTAACAGAGAGTGTTAGCGATGTTAAAAGAGACGTATCGCTAATGCTACGGTTACATAAAAATCGCGCGCGACACGCGACAGAAAAGATAATGTAAAAAGAGGAGAGAAAAATCGCGCGCGATTTTGTCGCTTTTTTCTAGTGGTTACATAAAAAGCGACTTCCGCCGGCGTCTTGTCGCGCGCGACTTTGTCGCTTTTTTGAGTGGTTACATAAACCGCGACTTCCGCCGGCGACATGTCGCGCGCGATTTTGTCGCTTTTTCTAGTGGTTACATAAAATGCGATTTCCGCCGGCGACTTGTCGCCGGCGACACTTTTTTTGATTCAAACATGTTTGAATTTTCGGCGACACTTTTTTGCGACATGCTATTTCTCGATCAATTCTGATCCGATTTTCAAAATTTAAAAAGATTCTGAAAGTTCAGTTTATTCTCTATCGATCAATATAAATTTTATATTTTTAAAGTTAAATCTTATGGGTTAAAATTGATTTTGAAAAAGGTATACTTCTTGCAAAAAATGTTCTTTTTTTCGATATTTTTGAGATATTCAGTATGCCATCGAGTATTTATATTATAACTTTTTTATCAACGGTCAAAAATTCTGATTTTTTGATATGTTGTAGAGCTTTTGATTCTCTATCAAATGATATCAAAAACATGAAAAAGTGACAATTTCTTGATGAGTTCCTCCCTATTTCGCGGATAATATCCGGATATCCGCGGGTATCCGCGGATACGGACGGATATGGATAGTGTTTTTTTAAAAACTGGACGGATACGGATGGATACGGATATGATGCTCCAAATCCGCGGATATCAACGCCAGGAGATATATAATTGACTCTGGCACATGACCCTAACCCAGACCCAAAGGTCAAACACGACTCCTTCCAGCGCCGCAGGCGAAAATTTAGAGAATTTTATAAGGCCTTAAGATCGGGATCCCGGAAAATCTCGTCGGGATCCTGTCCCGCGCCTACCTCTAATCGAAATATCAATGGAAAAATTCTAAAAAATCACAATATAAAAGCCACAATAAAATAGTGGCAACAAATTGTCCTATACATTACAGTACTCTTACTTTCACCACCGTGAAAATTAGAGATAAATAAATAAAGAAAATATAGTTGAAAAAGATAGAAAAACTAATAATTTAGTGGTTACATAAAAATCGCGCGCGACACGCGACAATCGCTAGGCGACAAGACGCGCGCGACAGTCGCTAGTGGCGTGGTTACATAAAATCAGCGTTTGTCGCTTTGCGACAGTCGCTTTTGCGGAAGACGCCGATTTTATGTAACCACGCCACTAGCGACTGTCGCCGGCGACATGTCGCCTAGCGACTGTCGCGTGTCGCGCGCGATTTTTATGTAACCGTAGCATAACAGAGACGTATCGCGAAAAAATATCTTGAAAAATCTCGAAGTCGATAACCGGTATTTCTGTTCAAGATCTCGTCTCGGTCCGATCTCCATTTAAGATCTCCTCAATATGGACAATTTTTTAGCTCAAGGGAATAAATATAGTGGAGTTCTGTTAATTTAAAAATAAAAATATTTTTAAAAGGGTTTATTTTCAATTTCTGCTTTTGGATTTTTATTATATTATTTACTTTTAAATTTAACAACAACAAATAATTCAATTGAATTATTCGAATATTTATGTTATTTATTATCCCCTTTATTGCCAATAAATATTTTTATATTTAAATATTTAATTAAAATATTTATTTTATTTTTATTTAAAAATAAACTAATTAAAAAAGAAGAAAATTCTTCAATAATTATTGAAAAAAAGAATAGAGGTTGGAGAGGGATTTTTTGAAAAAAATTTTTTTTAATTTTTAAAGATACTAAAGAAAATATTTTTTGGATTGAACATTCTCAAAAATTATTAAATAATGAACAATTTGTTAAAAGAAAATTTATTTTTGATAAAATGGGGGAGAAAAAGAATATTTTAATTAAAAAGGAATTGTTGCCTAGTATAAAAGAATTTTGCGTAAATTTTTTAAAAATAATTTTTGAAAAAAGTGGACCGAAAACAGCAATCGAAAGGAATGAAAAGGAAAAAGATTTGTTATTTGGAATGTACAAGAGGATGTCACAAGTTACCCGAACTCCGGACTTTTTTCGACCCGAACCCCGATCTGGCTTTTCTCAACGCGTAACATCCCTGGAACATAACTCGTCCCTGCCTACGTAGGGGATCTCAACTTTTTTTTGAAGATCCTCTAATTTAGAAACTCATCCCCGAAAGTTTTCCTCGAGGTTCCCACCACCTCCCAGCAGTGATGCGGGAGTTCCAGTTCCGCATCACTGCCTGCCGGGGAATAACACTAATTTTTATTCAATCTGATTAAAATCTTTTTTAATAAAAATTAATAAAAACTATCTTTCAGAATGAAATTAATAATAATCCAAATTACAAAGGAAACTTAACAAAATTTAAAAACCATTTAATCAATGAAGGAAAATATTATGGGATTAAATTAACATCCAACCAACAAATAAACAATAAATTTCCTCAAAAATCTTCACCTTTAATAGAAGCTGGAAAATCTTTAAAAGAAATAGAGGATTCAAAAAATACCAACAATTTAAATAAAACAAAAGAGAACAATGAAAAACAAATAATGAAAGTACCAGTCCCTCGTCCAAGATCGTAAAAAATTTAAAAATAAAAAAATTTAAAATTAATTTCTTAGGTTTAAAAGCTCTTTTCCAACCCTTTCATATTTATTAACTCCAACAGTTACTCCAACAACACCAAAAAATTGACAAAAAAAATATTTATAATTTTTATTTCACATTTAAAAACAAAACAGAAAATGTTTATAAGTATCTAAAACATTTGATTATTTCATTTTGAATAAAAAAGTATTAAATAATCAATATTAGATGATCAAATCACAATAAACACATAGGATGAAATTAAGGATAGAATTAGGGAAACTTTGCTTCTTCCACACATAAAACCTTTTTATTTCTTTCTTCGGATTCCCTTTCTGTCAGACCTCACTGACCTTGGTTCAGAACATTTCGAGGAAAAGGAGAAAGTTTGCGAACAAACTTTGCAGACATGTGGGGAGATAAGACTAGTACCCATTTCGAAATATAAAATGTTTCAAAATGATAGATAATTTGCCAGATTTTAGGCCACAAATAATTTTTTAATTTTTAGGTCAAAAAGAAATATATTTTTGTTAAAAATAAGTAGAGTTTCTTGCCTAATTCTCAAAAATTTCTCGAGTTCGAAGAAAAGCAAACTCCCTTTATTATACAAAATATTTTTAGAACTTAATATTTATATTGGCATATTTCCTGCAATCAAGTACATCTTCACTTCCATCGACTTCAATACCTCTTTGTTTCAAAAATTCAATAAGGGCCTTTTCATTTTCCAGTTGTAACCAATTAATTAATAATGAAAGTTTGATATCAGGACGAAACCTTTTTTGAAAAAAAATATTTTTTAATTTAAAAATAGAAATTTACGCTTTAATTATTGAGATCAAAAATTCAGTTCTTTCTCTATCAATAAACATATCCATTACATAACCTAAAAAATAAATTTTCAATTTAATTTTAAAATTATTTTTATATCATTTTTACCTGACATTTTTGGAGCTTTTGCATATAAACGTAACAATTTTATATAATTACCCATAGACCAGGCATCCCAAATCTTTAAAAATTTAAAAATTTATTTTATTATCTAAAAAAGCAAACCATAAGTGAAAATCCCATACATTCATCAGAAATTGCTGCTGGGACAAGTTCATCCAACAAATAGGCAACATCTTTAAATTAATTTTAAAAATTATTTTTTAAATTCAATTTCTTACCCAAAGTTTCTTTCATATAAATGTAGTATAGAAGGCGATAACTAGTAAATTCCCAACAATTTGGGCAATTTGGCACCAATTTGTATAATTGTTTTAGTTGGTTTTGGCATTGATTGAATTCTCTAAAAGTAAAAAAACTTATTATTAGAAAATAAAAAATGTCAGGAATCAGCTTCGGGATTTATGTTTTCCACCTATGACTGATCACACGTAAAACATGAAATGTTTACTGCAATCGCCATCAGAGAATGGATAACTTTTCTTCATTTTCCCAACATTTATTCTTCATTTCTATTTACGGGGCAAAGCTAAAATTTACCCACTCAACCACAAATACCTTTAGGTCACTTAATTTTGTTAGAACTTAATACATTTAGAAAACAAGAGAAAATAAAAAGAAATCTGAAAAATTGTTAACCTACAGGGAATTAAAACTTAAAAGTCAAATAAAAAATCTAAAAGACGAATAACTGAAAAAAAAACAAACTCTCTATCTTTATTTTCCAAAGCCACACGCGCATTAGTTTCATATACTTTAACTGTAAATGCATCCCGAATATTTTGAATCATTAAATCTTGTCGAATACTTTTTAATTGGTCTGACGCCTGAAAAATAAAGTTAAAAAATATTTTAAAAAATATATAAATTAATTAATTACATATCGATAATCACGTGTTTCTTTGTATTTTTTCTTTGCATTTTCCAATGAATGTAAAAGAATATTTGGAGGTCTAACTTGGCTAGGATCAGGTGCAGTTGTTAAACGGAAGAAGGATTTTTCTTGAAAATAATAAAATATATTTTATTATGTTTGGGCAAATTTTGTTTTTTAGGCTGCCGAAGCTTTGCCCTTAAAAATTTTAAAAATAATTTCCAAATTAACCATTAAATTCGTAGGGTAAGGATTAGGCAACCCAAAACATTCAAAATTTACCAATATCAGTACACGTCCCAACAATATTTAGTCCAACAAAACTTTGCGAAATTTCATTTGAAGTAACAAATAAATTTTGAGGAATTGGTGAATAACTAAAAATATATATATTAAAAGTAAAAAACAAATCTTCAAACTTTTTTTGTTGTCGTCTATTTGTGCCTCTTGTCCCAAACCGATCGTCGCTAGCAGCAAAACGTCTCGCTCGTTCCATTTTACGTTCACTTGGCATATCAATCTATGGATAAATTTTATTTAAAAATTTTAAACAAAATTTATTTCTAAACCTGCCACTTTTGTGGAGAAACTTCAATTGGAGTAAATAAAGTAAAAGCGTTGTTGGAGGTAGATGTTGGCTGATTTTTTGAGGCCTCCATTTCCAAACGCTGATGTTTTTCTTGAAACTTTTGAAGTTTTTTCAACTTTTTCCTTTCTTTTTTGCTCATTGTCTATAGAAATTTAAAAAAATTTTAAAGACATATTTTTTAAAAATACATTTTTTGGATCATCCAATTGTTGATATTTTTGCTGTTGAGAGTTCTCCCATTTGTAATCCATTTGAGCACCAAAAGCTGCGGCTCGAGGTCCTTGCTTTACAGTCAATGGCTTCATTTCAACTGTAGTAGTTGAAGAGGAAGAGACAGTTTGGACACTTTGAATACTCCGTTGATCAAAGTCTCGAAGAGGAGAACGACTTCTGCTACGTTTTGAGAGGGAAGGTAAGTGATCATGAACAGGGACAGAATGAAAAGAAGCAACTGACGATGATAAGAAGGAAGTTCCGGAACCGGGCGGCGCATATAAACCAGCATTGGTATTCATAGTCACTTGTACAGTTTGTCCATTCAAAGCAGGACTGAAAAGTTGGATATGATTAAGTAATTCATAATGGTGCAAGGCGAAATAAGGGGGGTCTGATTTAAAAAATCAGTACTAGAAAAGGTAGCACTCATCGGTTACATTTTAGTCTTCATTTACTTTCTTGCACAACCATGAAAATGAAGACAGAAAGGACTAATTTTGAAAAGGGTTGCCGGCCCGACCCGGTCCGAAAAATCGAGTCGGGCATCAAATTTTGACCCGAAACAGACTCGGTCGGGCCGGTCCGATAAACATGAGGCCCGAAAAAATGACTCGAACGTTGGTCAGACTCGAAAACCCCAACCCTAATTTCGAATAGAGTGGAAAACATATTGTGTTGAATACTGTTATAGAGATGAAGCCCATATGTATATTAAAAAAATTAAACCTTCTGGTAATCTGCGGAGTTTCTTTCCTCCAAGATCCTTCTGGGGCTTTGCTTCCAGTAGGTTGCATTGGTTTTTGCTGTTGATTCTTTAGAGTACAACTTGGGGTCCAACTAGTTTTTAATTTAAAGCCCAATTCGTGGGGTAAGGGTTCGGCAGCCTAAAACAGTCGAAATTTGCTATAAACTTTTAAGATCATATTAGTTAAATAAAAAGACTGAAACAATAAATATCCTAAATAAAATTAACCCAATTCACGGCATAAACAGCGCCAGATTTTAACAAAGGCTCAACGCGTAACTTTAAATACCCTTCTAGCTTTTCGCGATCTTCTTTGCCTTCAATAGCCTGGTAAGCACGTTCAATATAATTTCTGTAAGGGAAGGTTTAATATTATCCTGTTATCATAAAACCAACTTCAAATCATTCGGATATGCATTTACACCAGTTGATCCAAGAAATTTTTGCGTTTGAAATTGTTGAGGTGTAGGCGGTCTTGATGGGGAGACAGTAATACCACCAGGATTAAGCATAAATCTGATAGGTTTAAATGGACGAGGACTTTGCTGCAAACCTTTAAATTGAATTAAAAACTTGAAATTAAAAGTAAACACAATTTAAACCTGAAGCGATGTGCGGCGGAAGTGGCTGAGCATTCACCGGGACTGGTACCAAATTTGATGGATCAATACTAGAGGTTGAAGAGGTCATAGGCCTATAAGATGCATTCGATTGTACGGGAAATCGGCTGTTCTGTTGGTATTGGTAGTAAGGATTGTAACCAGTAGCACCTGCGAACGGAGACGAGTAGACACCTGTAGAGTACATTGTCGATCCTCCCATCTGTGGTGGCCAGCCATAATTTCGTGGAAAGGCAGAAGCATAAGTGTCTTGCTGCGCACTATAGGTATTTTTCGACCCAATAGAACGCAGTGCTTCTTGAGCTTTCATCCAGGCTTGGTTTTCTTCAGTTATCTCAGCAAGTGGAGGAACTGGAAGAGGAATATCATCAGGTACCGAAACTTGATTTTCTGAATGTTGAGGGTGTTGTTCACTATCGGCAGTCGAATGATTAACTGAATTATCAGTATCTCCCATTATTATTTGAAATTATTTTAAACTGAATAAATTAAGGGCGTTTTAGAAAAAAGAAAAAAGTACAAAGAAATGTATTAAAAACAACATTAAATAATGCAATATGTCAAAATATATGTACAATTTATCAAAATTTATTTAAATAGAAGCAAACTCAAAATAACAACAAAACGAATTCCGTTTAGATTTCCGGTTTAAACCCTTCAATAACTTTTGAACCTTCAGCATTAATAACAATTACACGAAAACCAGTCAAATGAATGATTGAACGTTTAGCAGATTGATCAATGCATTTCTTCACAGCATCAAGTCCTTCCTCTTCTGTCATATCTATTGGAATTAAAAAATAATATGAAGGTTAGTGTTGTATAGAAAATTTTGAATAAAGGAGATACCCGGTTTGTAAAGGTTGTCCATAATCGCATATCCAAAATTGCCAGGAAAGCCAGAAAATATGTAATCCTAAATTAGAAACAAGTAAGATTATAATGTACACAATTTTAATATTAAAACCTGGCATGGCAAATTAGTCGCATAATGATCCATCATACTCATAAAAGTTGTTTTGTCAAGTAAATCATAACCACCAATAATACAATTTACACGCCACATATCCTCAGAACGCAGATTTTCAGCCATCGACTTTCGCAACCAATGCTGCACAGCATGAGGACGCATTTCATAACCTTTTTAAAAAGCTTTAAAATAAAAGAAACCCGTCAAACCATTCCGACGTTCGTAAAGATCAATGTTAGCCTTCGCCCAAGTTGCAAAAGAATCCATATCTCCAGACTCCCCTCCACAAATCATATAAAGACGCTTTCCAAGCTTGTAATCACGTTCGTATTCTAAAAAATTTAGACTCTCATTTAGAAACAAAGAAAAACCTTTTGAAAGCTTGAGAGCCCCATACATGTACATATTTCTGTCCGCGGCAAGAATAACAAAATTGTCAGTACGAAGACCAATCAAGAAATGTGTTCCCATTTTCTTTTCTGTAAATCTGTCACAAGTTAAAAATGTATTAGAATTGTGAAATAAATGATGACAAAAACATATTTTAATATTCAAACAAATATCTCAACATTTATCAAAGAAGCAAATAAAACTAAAACATCTATAGAAAGAACAACTAAAAAAAGGAAATTTTCATGACTAATTTATAACAGAGATTTCTAAATATATATTAAAAATTACTCGTTTTACTAGTTTTTAAAATTGCTTGCAAGAGCAGCTCATATTTATTTCCTATTTATCAATTAACTTCTTATCCTCTCTGTTCAAGTAACGGAACTCCATCCATCTCGGGCGGCACAGGTAAGCCCATTAATTGCAGAACAGTTGGTGCAACATCACGTAAGGCTCGTGCACGTTCTTTGCCATCATCACCAGTAGGTGGAGTCGATTTAAAAACAAATTTTTTGGAAGAGCAAGTAAATGGGACTAAAAATTAAATTGAATTTAAGAAATAAAATTTAAACAAAAACAAACCCAAATTGCAGGTATGTGCAGTATGTTCACTACCATCGGCAGCAATCATCTTCTCAGCATTTCCATGATCAGAAGTAACCATAAGGACGTAATTGTATGCTTGACATGATTCGTAAATCCTTCCAATTGCCTCATCTAAAGTTAAAACTATTAAAAAAATCCTGGAAGGATTAAACTAACCCGTAGCTTGACATGCTCTGACGGCAGGTTCAAATTTGCCAGTATGTCCAACCATGTCAGGAGGCGCAAAATTGCACATAACAAACGGATGCCTGCCTGACTCAATTTGCTCGACCATCTTAAAAATAAAAATTTATTAATTAATTTCAGTTTTAATTTTAAAACTTTTTCAGCAACTCCAGCAGCATTCATTTCTGGTTTTAAGTCATATGTAGCAACTTCTTTTGGTGATGGAACCATACAACGCTCTTCATCTTGAAACTAAACAAGCGGCAGATTATTAAACTAAGTAATGAAAAACTAAAAATACTTGAACTTCTCGCCCACCATTGAAGAAGAAGGTAACATGAGGATACTTTTCAGTCTCTAAAGAAAGATACAAATAAATAATCAATTACAATTATATAAATTCAATTACCCGCACAATGAAATTGAGTAACTCCTTGAGAAGCAAGCCATTCAGCAAGCACATTAGTATGAGTCACAGGAGGGAAAAGTGATGGAAATGGAAACTCAAAAAGAAAATTATGAGAAAAATATTAAAGATTTCTAGAGCAAACTTCTTTATTGTATTGAGTCATCCCACTAATTTGAATATTTTTAGGATGAAGAATCGAACTATTAAGATCCTTATAACGTTCGAGACCCAAACATTCACAAATTTGACGCATACGATCAGCACGATAATTGAAGAAAATGAGAGTATCGTCGTCTAAAAAAGTTTTCTAAGAAATTAAAGAATTTTAAAACAACCTTTCACTCGCCCGTCGTCAGAAAAAACAATTGGTTTAAGAAATTCGTCAGTCTCGGATTGCGCATATCGCTCTCTAACAACATCGACAGCTCTATCCACAGTGGCTCTTTGCCCAATACCACCAATAATTGCCTCATAAGCCATCTAAAAAAAGAAAAACTAATACAAAACATTTCCTCCATATAACCTTAATACGCTCCCATCTTTTGTCCCTATCCATTGCATAATAACGCCCAGTAATAGTAGCCAATTCTCCATACTTTTCCGCAGAGATAAATTGAAGAAGTTGTTCAAGATAACCAGCTAATGTTTAAAAAAAGGTATCTTTTTGAAAAAATGTTTCCAAACCTCCACTTGTTGGCGACGTATCTCGACCATCAGCAAAAAAGTGAATGAAAACCTTTGGCACTTGTAAGTATTTAAATGCACGTATCAACGCAAAAAGATGATCAATATGAGAGTGCACGCCCCCATCGCTAACCTAAAAAATTTGGGAAGTTTTGAATGAAGTTTGAGTGACAAACCAGTCCTAACAAATGCAATCGACCACTCCCCTTCTTTGCACGCTCAGCTGATGCAACAATCTGAGGATTTGTAACAAACTCGTTTCGTTGAACAGCCAAATTAATTCGGACAATATCCTCAAGTTTTTAATAATGATTAGAGAATGATAAAATATTTACCTGATAAATAACTCTTCCAGCTCCAATATTCAAATGTCCAACTTCAGAATTTCCCATTAAGCCTTCTGGCAATCCAACATGAAGACCGTGTGCTTCCAATTTTTGCCAATTTCCAGAACAAAGTTTGTCCATAATAGGCGTTCTAGCTTCAGCAATTGCATTCCCATGTTTTTCATCGGAAAGGCCCCATCCGTCAATAACTACAAGACAGACTTTTTGTTGGATATTTTGATAGTTGTCCATCTTAAATTTTTTATTATATATATTGCCGGGAAAATGATGGGCCAGACGCACAAATTTTCCTTTTTCAACTTTGTTGGAGACAGAATAGAATAGGATAATTTGATGAAGGGAAAATTTGTGCGTCAGGCACTATCTTCTTTTTCACCAATGTAAGTGAATTTGGTACTAATGCCGTTTCCCGTCACTGCCCTTTTTTCTTGAAGCACAGAGTACATTTAATGATTTAGGATTTGGCTAACGGGAGGACCGATCGAGTCTTTTCGGGCTAGAATTCGATGCCCGATTCGATCGGGGGAATTCGGATTTAATTTCGGCCCCAGCCCTAATTATGTGCATCAAGAAAAAAATGGACAAGGACGGGAAACGTCACTAATACCTAGAATTGAACTCTGAGATTAAAAAATAGAAAATTTTAAAAGTCATCAAATTTGTAACTGACAGAATAGCCAAAACTTTCACTGAAAGCTGAAACCCAAAAGATCACCTCAAATTTTCTAGCTGTGACGAATCATAGTGACGAAATGTAACTTTACCAAATTGACCTTAGCAGAACACTTCAGTCTCACTTTTTTATTTTCAAGCCGTTTCAGTCACCAGCAGATTTTGTCCCTTTTCTCGGTTTTTTGGAGATACCGGGGGGAAACTTTGATCGGAGATTCCTTATTTCTCCACTGGCAGATCAATTCTCAATTTCTTTTACCCTAACTTTACGAGGGTTCCTTTATTTGTCATGAAGGGGTTTTTCTTAAACAAAAAACCTTTACATTTTTCAGATGATTTCTTTTATATATGCAATAATTTCACGTAATTTCATTAATAAATTAAAATATCCAAAAATACAGCTAATCAGAACATTTTCCTTATCTAATCAAAAAAATAAAATTGGAGATGAATTTGACAATTCAGCATTTGAAAATACTTTTGGATTTAACTTTAAGGTAAATTTATCTTTTTTTTATTAAAAAAATTTTTTTCTAGAAAGAAAAACCAAAAACATCAAAAGAAGTAGAAGAACGATTAATTGCTATTTTGTATAAATTTGATAAACGCAGGGATTTTTTGTTTAATCTTGGTTCACAAATGCATTGGGATATGGGGATTAAAATAGCTGATATTGATGAGGTTATTTTTTTAAATTTTTTTCTGAAATTTAAAGAAAAATTGATATTTAGTTTTTGGATTTTGTTGAGACCGAATTGGACGTGGATATGCACAATGGACATTTTTTGGATTTTACAACCCTTCGAGATGTTCATAGTCATATTTGTAATGAATTATTTATTCCAAATGTTAGAAAAACTATTAGACAAAGAAAAGCAGAACAGAAAAAGGAAGCGGAGGAGGAAAGGGAAAAATCAAAAATTGAACAAGCAAATTAAATAAAAGTAGACGTGTCGGGCTAATTCAAGGCGGACAAGTCACGGAACGGACAAGTTACGTTATAATTTAAAAATCGGAATTTTTGGAAAAATCTGAATATTTTTAAAAACAGAATTTTAAAAAATTCTGAAAATCTATTATTTCTAAAAATATTCTGATTTTTAAAATATTCCGTGTTTTGGTCATTCCTTGAGTTGATAATCCCGTGGCTTGTCGTTCCGCGACTTGTCTGCTCCGTGAGTTGGAATTCCTCGAGTTAGCCCCCACCCAAACGTAGAATAAATTTAAAAAATTTTTTAATTCGAAATTGAAGCTATTCTTCATTTAAATTCCTCAAAAAATTTAATTTCTCTAATCTAAAAAATTTTTCTTTTAGCTATTAAGTAAATGTCACTTTCTCTCTTAAAAATATTTTTTTCTGTTTCAAAAATTCAAAATAGAAGGGCTTGTTCACTTCTCTTTAATTCAAAAAATTTACTTTTCAATAGAAACATTTCTTTAAAAAATGTGAGAAATATAAAAACAAAAAAAGAATTTGATGACAATTTATTTGAGGAATTATATGGATTTAAATTCAAGGTTTTTTTAATTTTAAAATAATTTTTTTCTTAATTTTTTTTAAAGAAACAATTAACTCGTGAAGAAATTAAACAAAAAATATTGGAAATAATCAAAAGACAGCCTTCAATAAATCAAGAATTAATTAAAGAAAAGGGTCTTAATGCATGGTTTACATCTCTAGGAATTAATAATTCAAAAAGGAAGGTTAGATATTTTGGTAATTTATTAATATCCCCCATCCCTTTCATTCTTTCCGTCACACGTTATAAGTAAATGGCAAGTTAGAAGGAGAAATTAGAAAGGAGGCCTAAATTGTCATTTAAAATTTGTGGGGGAAAGAATGATTGACAGTAAAAAGGGAAAATTAATCAGAGACTCAAATAAGGATGGGGGTGGGGGGATATTAATAAAGTACCGATATTTTTCTGAATTTTTTTAAGTTATTTGATGAAATTTGTAATGAATTTGATGTTCAATTACCTCTTAGTGAATATGATAATATACAAACTGGTTTAGATATTTGTGAAATTGTTTGTGATTTAGTTAATGCTAAAGAGTAAAAGAAAAAGATTCTTAACTTTTATTTGTAATATATTTAAATGAATTTAAAAAATATTTTAAATATTCTTTTAAGATAATATTACTTTATTTATTATTTCTATTATTCTTTTCATTTCCTCATTTATTGTTAAAATTGTTTAAAAATTAATTTTATTAATCAAAAAGAATTAATTTATTTTTTGAAATATTTTTTAATTTATAAAATTTTCTACCTAAATTCATTAAAACAGTTACGAGTTTGAATTCTACTGTGATAGTAGTATTACTGTTTTATTCTTTGCCTTACACTAAGTTCTCAGAATGCATATTGAATAGTAAAGGGGATTATTATACTATTTAAAAAAGGTTGAATGGAAGTTAACATCTTCAACAGATGTGTTGGTCTTCTGTTCATTGGAATGCGTTTAGGTCCCTAATACCAAAAAGTTCTGCTCTGACAAACGTGTTTGCAATATTTTAACTAATACTTGCCTTCTTTCCTATAAATGCTTTTCCAATTTTTCTCATTTAACCCGAAGCAAATAACGATTATATTTTTTGATAAGCTCCTTTTCCTATTTAAATGTAAATTCTGCATTTGTTTTCCTCATTTTTTATAGGTAAATAAAATTATTTCTAAATGTTTGCTAATAAATACAGCAAGCACGACTTCTCCAAGCTACGCAATGATGCTTTTTGGGAATTTCTTTTTTCAAAGCACCCATTCGATCAAGTTAGACGAGTCAGTTGATTTAATTAAAATTTTTCATTTCAACTTTAATTTTTAGGAAAATCTTAACAAACTAGTCAGTCTTTTCAACGAGAAAGAAAATGGCAAATTTACTTTTATTACACTCAACAAACTTTACTTTAAAAATTATGGAGAATATTTAACACCAAGATTTGTATGCTTTTTCTTATCAGAAAATTTTTAAAATTAATTTCTTAGTTGAGGGATTTATTCTGCACTCGATTAATGCCAGAAGGTTACGAATTTGAAGTGTTCCGTTATTGTGGCCGAATGTTTATATTGCAAGAACCAGACATCATTTCACTTACAATCGATGAATCCAGCGAAGAAAAAAATATTTTTGTACGTTTTTAGTGGAGGGGATTGGAGTGGAGGGGATCTTATTTTTAATTTTTAAGGTCAGTTCGGCTCCACAAATCAATGCGGAAATCTACAAAAATTTAAAAATAGCCGACAAAGTTTTCGAAATAATTCCAGAACAGAAAAGAATGTTATTGACAGATGTCGTTAGTTTTTTTAATTTCTTGGTTATTTTCAATTTCTAATTTTTAAGATGAATATGTTAAAAACTACAAAAGAATATAATGAAGTAAGAGGAAAGCTGCCTTGTACGCCTACGCCGCATTTGGAGCCAATCAAATTCGCTGGCTTTCTCCATTTGTATTGGGATGATGTTTTCAAATTAATGCCTGGTTTTTTGACTTTTTATTTAAGAATTTAATTTCGAATTTTTTAGACTCTGAAAATGGCCAGATTTGGATTAAACGACATGTCCTACACCATCAAAAACCTTCACAGGAGCGTAAATATATGAAGGAGGTTTTTATTTTTTTCTCTACGAATTATAATTTTTTTTTCTTCGTAGATATTGTCAACTCTTCCTCGGTATCCTATCCCATCGGACATTTTGACTAAACCTCATGTAGTGCATGTTCAGGTCAGCAAATTGCCAACAGATGGCGTTGGACTTCAACTTCTTGAATTAAATGATGATTTTCAATTTGTAATGAGTGAATTGAGGTTTTTGTTTTTTGAGTATTTTTGAACTCGGTTTAATTAAGGCAATACTACGATGAAATTAAAAAATTAAAACCTGTAGATGAGAAGGCTAGAAGACTACACCAAAATGAAACTTTTGAGGGTTGCTGTTGTTTATATGCCCATTTTTCTGAAAATGGAATGAGGGAATTTAGGCGTGGAATAATTACTGGACAAAGCAATGGACTAGCTATGGTTGGGAATTTTTAGATAAAATATTTTTGAGCTAGTAAAAAATCAGAAATTACAAAACCGATTTTTCCTTATTAATATCCGTCCTCAAATCCTCACTTCTCTTGTTGCTCTTTTGAATCAATTTCTCATTTCTCTAATCTTCTAAATTCAAGGTCCAAGATGCTGATTTTCCCTGGATTGGACTTGTTGAACTCCGCAACCTATATCAAATTCCTCGCCATCTGGTCGGGATTCGCCAGACTTGTGTTTATGGAGTATTTGGTGGTTTTAACATGAAGACAGAGAATGAGGTTGGATTTTAAAATTGAATATTTTTATTAATTTTTTTTAATTTAGAGAGCTTTGTGGGATGGAATTTGTCGTGAAATGTGCAGGCCAGGAGTGCGGAATGTTGCAACCTTCCATCGTTTAGCAGAACGGATTGACTACAGCGGGCGAAAGAAGTATGCAATCTACCAAGTGACCATTCAGGTTAATGAGATTGGAAAACTAGCCCCAATATTAAGCTTTCCTGGAAGTTTTTGACACAATTTCTTAATTATTTTTATAATGTTTTTTTTTAATTTTTTAGACTAATAGTAAGTAAGGTGCTAACCTCTATAACTCTATAAAAATGTTTATTTTATTTTTCATTGCATAGGATCATAACTGAAATTCAATTTCTAATTTTTAAGTATTTTTCGAGTTATAAATGTTTGCACTACTTGACCATTTATTCTTAATTTTTTTAATTGTTGTATTCGTGTATTTAATTTATTCATTTATTGTCTCTAATTTTTTAAATGCCTAAATTCTATAAATTCTTAATTTTTTTATAAAATGCCCAAAATTCTTATGTTCAGATTTTTTGAAAGATTTTCACAATTATTTTTTAAAGTTTATTTTTAAAATCACCAAATGTTCAAAAATATATTTTCAAAAAAATTTATTTAATTTTTAATTCGTTCAAGATAATATGCCGTAGAACGTGTCATCCTTTCAGCTACACTCATTTGTTTTTTCTTCTGCCCCTCACTTTTTGTACTACCTAATGGAGTAGAAAATTCACTCGTTGAAGTAGTAACTTCCATTTCAGTAATCTCTTCAGCATTGTTTTCTTCAGAATTTTTAGCCTCTGGCTTGATAGAAGTTTCTTTTGGAGTAATCTGGAAATATGTATTTGTGGAATTTTAAAATTTTTGACGAAAATCTTTCCTTTAACGATTAACGGTAATAGTTTGGCTGACCATCCCCCTTTTTTCTTTTTTTTCAATTTTTTCTACTTTTTATGGCAAATTAGCCATATACCATTCGAAAGAGTATAAAATAGAGCAAAAAGCTCGAAATGGACAGGAAAAAGGGGGATGGCCAGCCAAACTATTACCCGATTAACTTATTAACAGAAAACAGATAGGTAGGAACCGATGGACAGATTTTTAACTAAAAACTTATTTTTAACATTTATTATATTTTTAACTAATAACCTTATTTTCCATTTGACACTTAACTTCTTTATTTTCACTCTTTCGAGGTTGCACAACTTCCATTTTAACATCTTCCGGATTATTCTTTTTATTGTTTGGCAAATCAATTTTTAAATAAATTGTATCCCGAGTTCGTAAAGCTGCATGTTCAACTAAACCAGTTGGAGTGTGTAATTTATTAAGTAGAAAATGTCTAGAAAATATTTTTTGTCAAAAATTTTTAAAGAAAATTTAAATTAACTCAAAATTAGAAGCATCTACAGCAGTTAAAGTTCCATTTAAATTAGCACCAAACATTTTTGCTTCAACATTTTTATTAGGCAACCATTTAAGAAAACGAAGAAAACGCTGTCTCAATTCAACATTTGCTATTTGAGTTTCCTAGAAAATTTTAAAAAAATAGAAAATAAAATTATTTACCTCGTCTAAATTTTGTGAATGTTCCATTTGAAATTTTTTAATCAAGCTAAATTTAAAGAATTTTGAAAGACAAATTTAAAAGAAAAGAAGGATAAATATAAAGAATTTTAAAAACGCTTTTTATCCGCTCTCCGTTTACCGCACTGAAATATCTTGATTTTTTCTGGATTTCGGACGGTTCGAAACCACTTATTTCAGTGTGTGGGAAACGCCCAAGTAGGCGCGCGGCCATAACGGCGCAAAGCCATAACTTGCTGGAAAATTTCTGACCCTTATTAATTTTGGTACCAATCTCCTTAGCTCATTTAGTGGAATCGTTTAACACTAAATTTGGTAGAATTCGGAAATCTTGAAGCAATTTATGGCCTTGCGCCTTAATGATCGCGCGCCGTTTTGGGCGTGTCCCTGTTTTTTGTTAGGATTTCTTTATTTGGATTTTTTTATTTTCAGTTGTTGCATTTGATGAAAAAATGGTTAGAACCTTGTCAAATATAAAATTAATTTCTATATTTTATATTTTAGTTACCAAGACGAAGAGGATTCCAATCTGTCAATGTTCACGACAAAACTCGTACCCACATGCTTTTTTCTACAGCTTCTGATAGAAGTATTGCAAAACGGAAACGGCGGCCTCACAGTATTTTATTTTTAATTTTTGTAAATTTATTTTTTGATTTTTACAGACAGATTCCATCAAATGCAGCAACACAAAAGGGATGATTTAATTCAAACAGGGCCAACAGAATTAGATCCAATGCAATGGACTGGCAATCAAAGGGTTATACATTTTGGCCCAATGGCACAAAGAGACCCTTTTTTCTATTTTTATCCAAAAGGATGGGATTTACTTTATCCGGCACATTTTGGATTTTTCCCTTATAGAACAAAGTTTGTTTGTTTTTTAATTTTTAAATAATTTATATATTTTTAAAGTAAATATCGGGGCAGTTCTGCTGTAATTTGTGTTTGGGCTTTTGGAATGTTTTTTATGCTTGGAGGGGCTATGATGGTTTATTTGGGGTATTTTCTGATTTATCAACAACCTTTTTGGAGATGGACAGAAGAAGAGGCAATGAATAATATGATTCCTCCCGTTCAAATAGCCGGACCTATTTTGTTGGCTTTGGGAATTTTGTTGGTTTTGATTGCTATTTTTGCATCAATTACTACTTCACAGGTATTTATTTCTTTATTTTCTTGTTGCATAAAAAATGATCATAAATCAAAAATTAACACAAGGAAGGAGGAATAATGTTATTGTTTTAACATCTAAAGTCTACTAAAGTAAGTAATTGTGCCTGAAGGTCGCAGGTTTGATTCCTGACCGGTGGGGCAATCTTTTGATTGCTTTTCGCTTTCAGAATTTTTACTGATCAAAAAATCCAAGATTATTAATTAATTTATTTATTGTTCTCGTAATGTACTTGTGGCTAAGTGGGTTATATTTTATTTTGTATTAGTTTTGGAAGGAGTGATGACCAATTTAAATATTTAGTGGGAATCTCTATGAATAGTTGTGATTTTATTAAAATTTAAATATTCTCTGACCTTCCAAAAAATTTTATTAATTTTTATAACTAATTGAAATTCTTTTTTAAAGTTTTTGAGTGATAAACTCCGTCATCACCATCATGGGGATCAACCAGCTTCTGTGACTGTTTACACAACTCATTATCAGGTTTTACGAAGAAATGAGTCTTAAATGGTTATTAAATTTTATAGCAACCTCGAGCTGTTTATGAAGTAAATCCTTATCAACCTCTGCCTCCACCTGTTCAAACTATTATGGAGAACCCGAATGCTCGGACTTATTTGGTTGATCCAAATAAAGAAATGAAATTGTTTCCACCTGTGTATGTTTCTTTTTTCATTTTTTTAGCAAAAATTTTTGAGAAATAGGCTCCATTTCTGATGCTAATTTATTTTTTAATTTCTTTCCCTTCCACAAACGTTCTGTTTAATTATTAAAATTTTTTAAATATTTTTTTAAGTGTTCATGGCCATTCTACTCTTTCATTACAAGGACAGCCTTCACCTTCATTTGTTGCTTCCCCTTATAATACCCTTCGTGCTGTATCTATGCATAGGTAAATTTTAAATGTGATTTTCTTTTAATTTCTATCTAAAGTTCTCCTTCTGTTGCCGATCTTTTACAAACAGAAGCTCAACAACACCATATTCATTTTAAACAACAATCTCCAGCAAAACGTAAAAGAAATAGTTCAACTGTTAGTATATCTAGTGCTATAGCTTTTGCCAGTCAAAAACATCAAAAAAGACTTTCCCGTCGAAGATCTTCTAGTGAAGAAGAGGCTGCTTTATTTGCAGCACACAGGCAAAGAAAAAGAAGTTTAACGGGAGTTACAGTTACAAAAAACTAAAAAATATTTTTTTAAGTATAGTCGAAACCAGACTGGTGCATGGATACGGATTTTGCTATCCGTATCCGGATATATCCGTAGGGTCAATATCCGTAACCGTTTGTATCCGTCCAACTTTTGAGTCATATCCATCCGCGGATATCCGCGGATATATCCGTTTTTTCTCAAAATGGTCAGCCTATCTAAAATTTTAAAATGGTCAAATTTATTTTAATTCGAGTAATAGTTAGATAATGCTGTAATAACTGCATGCGGCAAAACGAACCTTGCTTATGAACATCGGAGGTTCTAAAATCCAACGCACCATATCAGGGATCATACCGACAAAAAATAAAATTTTGAAAATTTTGAGAATTTTTGAAAAGTTAAATTCCCGGTTTCGGACCGGAATGAAAATTTCCTTAACTGACCAGTTGATTTTAGCGCCGCAGGCAAAAATTTTGAGAATTTTGGAAGACCATGAATTAAAAATTCTTCCATTTTTAGCGCCGTAGGCGAAAATTTTGAAAATTTCGAAGGCCGTAGGCCAAAAAATTCACTTTTTTGCCCCAGCCCTTCCCCAAATTTTTCCCTTTTCCCCATTTCGGGGGGGGGGGGGGAGGAATTCCCCTACTACCCCCCTGGCTACGGGCCTGTCCCCCTCCATCCATGATTATGAGCCTGGTATAGGTTTTTGGACCTCCAAAATTATGAAAATTTTCGTTGCTCAGCTAAAAGTGAATTTTTTGGCTTATGGCTTTTTAAAATTCTCAAAATTTTCGCCTGCGGCGCTAGAAAAGAATGAAATATGGTTTATTGGCTTTTCAAAATTCTAAAAATTTTTGCACTGAGGGCTCCCCGAGCCTTCGGGTTCTGGATCGTTGGGGATCAGGGTTTGCCGGTCAGAGTATGTCGTGGTCCGGGGTCGTGGTTGACATTTGGTTCGGGGTTTGGGGTCAGGCGCGAGATTTTCTCTCGTCAAAATGTATGTTTAAAATTTAATCTGTGATATTTAATCGCATAAATTAGGGACGGATATCCGCGGATTTGGAGCATCATATCCGTATCCATCCGTATCCGTCCAATTTTTTAAAAAACACTATCCATATCCGTCCGTATCCGCGGATACCCGCGGATATCCGGATATTATCCGTATCCGTGCACCAGTCTGGTCGAAACTTAATTTTACATCCTCAGATACTTTGGTTATCTCCCACCATTTTTTCGAGCCTCATTATTATCGGACCGTTCCGATCGTATCTTTTCGGGCCAAAATTGATGCCCGACCTGACCTTTCTGACCGGAACGGACCCTTAACTCTAGTCATTATGTTGCTCATGTGTATTTTTTGGAGAAAGGAAAAGAGAAGAAAAATAAAATGGTGGGAGCCAACCACAAAATACCCATCATTTAAAATTATTTTTTAAATTTTGGTCTTGTCGTTGGGGTTTGGAATTTTTTCAGCCTCATTTTGGTATGTAAAATTGAGATTCGATTTTAATTAGGTTTCGTTTCTTTTTATAGAAAATATTTTTTAATTAATAAGCAGACATCCTTTTTTCCTTCCCCGTGAAGCCTTGCTAAAGATAAGCCTTAAAATAATTTTAATTAAACATTTTGCCTTTCAATTTGTTTTACATACAATATTCTTTTCTAGTATTTTTTAACTTTGTTAATCTGCTCAATTTTTATAGCTTTAAATTGCCTTTTAATTGCCATAATAATTGTTTTTAATTTTTTAAAATGATTTTTTGCTCAAAATTTTAATAAATATTTTAATTTTAAATTATTTTGGTTTTTTAAAAATTAATATTTATTTTAAAAAATATTTTTTCTTTTTAAATAATTTATACATTTTTTGTTTTTAGAAGTATTATAGCGGTGAGCAGGAAAGCATTAACAACTTTAAATAATATACAAATAAAATATTCTATCGATTCTTATGTTTAAAGGAACGCTTGGACAGACTTTTAAGCAATGTGTGGCCTTATAAAGCCTTAAAGCATCCGTTAATGTCTTAAGAAATGGATGAAAGTTTTGGGGATTAACACTGGCTTATTAAATATTTAGTGTTAATCTCCAACTCTGAAGGCTTTAAAGCCTTTATTCTGGATCCTTTGGTTTTGAAATTAACGGATTCTAAAGCCTTGCAGGCAGAGGATCTCTAACTTATTGGTACAGAAAATGTCAGTACTTTCCCTAAATGAAGTCGGAAAGTATTTTTTAATGTACCAAAATAATTTGTACAGCCAGATTTTGCTGACAAAGGATCTAACGCTTCTTGACTGTTTAATAAATATGCAAGCATATTTAAAGTATATAACAGCCAAGTGAATTATGATTTCCTACATTAAATAAATTTTTTCTCTCCGATATTAATTTTTCCTCCAGTTTTCAATAATATTTTTAAATTTTATGTAGATCTATTCTTATTTTAATTTTATGACGCAACTTGGGAATTATTTTATGAAAATAAATAGCAACAAATAATAATTATTTTTAAAAGAATTTAATAATAAAAATGTTTCCTTCTCCCCAACAACGACAAAAACAAAATGTAAAATCAAATGTTAAACCAGGATTTTATACAATTGAATTAAACAAATCTGTTTGGGTTATTCCTGAATGTTATCAAAAACGTAAATTTAATAAATGATTTTTTTAAAAAATATTTTTTAAAGTTACTCCCGTTGGGACTGGTGCTTATGGAGCTGTTTGGTTAATTTTAAAATATTTCCCCTTTATTAAAAAATTAATTTCAAGCTCTGCCGAATGTATAACTACCGGTGATCGAGTTGCAATTAAAAAATTTACTCGTCCATTCCAAAGCCCAATCCATGCAAAAAGAACACAAAGAGAATTGAGACTTTTACGTTTAATGAGACACGAAAATGTTATTGATTTATATGATATGTTTACTCCTGATAATTCTGCTGAAACTTTAGAGGATGTGTATGTCTTTAATTATTTAAAAATGGGGTTTTAAAAATATTTTTTGGAGTTATTGTTGAGATAAAATGACTGGTTTTACTCACAAGGAACCAACTTTGAACGGCCATAACTCGGCCCAAACTAATTTTGCAAGAAAACCCGCACACATTAATAGGAAATCGAGGGTCCTCTATCGAATGGTATCAAAAAATACTGAATTCTTGGTCACAGTAACATATGGTTCCTTGTCAGAAATATTAATCTACTCAGGGTGATAATTATTTTTAGGAAAATATAAGAAATGATTTTTATGAGAATTTCTTTTCAACATATTTTGTTATTTCCCATTTTACAATCAGTTTTACACCCTCGCTCTTAAAGTTCTTGTATTTTTAAAATTATTTTTAAATATTTATTTTCCTAATTTTTTCGATTTTCTTTAAAATTAAATTGACAACTAATTTATTTTTATTTTTTAAAGTTATTTTGTTTCAATTTTAATGGGTGCAGACCTTTCAAACATTTTAAAAATTCAACGTCTTAGTGATGATCACATTCAATTTTTGGTTTATCAAATATTACGTGCCCTAAAAGTTTTTTTTAATTTTTATTTAAAGATTTTATTTATTTTTTTTAAGTATATTCATTCAGCAGGAATTATTCATAGAGATTTAAAACCTTCAAATATAGCTGTAAATGAGGATTGTGAATTAAAAGTATTTCTTAAATTTAAATTAAAAATAATTTTTAAATTAAAGATTTTGGATTTTGGTTTGGCTAGACAAGCAGATCAAGAAATGACTGGGTATGTTGCTACACGTTGGTATAGAGCACCCGAAATTATGTTAAATTGGATGCATTATACACAAACTGGTAATTTTTTAACTAAATGAATGATTAGAAAAATCCATTGGTGGAAAAATTTTAGGGTGTGGCTAATTGTAAAAAATTGTTTTTTGTTAGAAAAATAAAAAACGACTTTTCCTTTTTTGGGTTTGGCTAGACAAGCACAGAAATTTCCTTTTTAGGGCGAAAATTAATCTTTTTTGATTACTCTCTTTCCAATAATTTTTTTTCACTGTTTCATGTGAGAGTTGTAGCCGCATTGGTTTAGCCCTCCTGGCTACGCCCTTGATTTCTATTATTAATTATTGATTAGAATTTTGACAGAAAAATTTTTTAATAAATAATTTTATTTTTTTAAAGTTGATATTTGGTCTGTTGGTTGTATTATGGCAGAATTGATAACTGGAAAAACATTATTTCCTGGAGCTGATCGTAAAACTAAATAATATTTTTTTAAATAAATATTTTTTTAGATATTGATCAATTAACACGTATAATGTCTGTTTGTGGAACACCCAGTGAAGAATTTTTAAAAGTAAAAAAAATTTTAAAAATTAAAAATATTTTTATTTTTAAAGAAAATTTCATCAGAAGAAGCTCGTAATTATATTAGAAATATGCCTAGAATTGAAAGAAAAAATTTTAAATCTTTTTTCCAAGCGGCAACTCCTGAAGCTGTTGATTTTCTTGAAAGAACGTTAAATTTAGATCCGGATTATAGGTAAGGGAATTAAATAAATAATATGAAATTGTTAATTGGGGTTTACTATAAACTTGAGTTAATTTTTATTTTTAGATGGTCTAAAATCTATTGATTTCTATATGAAGCCCCAAATTCTGTACCATACTACCGATGAAATACATATATCCATAAAACTGAAAAGTAGCACGGTTCCACCCGGGCTCTAATATAATGGATTTGAGTTTTGGTTCGAAAATTTTGTCGTCTTACAAGGGAACATTCCGAACTGTGTGTAAAAATTTTGAAAAATCTTTTTTGCCAATTTGCCTTTGCCAATTTTTGGATTTTTTGGCCCTAACCTTCGAATCGAAAAGTTTGTTAGATTTGATAATACTAAAACTCGTAAATATTTTTTAAATTTTAAATATTTAAAGGCCAACAGCTGCACAAGCTATGGAACATCCCTATTTTAAACAATATCACGATCCAAATGATGAACCCATTGCTGATTCTCATATAGAAGTAGATATAGAACAGGATTTGAGTATTGGTAATTATTTTAAAAGAAATTCTTTTTAATTAAAAATAATTAAAAAGATCAATGGCGTCAAATGATTTGGACAGAAATTGAAGAATTTCAATTACAACAACAACGAATTCAAAGCGAACAACAACAAAAAGAACATCAAAAACAAAATGATAATATTGTGGAAGAATCAGAAATGATTTAGAAAAAAAGAAAAATTAATTAAAATGGTGGGAAGTTTGAAGATTTTAATTAAAATTTAATAGACATTTCCGACGTTTTTCTCGCTAAGTAGAAACTGTCCTTAAAGAAATTATAATACACCCTCTTTAAAAGGGTACACCCAACGTACCGCAGAGCTATAACTTCGTTCAAAATGGTCGAATCCGGGACGCCATGAGATGCATTGAACGCATTGAACCATACCAAGGCGTCCCGGATTCGACTATTTTTAACGAAGTTATAGCTCTGCGGTACGTTGGCCTGCTCCCTCTTAAAAAATTTGAATTTAGCCCGCCTGACGGAATACTGAAGATTTGAAGAAAAATTTTAGGGTAAATTATAATTTCTTGAAACTTTATAGGTAATTTTGACAATTTTTGTAAAATTTAATTTACGCACATCACCGGTTATCTCTCTAATGGTATAAGAATATGTTTCACTTTCAATTATTTTGAGAGCGCAAATGTATCTAAAGTTTACAAAGAATTTTATTCACTAGAAAATTATTTTCCAAAAAATTCTATGGCTTAAAAATATCCTAATTTCATTTAACGCTCTCAACATAATTCTCTTGTAAAATATTCTCTTGTAAAATAATCTCAAAAATCACTTCATATTTTCTAATACAAGCGATCTAACTTGTAGTACCGTTCGAAAAATAACTGACATTAATGCAAGACTGTTTCATAAATGCACGACGTCTAACTGAGATCGAGTGTATTTTGAAAATATATTTTTGGAATCTTTTAATCAAATATACGATAGAACCACTTTACGTTTTTTTTAAATTTTTCAGTAAATAAAATATTTTAAAACAAACTATTTATTTAAATCCATAAAATAACAAGCAATATATTTTTTCACAACATATAAGAACGGCAAAATAAACATTCCCTATTTAAATTATGCAGATGACAACCCTGAAACAATTTCTTCCACTTTCTTACTAAATTTTTGAGCAGTCTCTTCATCTCGGAATTTGGCCAAAAAAGTTTCATCACTCCCTTCAATATTTTCGCTAGAATCCTAAAAATTTTGTTTTTCAAAAACAAAATTTTTGGTTTAAATTTTAAAACAAACCTTGCATCTCCAAATTAAACAATTTGGCTTTTCTTTTTTCTCAACTTTAAAATTGGCAAAAAGTACAAAATTAGCAAATAATTTAGATAATCCTTCACTGTTGCGGGCAACACAACGATAACGATTTTTTTGTTTATCAAATAAAATCTAAAAATAAAATTAAATGTTTAAATATTTAAAAAAACCAAAAAAACCTTTAAATCGCCAGTTCCCCTCGTTTTATATTCTTTATCAGCTTTATCAAAACGAAACAAACGGCAACGAGCCTCAAAAACAATCTAAAAAAGAAAATTAAATTTTTCTTTATTTAAAAGACTAAAAAAACCTCCTCATTTTCTTCCCCACTTTTAGTCTCAATTTTTGATGGCAATGGAACAATTGGCTGAAAATTATCTTTTGGAGTAAATTCTTCTGGTTTATCGTCTCCATCTTCTTCATTATCTTGGAAAAAAAATATTTTTAAATTTGTTTTATTTAAAAATAACCATTATTATTTTTTGCAGCTTCAGTTGTAGAAGATGAAAACAATGAAGACGAAGTACCGCCAAATAAAGACGGTTTAGATGAAAGTCCAAAAGAAAATGTTGAAACAGTGGAGGTTGTTGAAGTTGTAGTAGAGGTGGTTGTTGTTGTGGCAGTTAATCCTCCTGTTGTTTTGTCAAGAGAGAAAAAAGATGGAAAGGTGGATGGAAATTTAAGTGCAGAAGAAACTTAAAAAAATATTAAAAAGTAGGCATTAATATTTTTTAGTTATGGTAAAGTAAATAAGAAGACGAGGCTTCGAATTAAAAAAAAATTTTTTCAAAATAGCAAGGTTTTTAGGTCTCAAAAACTGTAGGTCGCAAAAAATAGGTAAAATAGGTCGAAAAAAATAATCAAAAAATACAAAATAGGTCTAAAAACTGTTCGAAAAGTCCCTTTTCTTACAAGGGAACATCGTTTACTGTCAGTGCGAATTTGATAATTTATTTGGTCCACAATAGTAAGTCGAGGGTCCTCTATCGAATGGTACTAAAAAATTATCAAATTCGCACTAACAGTAAACGATGTTCCAATGTTAGATTTCGCGTCCATCAAAAAGTTCGAACAAATAATCTTAAATTTACAACAAATGAAAGTTTCCGTTTACCTACAATAATTTAGAAACTCCTAATATTTTTTAATTATTTAAAAATTTTCTTTTAAATCGTTACCATTATTTTCTTTTGAAGTCTCAAATATATTAGAAGTATTAGAAGACAAATTTGAACTAATACCACCAAATGGTTTAGACAAAGAACCACCAAAAGAAAATGTTGGAACTGTAGAGGTTGTTGTTTTTGTTGAAGTTATTGGAGTAATTAAATTTGAAGTTGTTTTTGTAATTGTAGAATTTGTTTCTCTATTTGTTTTATCAGAAAAAGAAGGAAAAAGTGACGATTTGATGACAGAAGCTTTTAAAAAAATGTTTATATTTTAAATATTAAATTATTAAATATTAGAGCTGGGCTCGGGAAGGCTAACTTGGTCTTTCAGGACCTGGTAAAACATATACTTGAAAAGGGTAAAGCCCAAGTAGGGCCATAACTTGCTTCAAGATTTCCGAATCCTAACAATGATTTCTCTCATCGAGCTAAAGAGATTGGTACCAAAATTGATAAGAGCCAAAAATTTCCAGCAAGTTATGGCTTTGCGCCGTTATGGCCGCGCGCCTAATTGGGCATATCCCACATGAAAAATTTTAACCTGAAATCTGGTCTTGTTAAAATAAAAAAAAGAAAAGGGGCAAGACTTTCTCAAAAATACAAAACAGTAAAATATTTCTTCAATGTATTGTGCGAAAACTCTACTTATCACAAAAATTTCCTCGTAAATTATTTAACAAAAAATTTAAAATACCATTATTATCTTTTGTCGTCTCAACTGCAGGAGTCGAAAATAATGAATTAGTGCCACTAAACAAATTAACCGCCGGTTTTGAAGAACCAAAAACAAATGGAGGAGCAGCAGAAGAAACAGTTGTTGTTGTTGTTGTAATATTTGATGTAAATATTGGAGTAGTTAAAGTAATTTCCCCAGTTGTTTTTTGAGTAGAAAAAGAAGGAAAAGTTGGCAATTGGTTGGCAGAAATTGCTAAAAAAGAAAAAAATAATTTAAATTAAATAAAAATAACATGAAAATAATTGTTTCTTTTGTGTTCCGTTTTCTTCTATTGAAGTGTCCGCTGAACGTTTAAGTGATTTTTTGGCAGGAGCTTCAACAGGTAAAGAATTTGTTGTTTTTGGCAATGAAAACAAATTATTTGAAACAGAAGTAATTGATGTAGGTAAAGTTGGTATAGTGAAGGTTGAGGTCGAAAGAGTAGTTGTTGCTAAAAAAATAAAATTAGAAGGAATTCAAGGTAATATTGAACTTGACAGACCCATTTTTTCCTCCCCAGGTTTTTTATATATATCTACAGAATAGTCAGACTTTTTCCTTTTGTCCAATCCAATTGCTTTTCTAATTTTGCTTAAAAATTATAAAAGGAATTAATTTTTATTCCCACCTTGGATGGAATGAAAATTGGGATAAAAGGAAAAAACTTAGGGAGGAAAAAATGGGTCTGTCAGGTTCAATATTACCGGATTCAATGCTTATTCACATGATAATCGGTTAAAGTAAGTTTAATTTCATTCATTAAAAATATAAAATTTCTTACAAGTAATACCATTGCTGTCTTTAGAAGTCTGAGAAAAACCACCAAACAAAGGCTTAGGTGGAACCAAAGGTAATGTTGGAGCAGTAGAAGTTGGAGTAATTGTTGTTGTTACTGATGTAGAGGTCAAAGTAGTTTCACAAGTTTTTCCAGCAGAAACAGGAGTAATGAAAGATGGAAATTGGTTGCTGACAGCTTTTGAAAGATAAATTTATAGATTTTTCAACATTTCCTTAGAAATCAAAATAATATCACAAAATATTTAATAAAATTTACTTTGAGCCGGCTTGGGCGAAGTCAGATCCGATTCAGGAGCAGAGGAATACATCTGATCCAAGGTACGAAGATGATTGAAATAATCATTTAAAGTAGGTGTCTAATAATTAATTAAAATTACCAAAAAAAAATAAACAAACAAACCAAATCTGCATAGGGTTTCTTAGCATGTTGTTTTTGTAGAAATTTAATAAGATTATCATTTAGCATTGAAAGTTTTTCATGAAAGAGTTTTGTAGAGTTGTGACGTTCAGTCATTGATTGCGAAGACATTTTAAATTATAAATAATTCTAAAAAATATTGAAAAATAAATTTTTAGTATAAATAATAATTGAATTAATTAACAAATAAAAATTATTTCAAAAAAATTTTAAGAATAAATTTATCGAAAAAAAATTTTTTTTGGTTTAAATTAAAGCAATGGTTAAAGGAGTTTTTTAAACAATACTATAAGAGATATATAAATGGAGGAATGGTGAGATATAAATATATTTATGTGTACATATAAAATAAATTTTGTTGATGATTAAATCAAGAAGCTGGACTGATTTTTGGAATATTAATAAATCTATAAATTTAAATAACTTCTAGGAAATATCTAAGAAGATACAATACAGGATTTTAGATAAACTTTTAAGCTGAAAAAATTATACCTTATAAACCACTCAATAATAATAAATTACACTGATGTGAGTAAGGAGTACCGAATTTAGGGTATACAAAAAAGGTTCGTCTGTATTAAATTATAAGGTCATATCAATTTTAAATTAAATTTTATGTAAACTTTTCCAACTATCAAAGTATAATATTCCAAAAATCTTATCCAGCCCTTTGCATATTGCTGTCAAGGGAAAAATATATATGGAATTGTTTATAATTTTTCTAAAAGTTTGTAGTAATTTTTGGTTATAATATGTATATCAGAACAAAAATTTCGTCAAAAAAATAAAATTCTTAAACAGAAAAAACCCGAATACGTGGAATAAATTAAAAGGGAATGCGTATTTAAATAAAGGAATTTACACAATAAAGGCATATAATTTACTCTCTCAACCCTCAAATTCTTTACCAGAAAGACGCAAAAATACTTGCTCAAGTGAATTCTGTGTTAAAGTAAAATGAACAATTCGTGGCAAATTCAAATCAGACGGAGAATCCTATCAAAGTAACAAAATTTAAATCAAAAATAATTTTAAATAAAAATACAAACATTGTATGTATCGGCTAGATTTTGTGCCTGTCTGAATAATTTACCCCAAATTCCATCATCAGATTTGGGAATTTCCCAGCGGAGTATATTCGATGCAGATGGATCGTCCAGCATTTTTGCACTCTTTAAAATTAAATATTTAAATATTGACAATTAAAATATAATTTTGCCAACCTCAAATTCTTCACCGACAATTTGGTTTAACTTTTGTGTTATCTCTTCAGATGGATTAGAAATTGTAATTGCTAACAAGAAACTGCCCCCAAATCTATAAAAAAAAGTTGGAATAAAAATAATGATAAATTGATAACCTGCTCTTTAAATGTTGACTACTGCCAATACCAATCATCAACCCTTTGTTAAGAAAAGCAATTCGACTACACAATTCTTCACATTCTTCCATAGAATGTGAAGTCAAAAGAATTGCAATGCCTTGTTGACGAATTGCTTGTAACAAATTCCAAATCTGTCGACGAGTTGATGGATCAATACCGGCTGTGGGTTCATCGAGCATAATCAAGGAAGAGCGAGTAAGCAAAGCCAAACCAATGGAAATTCTACGGCGTTGTCCACCACTTGAAGAAATTTTTTAGTTAACTATAATTAAATTTGCAATTAACCTGTATTTTTTAATTAATTTGTCAGCATGCTCTTCTAAGCGAATGGCATGAAGAATTTGACGAATACGCGTCGAAACATCAGATAATCCATTGAGACGAGCAACAAGCTTAAGCACCTGTCTACCCGTCAATTCCATTGGAATCGCATCAAACTGAGGACAATAACCAATTGCTGGTCCCGCATTAACATTAACACCATCGACCGTTGCAGAACCGGATGTAGCAAAACGCACTCCCGTAAGAATGTCAAATGTTGTAGTTTTGCCAGCACCATTTACACCTAAATTTTAGAGCTTTTATTAAATCATTTATAGATTTTAATGTTCACCTAGTAATCCAAAACATTCATTGCCACTAATGCCGAATGTGAGTTTTTGAAGGGCAGGAAAATTATCATAAAGCTTTGTCAGATCTCTCACTGCCAATACAAACTCAATATCGTTTGTAGAGACAAGACGTGATCGCTCAGTTTGAACATCAATATCCTCTGATTTACTCTATATAAGAAAATTTAGAAAACAAAAATAAATGCTAGTTACATTTCTGAGCGGATCTTTGTTGGATAAATTTGAATACATGTTGTTAAATTTAGTTGAAATCGTTCGAGATTGAACAAGCACAACTAGAATCCAAAATACACAACCAGAAATTAACAGAGTAAGCACTTCTTCCTTAAGAAGCCATTCATTACTGAATACTGCTAAAGACAGTGATATTTTGACAATGCCCATACCTACAAACGTAAAAAGATAATAGCTAGTATAAACTTCGACTTACTAAAAACATATATTGGATTGATTATATAAAAGAATTGATTCATTGGATCAATTAGATGTTTTGCATCGGCATAATGAAGCATAACAGTTAAAATGAGTGTTAACACACGGAAGAAAATTGAGGTAATAGTCCCCCATGAAAATAAAGCTGTAAATGCTCTTTGCCATTTATCAAACAAGAACGAAACAAATGCAATCTGGGCAACATAACACCAAAGATATGCAGCCCACAATTGGATAAGACTAAAATATAAAAGTGATTAGAATAAAGTAATTTTGAAAAAAAACAAAACAAACCTTCCAAAATGTCCCTCCATCCAACCAAAATAGAGGAAAAATAAGAGAAGGAAGGAACAGTAAAATGTATAAAATATAGCATTCCAAATAAACACCGAAATCCAATAAGTTACAACGTGTAATTTTGTGAGCATAAGTTGATGTTTGAATTTAATACTTCTCTCTTCGACCAGTGGAACTAGCATTGATGCAGAAAATATTGAGAAGCATAAAATTATTCCAATAGATAAAGCAATTTGCGTAAATATTGCAGAAATATCTTCTGGAATTGTTCTTGGAATATCATAAACTTCAATTGTAAGACGAATCGAAGCTAAAATATAATTTATGAATTAAAAAGATGCGTCTAATAATAATTTTAAAAAACAGAAAATAAAAGAAAATGGAAAATTTACAAGATTTAGAGCCAAGTAATCCATTGCTAATAAATGAAATTGCACTTGGAGGAGAGTGGATAGCAAGACCATTGAAAATCGCCTCAAATTGAAGATGACCAGATGACTTGTTTTCATAAATGGCAACACCTGCAACCATTGGCGGTATCTGATGTACATAATTTTTGAGTTCGCTATGCAAATCTTTCTTTGGATCAATGTTAAAATGACAATTTGAACATACACCCTCCGAAAGATCCGTAAATACTTTACGAAGTTTTGGATCTAAATAAAGGATTGATTTGGGTCAATTGTAAACTTTATTTAAAAACCTGCTATCTGAATAGGAATCCTAAATTCTTCGTTAGCGTCAGCAAGAGAAAGAGAGCGATGTTTATTATCAGCAGAATCTTTAGGACTAGACGAAGGCTTAATCAAGTAGAATAAAAGAAGGGCGATAGCAATTGGTAAAAGACTTCTCAACGGATTTCGAATGGTCCAAAGATATTGACGCCATAACAAAGCAAATATTTGTCGCAACCATAATTTAATTTTTGAGAAGTTTGTGTTAACAAACTGAAAACTAATGATATGTTAACAAAGTGATGAATACCTGTTGCTGTCTCACACCAAATAATGTTGAAGCAAGTTTTTGTGCCGGAGTTTCAGTTACATTACCATCCACAACATCTTCACTAAAAGCTTTGTGTTCCTCTGGTTCAGCAAGTTCACCTACTCTGTACAAAAAATAAAATACTTGAATAACAATAAGAACAATTCAGGTTACCTTAGAAAAACTTGTTCAAGCGTATTGAGAGAAAGTCCAAATGATTCAATACAAAGCCGTTCTTTTTCAAATTGGAGCTCGTCAAATAAATCAGCAAAACTTGAATAAATATGATAAACAAACGTTTGCTTTCGGAACGTCAAAGGCCCATATGTCCCTCTCAAAATATGCCCTTTAGTAAAGCACCGAACCCCAACTTATGAATAAAATGAAATTTCAATACTTACTGTCTTTTGTCAGAAATAGGCAATATTATAGAAAATTGTGGAAATCGATTTGATCGATAGACATACGCATCAGGTGAGTGCTTCTGAATTGTTGTAAGAATTTCTTCAATGTTTTCAAAGAAAAATTGTGGCTGAGAATTGCATACCTATTTTGCAAAATTTAAATATACGACAGAAATTTGCTTACAATAGTGAGAATAAAGCCGGTTCCGAATTTTTTCTTCAGAAAATCAGGTGACCCATTACACATCAAACGACCGTTGACCATTATCCCAACTCTATCACCCAATTTATCAGCTTCATCCATATAATGAGTAGTTAACAGAATTGTCCTTAATAAAATATAAATTAACCAAATTATTTAAAATTCAATAAAACCTATCCTTTTTGATTTTTGTAAGCAAAGTAGATATTTCTTTTCGAGCTATCGGATCCATTCCAGCTGTAGGTTCGTCAAGCAGAACAACTTGGCTTCCAGCAACCAAAGAAATAGCAACACAAAGTTTACGTTTTTGACCGCCACTCAGATTTTGAGATTGCTACAAATTAATTTAAAAATTTTTAATTTTAGATTACAAACTATATCTATTGAAGCACGCAGATTTATGCTATCAAGTATATCAGCAATTTCTTTATTTAAAATATTTTTTCCATGAGGTCCATTCAGTGTCGAAGTTTTAAGACCAGCATAAAGTTGTAAATGCTCCCTGACAGTTACTTTTTCGAACAATGGATTGTGTTGTGGACAATAACCTAGAAAGTGCTATTAGAAACAAAAACGAAGTATCGAAAATACTACCAATGACTTTCCGACAATCATCCAAATTGTCTTCCAAATTTCTACCACAAATAATTACATAACCACCAGAAGAGGTAATAGACCCGGTAATCATAGAAAATGTTGTAGTCTTTCCAGCTCCATTATGTCCAAGTAAAACGGTTACCTTTTTATTTAAAATAAATTTAAAAATAAAATTAATATAGTTACTTGTCCACGATAAGCTCTAAAATTAAGATTGTCAACGGCAAGATTTCCCCAAAAACCAAAACGCTTGCTGAGATTCTGAATAATAATATCAGCCTCGTCAATGCTTGCATTTTCTGGTTCCATATTTTCGATAAGAATTTTTGAATCGGTCTGATCAACTGGTGGCATTTTATTAAGACGTTGATGTGAATGCCTTTTCCAAAAATTCTTAAATTTAAAAAAATATTGTAAAAATAATACAAAAAATAACCTCAAAAAGAAATAATGGATGCTTTTTTGCAGAACCATCAGTGGGGAAAACGGAGTCAATATAGAAGATCAAAAAGCAAAGAACGGCAGAGTCAACAATGAACATAAACAGAACATAAGCAATTGTGAATTGAGTGGTTCCATTGTCGAAGATTGAAAACCAACCAAGATAAATCACTAAATTTGGTCACATATACTTATGAAATATTAAAATACAAACTATTCTTTTCAGCATTAATGATGTGAGCTAAACCATAATAAAAGGCTGTAATTGGATTCAAAGAAAACAAAAAGCAGAGCCACACATTTGTAATTGCTGGCGCAAGTTGATGGTTGAGAATAACAAGAAGGATTGGGATAACCATACAAAAAAGTTGTGCAAGTTGTGTTGTTTTGAAGATTGCAGAAAATAAAGCTGACATAAAAATCATTGAAACGGCAAAAAGAACAGTGAGAGTAATGAAAAGTAAAGAACTCGAAAACTTAAAAAATATTGATGTAAATTAAATAAAAATTAAAAAATACTTGAAGTCTAATCGAAAGTAATGCAGTGCAAATAACCATAACAGCAGTTGATTTGATAATTCCAAAAATAATATGGGATAAATAAAAAGCCAGTGGATGTAATCCCATTACAGACATGTAAGTCTAAAAATAAATTTTAGGTGCTGGTCTAGTTTATGCGTCCAATCAACAAAGAATTCGATTTTTCTTGGTGTTGCAAGGTTGGGGTATGGGTTTAAAACATTTCTTCATTTTCGGGATCTACGCCCATTGGCTTTGGTGTTGCAAGGTTGCCTTAACTTATTCCTCGAAATTTCGGAAAGTTATAGCCAATTTTTAAAAATTTCAGAAAAACGATTTTAACTTTCAGAAATTCCGAGGGATAGGCAACCTTGTAACACCAAGAAAAATCGAATTTTTTGTTGATTGGACGCATAAACTAGACAAGCGCCAAATTTTATTTATATAAAAATATAATTTTAAAAACCTTAATTCCAGCTTCTTTATCAATAACAATTTCTTTCGAAGTATGTAACATGATTCCAGAAATAGATAAAAGCCATAGAACCATAACACCCTTCAGAAAAAAGAAAATCCCACCATCCATTGATTTATCGATAGGGACACGCAAAAGATATAAATCTTTATTTTTCATATAGTCTGGACCTTTGTTCTAATAAAAAATATTTAATAGGTATATAGGAAAGAAATGAAAATATAGGATATAGTGTAGTTCACCGGAGGTAAAAGTTCGGGACGTGACATATTCATTCGATTCGTCTCGGCGAGCTGATTGTGAGTCGAACGGGTTTTTTACCCCAAAATCGAGCTTACTTCCCCTATGGTTTTTCAATTTTTCGGGACCTATAACTCGGTCCAGGATCATTTCCTGAAATTGGGAGTGATACCGTTCGACTCAGCTCGCCGAGACGAATCGAATGACATATGTCACGTCCCGAACTTTTCCGGTGAACTAACTACAGCCAAAATATATTTATACCATTTCGATAAAAGTACTTTCGATTGCAAACTGAATTGAAAGAAATCCTCTTTGCCAATATGGTGGCTTGCCTGGTATTTGATTGTGGTCAGCCTGTGCACTGTTTGGACTATTATCAAACCAAAATAATGAAAGATCAAAGTCGTTATTTTCAGTAAGCATGTTAGTCTTCTGAGGCATCAAAATACGGTAGACAAGTTGAGGTTTAGATTTCCCACTCTGAAGGCGTACATTTTGGAAATGAACACCGCCTAGGAAAGTACAAAATTTAGTTAGTCTCCCTGATAAATTTGGGGTTGTAGGATGTATTTTTTGTTTTTAATTGGAGGAAAGTAGAAAATATTCTCACCAGAAAAGAAGAGAAATAAAAAGAAAAGTGAGGGCGACTCAACCGCTCTAAAAGTTGCGAAGAGGGAAAAAAGGGCCGAAACTATTCCCCCCCCCCCCTCTTCCGATTTGAGGGGTAGGGCCGATACTTTGCTGGCGATGGCAAATTTTGGATATTGGAATACCCCTCTGCTCTACACGATGGTATAAATTAAATTGAAAAATTTTCCCTGAAGTTCGTTAAGGTTCCATGTAAGTGTCAACCCAAAAATTTAATTTAAAAACAAACCGATATATTCACTGCACATATATTCCCTAGTACTATTTAAATCTTCTTTCAAAACTTCCATCATCGTTTCGAGACGAGTAAAGTTGTGAATAAAAATACGCATCGTCTCATTATCCGAGTAACGTTCACTTAACGCCTCCATGATTTCGAATGCCAATTTATCCATTCCGGGCTCATAACTAAAGCAAATTTTAATAAATTATTGGCAATCCCGGAGAATTGGGGTTTCTTCGAATAAAAATTTTAAAAATAAGAAAGGATTTTTCTAGAGTAAAAAATATGCTGATTAAGAATCTGAGCTCAGATTTTGAAAAATCTAATCCCGAACCCGAATTCGGAATTTGACGACGGACATTGTACAAAGATAGTCAATCTTTCAAAATCATGTAGAACTCAACGAACTTTTAAAAATCTGACAATGAGCTCAGATTCGTAATCAGTATTTTTTACCCTAGAAAAATCCTTTCTACTTTTTAACATTTTTTTTCAAAGAAACCCCAATTCTCCGGGATTGCCAAATAATTTAACTGAAACCTAAATCCAAGATGGATATCAACATCACGTCCACAATTGTAATATTTGTCAATGCTGCTAATGTGGGAAATACTTCTATTGATGTCTAGAGAATCTCCCGTTACTTGAAATGGTTCAAAAGAATATTGCTCCTCAATCTCTGGCTTTGGAGCCTGAAAAGTATTTAAGAATTAAAATTAAATATAAATTCCTTACATATCTCACAACAACCAGAACGACGGGCAAAAGAATAAACAAAAATGCAAGTTCTAAAAGAAACATACATTTGCTTCGCCACAAAACAATTAAATTCTTCCAAAGCAGCAAAGAAAGTTGGGGACCAAATCCCATTTCCAACAATTTTTTCGCTAAAAAGAATTTAAAGAAAAATCTAACAAGCAAAAATGAGTAAGAGGAACAAACAATATTGCCAAATAATATGTCAAAAATTGCTTTTTAAATTAAATTTTACTTTAATTTATAAGGAAAATTGAATGATTCATACTTGATCAATTCTTCGATTAAATGACGCGAATTAACGAAATATTTTTTGTCGCGCATAAATGGCATAAGACAATTAGGCGCAAAACTTGGGACAGCCCAAGTAGGCGCGCGGCCATAACGGCGCAAAGCCATAACTTGCTGGAAAATTTCTGACCCCTATCAATTTTGGTACCAAACTCTTTAGCTCGTTGAGTGGAACCGATTAATACTAAATTTATTAAGATTCGGGAATCTTGAAGCAAGTTATGGCTATGCGCCGTTATGGCCTCGCGCCTATTTGGGCTGTCCCCGAAAAACTTTTTTGTGACATTTTAGTCCTTTTTTTTTATTTTTTTTGGGCCCTATTTTTTCTTTCCAGGTTTTTTCCCTTATATGTATAGAAAGGTCAGACTTCCTTCCTTAATTTCACTCTATTTCCCTGTGCATTTTCTAATGAAAAACAATGAAGAAAAGAATCATGGGAAGAGAAAATGGGATTTTCGACACAGCTCGACGAGTTTTATAACCTAGACTGACTGACCATTTTTTACTTGTTTACTAAATTGACGTGGGGGGGGGGAGGGTTAATTAAGTACCCTGTTCCTCTTCAATAGCAGTAATAGTTCGGATAATTTTATCCATTTATTGTATTTATTTTTATTAATTTTAGGAATAAATTAAATAATTATGATCAGCATATTATCCACCGCTAAACGTCCAATTTTTGACTCAATCAAATCAACTTTATCTATTTGTGCCGTGAACAAACGCAATGCTTCTCACACCGACATTGTTTTTCCCAACTTTGATGATTATCGTTTAGAGTCGGTTAAAAATCCGGTTGGATCTGAGGCTAGTGAAAGTGTTGATGATAGGCGTGGTACTCCAAGTGCAATAGTTTATGGAGGTTTTTTAAATTTTATTTTTAATTTTTTCTGGTTCGATTCCAGTCCATATTTCGGTACTACTGAAGATAAGGGTGCTATTTCTGCGGACTTATTTTGCGGACTTTTCCTTTCTTTCTTTTTTAATGTTTTGGTTGTTTTGCTTGTAGCGAGTTTTGCTTGTAGCAACTAACTGTCAAAGGATTAATTTTTATGCCAATTTGAAAAATATGTGTTCACCATTAATTTGAACATTATAAACGATGATGAATGAATTTCAACTATGGATCACTGATCTCGGAATGCTTCATAGAAAAAGAATATGTGATTGTGGATCAAAATGCGGGTAATTTCAAACCTTGCCCCCCCCTCCATTATTTTTATTACCTAAGATTGTACAAAATGGTCAGATTTCCTTCTTCCTCTCTTTCCTCTATTTGAGCTTGGCAAATTCAAACAGAAACATTGTTAAAGAGAATAATAAAATTAATTGAGTTGTTCAATATTGAGTTCAATTTTTTTTCAGTTTAAATTAGTTTTAAATATAAGTAAGAATGTAATGTTTTTACACAGAAATTCATAATGTTATAGACTAAATCAATTTTATTTAATTCTTTTTTTGTTTAACATCGTTTTCGGAGGCAAAAAATAAGTGTATGACTATAAAATTAATCTTCTCTTTATCAATGTCTCTTGTTTGAATATGCCACAGGGCAAATAGAGGAAGGAGGGGAAGAAGAAAATTTGACCTTTATGTACAATCTTAGGTAAGAAAAATAATATGGTGGAGGGCCTTTGACAGTTAGTTGCTACAAGTAAAACATGTAAAGGAAAGGAAAAGTCCGCAAAATAAGTCCGCAGAAATAGCACCCTTATCTTCAGTAGTACCCATATTTCTTATCGGTAATTTCGAAGTTCGTACCCCCCTCCCCTCTCTTTTTTCTTTCCCAAGTCTTAAAAATGATCGGTCTTCAGACGAATGTAGAACACAACGAGCGGTGTCTGTTGATTTTGGTGTAATTTGACAAAGCTCGTTGTGATTTACATTCTTCGTAAGACTGACAATTTTAATACCTTGAGAAAGAAAAAAGAGAAGGGGGGGGGAGTACGAACTTCAAAATTACCTTCTTATTATTCAATTTTTTATTTAGTTGGTGGTGCTTGTTCTGTTATCTCAGCAAAGGTCATACTCAATACGCTTGTCGAATACAAATCGATGCCCGCCGATATGAAAGCTATGGCTTCTGTTGAAATCAATTTGGATGAAGTTCCGGAAGGAAAGACAAAAACTTTCGAATGGCGTGGAAAGCCTATATTTGTCAAACATCGAACTGAATCTGAAATTAAACGGGAACAGGCCGTCGAAGTTTCTCAACTTCGTGATCCACAGAAGGATGAGGATCGTGTTCAACGTCCAGAATGGTCGATTCTTATTGGTGTTTGTACTCATTTGGGATGTATTCCAATATGTTGGTTTTATTTTTCTTTGATAATCGTTTTTATATTTTTTGTTTGTCCCTTCCCTCTTTCCTCTCCTAGCTGTCTCATAATGGTCACTTTTGGCCTCAATTTCGCTCTTTTTTGTGCCACTCTTCAATTAGAGTATTGATTAAATAGAGATTATATTTTTTCAGAACTTTTACAAGGATTGAGATGGATCAGGCACAGCCAGAAAAAATTTTCGGAAAGTGTGGGGAATATTTTTTAAGTTCTTAAATTCATACTTTTTGACGCTGTAGGCGCTAAAATTCGATTTCTTGCGCCGCAAGCAAAATTTTTAAGGATCTTAGGCGAAAAATTCACTCTTTGATCATTCTATATTTTAAAATCACTTTTAATATTAAAGCTAATATGGGTGAGTTTGGTGGCTATTTTTGCCCTTGTCATGGTTCTCATTATGATGCCTCTGGACGCATTCGAAAAGGCCCGGCACCGTTAAACATGGCAATTCCTGATTATGAATTCGTGAATGATAATACTATTGTGGTTGGGAAGCCATAATTAAGGTGATTTTTGATTAATTTTTTGAGACACATTTTATTTTAATTTTTCAGTTTGAATATGGAAAAGGAAAAAATGCCTGATTAGGATCTTTTTTTGATGTCATCAATTATAATGTTGTTTTTCCGTTTATAGTAGAATTCTTCAATTTATGTAATTGTAAAATTGTTTATGGATAAAATTGGACATTTAAAATTTTTTTCAATTAATTTTGTTTTGCACAATTATATATTAATTTTTTTTAAATAATTTTTGAAATGGCTTTAATAGAAAGATTAGAAAAAATGCCTATTGCTCCAACTCAATCTTCTCCAATGGATCGGGTCTACAGACGCATTGATTTTGAGCAACTGAAAATGCCTATTGGGTTTATTCGGCTTCTTGAAGCGGTTTGGATTTTTATTAGAATATTTTAAATTGAAAAATCATGAGGGAATCATCACGGATATGGTTCCAGTTTTGTCTATCTGTTGTATAAAAATTAATACAATTAAAAGATGGAAAGGGTTTTTGAGTTGAGTTAAATAAGATCAAAATCAGCATAATCCGGTAAAGTCTGCTTGTCGAGCCACGTTACTATTGTGTAAGTTATGAAACGAATGTCTAACAATAAAAGGATCTTCCCATTTTTTGATATTTAACTAAAATATTTTTCTAGGTTTTCTGTCTGATTGTTTTTGCTGCTTTTCACGGATGGCAATTCGACCTTGATATAAAGTGTGGCCCTCCAACAAAAATAAATCAAACAGAAAGAGCAACATATGAATATCATTCTCTTGAGTATTTTTAAGTATTTTCTAATTTTTTTATTATTTTTTGTAGTATTAGTGGCTATAAAGTCCATCGATGTAATGATTCGGATACTGAAGTTTTTCTATTCAAGGATGACTTCGGCTCGTATGTTTTTAAATTTAGCAAAGGGAATTTATTAAATTTATCAGTAAATTTGCTAACAATAAGCCCCTACCCCCTGACGTAGCCAAGGGATAGGGGCTATGGCCCCCTGAAATTGGGAGAATGAAAAAATTTTGGAAAGGAAATGATCAAAAAAGTGAATTCTTTCGTCTACAAGCCCCAAAATTCAGAAAATTTTCGCCTGCGCTGCCGAAAAAATATATTTACATAAAAATTTGCGTTCGAAACGCCAAAATGTTAGTGCACACCTCCATTTTAGCTTCATGAAACAATCCCTGACTACGCCCTTGCAAAGCGTTACTTGTTCCTTCAATTTATTTTTGTAATCCTTTCTGCTGAAAAAATTATTTAAGAAAATTCCTCTCTTTACAAATACCAAAATTTTTCGAAATAAATTTAAAAATTAAAAAAAAAACTTTTTTTAGTGGCACTGATTTCTACTCATATCTAATTCCATTATCTTTATTCTTGACAACCGGTATGTTGCTCTTCTACATTTTCTCCTATGGAGTTTATGCAAGTGATGACAGATTGCCTATTCTTGTATATTTTCAATTTTTTTAATATTTAAATTAAACAATTTTTTAAAGGATTTAACAGTAACTGCTCTCTTGGCTGTTTTTTGGATGTTTGGGACTTTATTCTTTTCAATTTCTGCACGTAGAATTGAAGAAGCTACAAAACCTGAAAATGTAAATGCAACACTTGCGGCAATAGATATTTGTGGGGGCAGAAAGTGTGAATATACTTCTTATTCAGTTCACGCAACTTTGGCGATTGCTTCGGTTAGTTTAAATTTATTCAAAACTTTTTTTATTCCAAATATTTTTCTGCGATGCGGGTTTAGTTATTTTACAAAATAAAGAATAAATTCGAACTAACAATCCACTTTATGTTAAACCACTAACAATAAACCGCAAATTTCACAGGAAAAATAGGGAATAAACGTGAATGTGATTAATTTTTAACATTTTCTTTCATTTTTTCAAAGCTTGCTGGTGTTGGTCTTTTTATTCTTTTTACTGGAAATATTTGGTATATTTACAAAGAAACTCCATATTTTCGAAATCGCCAATCAAGACGTAATTTGCACCACAATAACTTGCCGGCGGCAGAGCCCTACACTTTGGAATGAAGGTGGAAAAATAAACTGGTTAGATAAGTATTTATTTTAAATAAAAAAAACTTTTACTTTTGGACTACTCTGTTCATCTACTTAATTTTAATTTAAAATTAGAGATCAGAAGGGATAAACCGTAAAAAATTCTTTTTGAGATTGTTCAAGGGGATGCTTGCTTTTTTCGAATTATTTCCGGGAGAGAATTTAATTTGATTAGTAAATTAATTGGCACACTGTGGATTCGTCCCACCTTGCATTCGTCCCTCTTGGATTCATCTCCTGACCAGGAACAATGGATTCGTTCCATCTAAAAATGTCCAATAGAGTCAGGAATCTCGGCAGCTGGCTCATTTGACATATTCGCAAATTGAATATTTTTACTTTGTTGGACATTTTGAGCTGGAACGAATTTTGAGATGGGACGAATCCAGGGGTTTTGTTAATTTGGACGAGTCCAAGCGCAGCGAAATTAATTTGTCTGTGGGGTTGTATGATCTCTAATTTATCTAGAAATATATCCTTTCTATTTATTTAGATATTTCTTCCAAATTTCCTTTTCTAGCCCAATTTATTGCTTCAAAAATTATTTTCCATATCAGCTTATATTTTGATATTTTTTCATTATTTTACATTGACAAAATTTATTTTTCCATAAACGAGATTTACTGTTAAATTAATCTTATTTTTTAGATAAATTGCTCTCTCTTTATTAAAATAACCGATTTATTCATTAAAAATTAAAAAAAATTTGCGTTAATATCATTGAAAAAGAAAAAAATGTGGTAACGAAAAAAAGAATTAATGAAATTTAAAATTAAAAAAATGAAATTAAGAAAATAAAAATTAATGAAATTTAGAAAATATTACAAGATTTAAAGCTTTATATTACCTTTTAATTTTAATTTAAAAAATTATTAGTATAAGAGAAAGAAATTTTAATATTAAAATGAGTATTTTTTATAATAGTTGATAGTTTTTACGGAAATTATTTTTCTTAGATTTTTTTCTAAAACAAAAACTATCAACTTTATAAACAAAAGTGGTGAAAAAAGTTTAAAAAATACAATTTTATGTACACTTTTTCGAGCTGCTTATGAAGACTAAAAATAATATCAAAAATATTTGAAAATAATATGGCTGAGATTAATATTTGGGTTGGAAATTAATAAAATTTAAAAGGAAAACAAAATTTTATTTTTAAAATTAATTCCAACCCTTAAATAATATTGAAAAAAACTAGAGATAAGTATTTTCAAAAATTTTGGATTTGGATTTAGGTTAGTAACTTGGACAGGATTCTGGATCCAAGAAAAATCCAGATCCAGAAAAATCTAGGACATTCGAAAAATGCCTGGATCTGGACTCTGGATCCAGACCCAAACCGATCTCTAGTCTAAACATTTAATTGACGAATTTCTTTTATTTAAATTATGAAGCAAATATTTGAAAAAATATTTTTAAATAAATGTAAAAATTCGTTAATTTAAAATTATATTATACTTATTATGCACACTTTTTTGGTCTTAACGCTTGTGAAATAAAAAAATTAAAGAAAAAAAACAATTATTTTTATATATAATCTTGACTAGATTGCACATTCATCGTTCGGCGGTAATTTAAAAAATTAAAAAAAAAATTAGAGAAACTTAAGATAACTTTACAAATAAAATAATTAAATAAAACCATGCGTATTTTCAGCGATTTAAAATATAAATTAAAGATTGCTATATGTGTATGCTCAAATAATTCCCTAGAGTGTAATTATTGTTTCGACCTCTCACTGGGGGTAGGGGGTAATTAATCGAAATTGGTAATTAATTAAGACGGGGGCAGTTATTTGAACATTTTTATAATTACTGAAATTTAATTAAAGTACTCGAAATTTTTCTTCAAATTTGTGTAATTCCGAAATGTAATTATTAAATATTTAATTAGCAACCATTTATTTATATTTTTAAATAAAGTAATAAAAATATTAAAATTAAAAATAATTTCTAAAAAATAGCTAAAAAAAGAAAGAATTAATATTTGACTGATTTTGCACGAATCTCTTAAATTGTATTGAAAAGTGGTAAATAGAGATAAATCAAAATTATTAGTAAAAGAGCGCAATAAATAAAAATGAAGAACAAAAATTAAAAAAAAATTAAATTAATTCGTTGATTATTGAAAAATATTTTAAATTAATTAAAAACATACCGTAAATGCTTTAATATAAGCCCTGGGCTTATATTTTTAAACGGGTCCATTTGAGTGGGCTCCTATTAGAGACAGAGCTTATATTTTTTGATGGGCCTCTTTGGGTAGGCTTGTATTAGATATGGGTTTCTAATAGAGCCGGGCTTTAATTAGAGCATTTACGTTATTTTCTTTGCTATAAAATTAAATACTAATAATAAATAATATTAAAAATAAATTTTCTAAAACAAGAATCATAAAGGAGTAATTGTTTAACTGAATGGACGACGCATATTTTAAAGCGATATTTGGATTAGTTTGTGGTAAAAAATATTTTTAAGAATAAAATGATTAATTTAAATTAAATATTTAAAACTATTTAATTCAGGGCTTGGATTCGTACTTGTTTTTTAAGTGCAGTCTTATAAATCGACCCTCATACTTACGAAATTGAAAATGTAACGTACTAACTAATTTTTTAGACTTTATGGTCAAAAAATTAAATTTAAATGTTAGAAACAAGTCAGCATCTAAAAGAAAATACTTGGCATCTTGGCCTTGCAAAAATCACAAAATTTTTGCCTGCGGCGCTAAGAAATGCTGAGAAATTCACAAAATTGCCATTTGAAAAATGGATTTATTTAGAATTAGAGTTGTCGGTTTCAAACCGAAGATTTTCGGTTTGTCGGTTCGGTTTCGGTTAACCGAAGAATTTGGTGAAACCGACAACCCTATTCAGAATTATTCATCTGGGAGAGAAAAAATATAGAGATTTAAGCGACAATAATTTCTTGAAATTATTATTTTTGTAACGTTTTATACTATACTTATCAGAGCCCTGATTTACTAATTATTTTTAAATATTTAAATTAAATTGGGAAGTAAAGTTAATTTAATTGGCAATGAAAATAAATCCTTACTACAACAATTATTTTCTTCTTTCCTTTTAAATAAATATTTTTGTTGTTTTACTTTAATTATTTTCCTTTTTCTAAATTTATTTTTGTTGTTATTTTTAATTAAACTTTTTTTAATTAATTTAAATTTAATTTTGTTCGGTAAATTTAATTTATTAATTAAATTATTAATATTTCTTTGTTGATTTCCTTCCTAAAAAATTTAAATTTATTTTTTAAATAAAAAATAAAAAATTAAAATTATACTTTTTGTTTCAAAATATTATTTAAAATATTTTGTTGACATATTTGTTTTAATGAAGGAACGCTTATTAAACCATTTAAAATTGTAAATAATGAACGTTGACCGGTACTGGAAATTTAAAAATGATTTTACAATATAAAAAAATATTTGTTTATTTCTAGGTTTATGTTAGGGTTGTACCCCGAACGCTCGGGGGCGGGTATGTCGGGGTACGGGGTTTTCCAATTGTTTCGGGGCGGGGTTCGGGTCGGGGGAGCAAAATATGGCCGGGGTTCGGGTCGGGGTACGGGGGTTTAGTGGAAAAATTTTTAGAGAAAAAAATGCTCAAAAATAATTAGAAATCGATATATTTTCGTTGATTTATTTAAAAATTAAGTAGGATTTGAAGAAATTAGAGAGGCTTTGAAGGGATTAAAGTGTATAACTTGGGATATAAGTGGATCTGGAGGGATTAAGTGGGATTTTTAGGGATTAAATGGTATATCTAGGGATACAAAGTGATCTCGAGTGATTTTTGTTGGTTCAAGGGATATTAGTGATTTATAAGGATATTGATGTATTGCGGATAAGGGTATTTTGACAGATATCAGGAGATATCTTCAATTAATCCTTAAATCTCCAAGAAATCCTGGTTAATTCCGTTAAATTCACGTAATCCTTTCAAATCCATTTTAATCTAAACCTTATATCCCTTTAAATCACTTTATAACTCCTTAATTCTTCGATATCCTACAAATCCCTTTATATCTCTGATTCCTTTTAACAGGACCTCGATAGTTTTCCAACTGTTATGGTTGAGAACTGGTGATACAGGGGGTTTGAAGGATTAAGGATGGTTCAAGAGATATCAGTAGAGTTGGACAAGCCGAGACCGATACCGAGACCGATACCGAGATTCTCGGCTTTTTTCCAATATCGGTCTCGGTTTTTCATTCTCGGTCTCGAAACCGATACCGATATTCTCGGTCCATTTCTCGGCGAGAAACGATACTGACTCAAAGACCCCAATTTTCTTGTATTTTTTAATAAAACTGAGGATTTTTGACCTTTGGCCTTCTGAATTTCAAAAAATTTTCGCCTGCGGCGCTGAAAAGTGTGAATCCTTCTTTATTTGCCTTACAAAATCCGAGCATTTCACTAAGCCCTCACGATTGAGTTTGCACGACTGAGTTGCTCTTTTATTTAGCTCAACTGAGTCCCAGTAATTCAATTAAATTAAATGGCTTAAATACAATACTGGGTTATTTGGAGGGATTTGGGTGTTTATGGGGATATCAATGGATTTGGAGGGATATCGAATGTAAGGCGGTAGGATATCGAATGTAATCAAATGTAATATACTTTTGGAACAGAGTGTATAATCCTTTTACCTATAAATCCTACTATTGTATATTGTATTTTTTATAAAAAGGATGTTAACCATCAATCGAATCGGATCCAGATGATGAAGAGTATTTATCTGATGATTTGGATGATGAAAATAATGAATAAATTATTCTTACACGTATTTTTTGGCGTAAAATAAAATTTTCTGTTAGTATCGGTCAGTATCGTTTCTCGGTATCGGTCTCGGCTCAAAATGATGGTATCGGTCTCGGTATCGGGTTCTTGAGTATCGGTCAGTCTCGGTCTCGGGTTGGCCGATACCAGTATCGTTTTGTCCAACTCTAGATATCAGTTAAAAATAAAATTAATATTTTCAAATTAAAATTTAACTCGTTAATAATTTGTTTTTGTAAAGAAATATAAAAACAAGAGAGTTCTCCTTATATGGATCCGAACCCAATCCTCTATTAATGAAATATCGGCTAAAACCAACGACTAAGCCACTCAACCACAAGTCTCTTAATAAAGAATGAAAGAAAATTATGATATTTCATTCATTTTTCTTTCAAAAATAATAAAAGCAAAGTAAAATGGGTGGAAATTTTTTGAAGTTTCTTCATTAATTTCTCCAAAAAATGACATTTTTTAGGGGTATAAAACCCCGATAACCCCGAAACTTTTTGGGCCGGGGAACGGGGTTTTCACTTTTTTTCGGGGCGGGGTTCGGGTCGGGGAGAATCGTGAAAAAATCGTTCGGGAACGGGGTCGGGGTACAACTCTAGTTTATGTTAAACATTGTAAATACAGATACAGACTTGGAATTGAAAAAGATTGTAGCTAGAATCGAGTGTGCCCATAGGATTTAATTAGTAAAAGATATCGGAAATTGGAATTTGCGAATATATCGGAATTTGGAAATTTTAGAAAATTTTGGGAAATTGGAAGAAAAACGTGAAAATTTTGAGTAGGAAATCAGAATTCCAACCCACTCTCTCTGGGTAGGAGTCACCCTAAGTAGGAATCACCCTCAATCTCTAAATTGAAGTATAACCTATAATAAATGAGAGATCCTATATTGTAACTATTAGTTAATTTGAGATCTTTAGAAAATTTAACAAAAAATATTTATTTAACTACCTAGCAACCATTGGATAAAATAAACGTTGTTTATGCTTTTTATCAAAAAATTCTAATTTTATAGGTGCCCAACCCAACCAATTCCTGTTTAGAAAATATCCAATTTTTTGTTTAATTCCATCAAAAATTATTCCAACACGGCAAGGAAGATTTTCAGGAAATGGTTCACAAAATTTATAACCAATTCCACCATGGTAAAATATTCCCTTTAAATAATTAATTAAAGAATATTTTAATTTATTTTAATTAATGTAAGAACGGGACGCCTTAGGTCAGTTTAGATTAGGGCTGGACGCAACTGCAGCTTGGGCGTTGTATGGCTTGAGGATTGTGGCTGATGATTTTAAAATAAAAATTGCAGACTGCGGTATACGTCCAGCCCTGGTTTGGATTGCCAAACGGTCAGGATAGCAATTGTCAGCTTCGGACTTGGGCAATAAGGTTTGCTGCTAGTTAGAAATCTTCGGATATCCGGATTCGATATCCGAACCGGATATCCAGCCTTTTTTCGGAGCCGGATATCCGGATCCGCCAATCTTATTGGGTAACTTAGCTTTTGACCCGGGTAGGTTATGTCAAGTTAACCACCAAAATCCATATACTTGTATTGGGCAAACCCGTGTAAACAGAACACTTTAGTTAATTTAGAAAATGATTACTTTATGAGATAACCCATAACTTTCAAATTCATTAAAATTCTCAGTACTATAACCACCCAATAAATTAGCAAAAACTAATGAAGCATTTAATAAAGAATTTTCTGTTCCAATTCCTTTAAAATAATTTTTTGAATTTATTTTTAATTTTATTTTTCTACCAAACATCATTGAAGACCCAAAAATATTTTCAACATAAATTTCCCAAAAAGCCAAAGAATTTTTGGTTAATGAAATTTTTGAACGAATTGCTGCTGTTCTAAAGGGGGGGGGGATATTTTTTTAATTAAGAAAATATTTATTACCCAACAGAATATTCTGGATGGAAAAGTATTGAATATCCATTATTTTTAAATTGTACAACATTTGAATTAATCTTTAGAAAAAAATATTTTTAAGAAATTTAAAATAAAGGAGGGCATCTCTATAAGATATCAAGGAACGAGTCGGCATAAAAATGGAATCCTGCTTTTACGGGAATCGGGACGGCTCGTTTCCTATAAGATACACATCAATTTAAAATAATTTCTTAATTATATGACCACTGCATGTTGGAAGTAGAGGTGGCAGTAGTAACCCTCCCCGAACCGTATCAAAGGGAATACCGCCAACCTATAGGAGAGTTGGCGGATCAGGGAAATTCCCAGATATTTTTTCGGATGTCTTGACTGTTCTCGGATCTGGATCCGGCACTCCTAGTTGGGAGCTAAGATAAAGATATTCTAGCTTCATGAGTATATTATATGTAGGGAGTTTCTTACTGTATATTTAAATAAAAATACCAAATTAATATTATTATCCCATAGCCACAATTCTTCGTTTCCTTCATCAACCTTATCATTTAATAAATTGTTTAAAATTTGTTGATTTTCATTTTCTACTCCAATGTTATTGTAGTCCTAAAATTATTTAAATTAAGAAAAAGTCTCCAGAAAATCGTCACATTTAATTTTAAAATCCAAAAATAATTTAGAATTCCTTCTCTCTCTTCTCCTTACCTCAACTTTAAATTTAAATCTTTTTTGCCATTTTTTGTTATCATTTAAATTTATTTTATTAAATATTTTTTCTTTCATTTAAATTATAAATTCAAATTTTGGAACATTTTTTGGAGAAGAAATGACTAGAAATACATAAATACTATTTCGAAATTATCCTCAATTCTTTATTTTAATTCATTTCCCTTTAAATTTAATTAAAAAATATGTTAAAATAATTTTTTAAATTAAAAAAATTTTTAAAAATAATCAATAAAATCTGACAATTTAAAAAAAAAATAAATTTAAAAATAAATTAGAAAAAAGCCTCGACATCGTTATGTGTGTGTGGGGGCAATCGCTGATTGGTGGGGGTAAAGAAATGAGGGAAATGAAAAATGTAAAGGAATTTTTTTAGTAATGAAAAGGAACGGAAATGTTGGAGGTATTTGGGGGGGGGGGTATACGATAGATTAAATAAATACTAATTAAAATATTTTATTAATAAAAAATTTTAAATTGAGATAAATAAAATTGTCTTAATCTTGAAGATTTTGAAAGAGAAATTAGGATGTTCTGTTTAGAGTTGGATTTCCGAGGATGTCCGGTGGAACCGCTTACTTTGGTTTTCAGAGTTTTCTTTGATTAAAATAGAGTTGCACCCTAACCACTTCCACCTTCCCCATTCCGGAAAGATTTTTTCAAAATTTCCCCGCCCCGAAACAATTCGAAAACCCCGTACCCCGTATAATGTTATTATAGTGTTCATGCTGTGGAAAAATTCATTGGATGTGTGGAATTCAACCATCATGGAAAGGGCCCAAACCGACTCACAACCGACTTGCCACCATCACCCGACGATGGGTTATTTATCTTCATTTATATTCTTTCTACAAGTACGAACTCAACACCCCAACATATCCTCCGAGCATTCGGGGTGCAACCCTAGATTAAAATTAAGTCCTTTTCGATTTATAGGGAAAGATTTGATGCCTAAATAAAATATAATTTAATGAATATTTTAAAAAAGAAATGACAAAAAAATCTATGTAATAAAAAATAGAATATATACAATTTATGTGTATGGACGAGAATAAATTTAAATTTCGGGATGCACAAAAGAAATGGGAAAAAAGGTAAAAAAAGTAAAGTGCAGCTAAAATAATTTTAAAAAGAATTTAAAAAGAATTTTTTAGTCATTCATACATATGTAAATAATGAATATTTAAAAAAATATTATTAAAAAAATTAAAAAATTTTTTAGAATAAATACCTAAATGTGGTCCAAAATAGAGTAAGTCGAGCTCGAGCGAGTTCGAGTTACTCGACTCGACCGCTCGGGTTTTTTGCGTAATTACTCGACTCGGAACTCGGGATCATAATACTCGGATTACTCGAGCTCGGAAACTTCCTACTCGACGTACTCGGTTAAAACCGAGTATTTTTATGCCCCCATCTGCGGCGCAAAAAGGAAGATTTTTAGCTTAAGGATCTTCCAAAATTCTCAAAATTTTCGCCTGCGGCGCTGAAAAAGGAATAAATCTAGTGCGATGGTCTTCCAAATTTCTCAAAATTTTCGCCTGCGGCGCTAAAAGAAGAAATTTTGCTCTCTGGTCTTCCAAAATTCTCGAAATTTTTGGCTGCGGCGCTGAAAAAGGAAGATTTGTGTATATCGGAAGATTCAATCAAGCTAAGTGGATTTTAGTGATATCCGGATATTTCAAGGGATCTAAAAGAATAGCGAGGGATCTGGCCTTCTGAGAATTGGTGTTCCTACTTGACCTTCAGAAATTCTCAAAATTTAAGCCAACGGCGCGAAAGAAAGGTGATCTCATGATCACCTTTTGACAATATATCTAATCCGACGATATCCCAATTAATCTCCCGAATTTCCAAGATTTTGCTTTCAATACACCCAAATCTCACTATAATCGGCCTAAATCCCGGATTAAGAGGGATATAGACGGATTAACGAAAATAACTGAGATTTGGATGAAGATCTAACGCATTACTGCCAATAAATGCTCAAAACACGGCACTGAGGATGAATAGTCTTTAGTAAAAGTATTGTTTTTATTGAAATTATTTTAAAATACTGTTTTATAAAAAATACTCGATTACTCGACTACTCGAACTCGAACTCGGCCTAAAAAGTTGAGCTCGAGCTCGAACTCGTGTTTTTCAAACTCGGATTACTCGAGCTCGGTTTTTTCCCAATTACTCGGTACTCGACTTACTCTAGTCCAAAACCTCAACTATTTGTAATGATTGGGACAAAATTTTATATAAATTCTATTAGAGATCGAGCTGGGCCTGGACCAGAGCCTAGGTTTTTCCTGTACCCAGTGTCCAGGCCCGTGCATTTTTTTTATCTTCCTGGGTTTTTCCTGACTACAAGCCCGAGATCTGGCCCAGGACAATAAATCAAACCCCAGAGTTCAGGAACAGGTCCAGGCTTTTCAAAAATCTCTATCTCTAAATTCTATGGTTCTAATAAAATTCCAAATCTCGTTGCTCATTTGTCAGCCCAATTTTAAATTACCCAATTTTCAAATTTACATAAAATAAAATAATTTAAATATAACTAAAAACAAAAAGAAGCAAATATATGCTTGAATGCAAGTGTAAGAAATGAGGGAAAGGAGGGGGGAATATTTAGGTTTATTCGGGTGGTAACTAAAAAGAGGCCAAGAAAATCAATGGGCAAACAGAGCAAGCAATGCTTTAAATGCTGCCGAGGCAAATGAATGAGGAAAAAGAATAAAAAAGCTAAAGCAAGGCGCAGCAACGGCTGGCCGATATTTTTTGTGTGTGTATGAAAGCTTTCCCTCAGTCGAGAATGAATGAGCAGTAAAAAGAAAGGGGTTTTCTTTTGCGCTCCTTTGATACAAACAATCTGAAGTTTGGAAAATAACAAAGAAAAGGACATAAAATATAAAAATGACTAGCTTTTCTAATCTAAAAATTAAACTATTTTATTTTAGCTAGGGATAATTAAATGCCAATTTTTGAGTAGTATATTTCTTTTGAAAACAACTTTATCACTAAGATTTTTGTCTTTAACTCTTGTAATAAATAATTTGAATAAAATATTAAAATAGTAAATCTTTACTGACCAAATACTATCAAAAATTGGTGAAATAAACGTCTAATAGAAGCCCGTCTCCAATAGAAGCCCGTCTCCAATAGAAGCCCATGCCCTATTAGAAGCCCACCCAATGCGGGGTATTGAAAGATAAACGCTCAGTGCTTCTATTAGAGACAATACGGTACAAAAGAACTTTCGAAATAAATTCATTTTATTTAAAAGGCAAACAAAAACTCCAATTTTCTGGATTTTAAAAAATTACTAGAATTAAGACAATGAATAAATATAAATGTTAGGTCCAAACAAGATATTCTCGAGAGGTTAATAACAGCAGACGTCATTGTATTAGTCCATCTAGCTACCTCATAAACCTTTACTTCTAACAATTTTAGTAGTAAAAAGGGAGGAGCAGTTGGCCACCAGAAAACAGACTGATGGGTAAAAATGGAGGGAAGAAGGGGGAAAAAGGGAAGGAGGGGAAGGGGGGACACTGTTACTTTTTAATACTTGCCACCGGGCCACAAGAATATTATTTAGGTCTTTTTGGCCGGTCAATGGTCAACGAAAAAAAAAAGAGAACATCTGTCGCACTTTTATTTTTAATACTAACAATTTTACTTTCCCCTCAATTACTTCAAAACCCTCAACCGGAAGAGAGAATGACCGTTTTCTAGACTTCTTCCCCCAATCTATTTATTCAATTCATTCTCTTGTTAAAAAAATAATTTCCTAGAAACAACTGTCCTCTTTAAATTGTAATTTTAAAGAGAGGAGGGAGGATAAGGTCGAGAGGATGACCAGCAGAAAATAAAAAAAAAATTTTAAAGAGAAAACAATCGAAAATAAAAGGAAAATAATTAAAAATAAATTTGGGTTCTTTAATAAAAAATAATTTAAATTTAATTCACATCCATTCTTTTCATCTCTTTCAATTTTAAGGTAAATCAAATTCACTATCAAGGAACCATCGTTTATTTTAAGTGCGAATTCGATATAATTTTTTGGTATCAATCGATAGAGGACATCCACCTTCCTATTGCGAAGTGATATCCGTTTTATTGCAGAATGAATTTGAGCCAAGTTATGGATTGTCAAAGTCTCTATCGAGTGGTATAAAAATATATATCGAATTCACTGACGGTAAACGATGATTCCTTGTAAGTAGGGTTGTCGGTTCTTGATCGGACCGAAGAACAGACGATTTTTCGGTTCGGATCCGGATATCCGAAAATTTCGGTTTGGATCCGGATACCCGAAAATTTTCCAGGAACCGATAACCCTACTCGTATGCAAATTTTTTTTATCAAAACAAACTTTCACTCTCCTTTTTTTCTCAAAATAATTTTCCAAAATAGGTATTTTTATCCAAATATAAATTGTAATATGCAGAATTTGATGGTAATAAATTAAAAATAATAATAAAGATTAAATATATTTATTTTTATTTTGTCAGTTAAGGTAAATATTTAATTTTAAATATAAATTCATTCAAATTATTGTCATCTTAAAAAAATTAAATTTATTTTATTTTCTTTATTTAAAAAAACCTTTTATTTATTCTTCCTCCTCTTCCTCCTCATTTTGTTGTTTATTTTCAATTAATTCTTCAACAGAAGAATTTGTAGGTAAAGGAGAGGATGGAGGTGAACCCATAGAAGCACGAGCCGTTGGGCCCTGAGATTGCTGGAAATGTTGTTGAATTGGTTGTCGAATAGCAAAAGGTTTTTCTAATCTCCTCCAAAGAATTATTTCCTTTAAAAATAATTTTTGAAATAATTTGAAGTAAAAAATTAATTCCTAGGGAAGGGTTGTGGGGAAATTAATTTTTAATTACCTATATGAAATTAAAAATATAAGTTCAATAAATTTGTGTCGGGAACGCCAAAATAAACGCTAAAATTTTGGTGCACACCCCATGTTAGCCCTCCCCCGAAACTGACCCCTGGCTATGCCCTGTTGAATTATATTAATTAAATTTCTAGTTGAAACAATGTCCTTTCTACCCCTCTAGGTCACACTAAAAACAAGAATAAACTATATACAGAATATAATGAATAGCTAGTTAATTAAAAGAAATTTTTGATTGTTCCACAAATAATTTTAAAAAGTTATCATTTTATTTTCAGTGAAACCTAAATCTGCAGAAAGGGTATTATTTCAACAAAAAAATTAAACAAAGGTCAATGGGGAATTTTTAAATATTTTGAAAATAAAATAGTTAGAGAAAAATAATTCAAAAAGCTTAATTCTACCAGGCCCGTAATCAGGGAGGATAAAGCAAAAAAGTGAATTTTTTAGCCTCAGCGCCGAGAATAATCATCCTCCGCCCAACTCCCCCCGAAAAAATCATGGTTACGAGACTGCTCTTAACAATCACAAAAAAATTTTAAAAACCTGTTGTTTAAAATATCGTCTATCCTCTTCATCAATTAAAACCAAATTTAAAAAGTAACGGACAGAAAAACGTTTGGCAACATCCCTCATTGTTGGAGTTAAATCATAACCAGCGAGAAAAAGTCTAATTGGAATTGATTCTCCTTAAATTATTTTTAATTTCAAAAATTTTAAAAGAAAAAACCTTTAACAGGGGCTCCATCCATAATTTCATATTTTGCAATATTATCGCTTTCATTAAAAATATTTGGACCATTACCGACTGACTCCCTTTTTAATATTGCAATTTCCATATATTTTATTTTAATTCGAACCAAAAGAAAATAAATCTTTCCAACAATAACATCTTTTAAATGATATCTAGGAAAAATTATTTAAAAAATGAAAAGGTTAGAAAATTGAGTGAAGATATTCAAAAGATTTCGAAAACTAAATACAAAATTTTTTAAGAGAGCTGGCCAGTATCCCGCGAATCCAGTAATGTTTTCTCAAAATTGTCGCCGCCGGGACGTCCTGGTATGGTTCGATGCGGCTACACGAACTGAACCAAACTATACCAGGGCCTTCCGGATTCGTTAATTTTAAACGAAGTTATAGCTCGGCGATATACTTGGCTCGCGGTATAGCGAGATGTACCCGATTTTTAACTTGTGTAGCCTAAAAGCTGGTATATTTAAAATCATTTTAGACATAATGTCAGTAAGAATCAAACAAAATCTTAATTTTTCAACCATGATTTTCTAATAAATTTTTTAAAAATGGAAACACAAGGATTGTTTTATTGAATAACTTAAGCCCATAGAAACAAAAAAAATTGAAAGTAATTTATAAAAAAATTAGTAGGTCCAGCAACTCGCTAGAAGTCTAAAAAATGATAAATACCTTGATTTGTTATATTCAAACTCAATATGTAGACAATCTTCAATCCCAACTTCCATTTTAATACTAGCATCATTATCTGGATAAGTAGCTAATGAGTGGACAGCAATCTAAATTAAATAAAAATTTTATAAAAAAATTAACAAAACCTCCATTTCATTTACAATGTCGGTAAGTCTTCTCATAATTGTGACACGCAGAAAATAGCGTAATTTGACATTTGATCCCATATAAGTTTCATACTAAAAAATATTTAAAATTGAAAAAAATAAATGGTAATACGAAGGCTGGTCCCCTCCATTTTTTCTGTTTCTCTGACCATTTTGAGCTGTTCGAGCTGGGTAAAATGATACTATGATCGATTAGATTGGGCAATTCTGAACAAAATTATGAAGCTAAATCCTCTTTGGACATGCTTTCTGTGATGTTGAAAGGGATAAAATAGAAGCTCATATCTATGTTGATTTAAGTCAGATTTTGATGATTTTAGTACCGTTTTACTCATGTCAGCTTTAAAAGCTCTTTCGAATGGATATAATTTTCCAAAAAAATAAAAAAATAGAAAACAGAAAAAGGGGGGACAAGCCTCGGTATTACCAAAATAAAATTAAAAAAACCGGTTTACTAGCATTAGCAAAACAAAATTCAAATTTTGTATTTTGATACAAATCCCCAGCTTTAGACAATTCTTTTGACTGATAAAGAAAATCGTGTTGATTACCTCTATCATAATAAACTTCTAAAAAAATAAAATTTTTCAAATTAATTTAAATTAACCAATCTGTCCCACAAAATCAATTCTAATTCCTTGATGTTCCAATTTTTGTCCAGGCTTTTTCAAATTAATTAAAACTTCTCCTTCAACATTTTCCCCATCATAAAATAAATAAAAAGTCTGAAAGAATGTAACAAAAATTTTTCTTTTTCGCTTCAACAAACCTCATATTGTCCATCATCAACTCTTATTCTAGTTGTCCTTTGTTGTTCTTCATTTTTGAGTTGAATTGCAATTTCTGCAGATTGCCCAAATCCAAAAAATGACTTTAAAAAATTTAAATGATTTTTTAAAAATAATAAAAATACTTACCACCATTGGAATATATTAATTTTTGTTAAATTTGTAAAAATTAAATATTAATTTATTTTATTCTCTAAATTTAAAGAAATATTAGGAAAAAGCAAAACTTAAGTAACTTTTTGTATATTAATTAATCGGAAAAATGAGAATGTCAGAACAAAAAAATCAGAACAGAAAAACAAAAAGAAAAAAATCAGAAAAAAAATTTCTAGTCGGGCGTCTATTCGGCCGCGCCTATTAGTCCTGCTCCGGCCGGCACGAAATCGCCCGCACGGAAAGATACCCCACCGGATTTTTGTCCATTTCTCTGTCCTCTCTCTTATAATTGTATTATCTTTCGTTTTTAAAAAGTGGTTACAAACCATTTGGTCACACTTTGGAAAATTTGACATTTTGTCACAAACTATTTTCTAATAAAAATTTAACCGCAAAGAATCATAGACGAGCATCTATAGATGCTCGTTCAGCCCAACCGTTTTATAATACTTTACTTTTAGCATATTTAAATTTATCAATTAAAATGGTGACTGATAAATCGAGCGTTACAGAGGAGCGCGACGAGGAATATTGGGAATCTCGAAAAACTGAAATTGCTTCAGAAATGATGACTCGACTGAATAATATGGCGAATAATCAAGTTTTTTTTTGTAAAAATTTTTTCAAAAATTTTTAAAAAATTTTCAGGACCCTTTATTTAAATATTGCAGTGATTGGTTAATAGCGAGAAGCCGACGCTTGTTTAAAATTGGACGTCAGCGTGTTGAGTCAGAAGAGTGTGAACCTTCATGCTCATCTTCATACGTCCGCATTCCGATTAGTGCTGAGAAAGAGTTTGTTTTTTTTAAATTATTTGAATGGCAACTTAACCATGCCAGTCAATGAATTCACCCAGCGAAGTCGTCACCGTGGTACAGTTGGGGAAGTGGGTTTTAAAGGTAGGAAATCCGAAAAAGATCTTGGTCTCGGCTCTGTTTCCTTGAAAAATCAATTGTCTAGATCCGGATCCAAGCCGATCGCTTTCAAAAATCCACTACTAGAAAATTGTCACTTTGGTGTAGTGGGAAAATTTTTAATCCGACAACCAAGGGGTCAAGGTTCGAATCCCAATAGCGGAAAAATTTTTTATTCTGTAAATATGTGAAAATAAATACTAAAAATGGAAAAAAGCTAGTTAATAAATACCCATTAGATTTTGTTCAGAGCTCTGATTGGGATTTCTTTCAATTCAACGTCCTTTAATTCAAGGACTTCTCTTTCATTCAAAATCGAATTGAAAATTACTTTTGGAAAAAGTCTGGGTTTAAGATTATTCACCCTAATCCTGCTTGGTTCGGGTTAAGTTGCCATGCTTTGAATAAAATTTATAATTAAAAACAAAATTTTTTTAAAGGTCTGACCATCGCTGTCTCTACGATGCGATGAATGATTGGAAGTCTAAATTTGAAGAAGAACGAAAACAAGGATTGCAAATGAAAGAATTTTCAAAGGAAAATAATGCCTAGAAAATTGACAGGTTTTTTCGTTTGAGATTTTATTGAAAATAATTTATTTCGGTCTTTTTGTGACTTTCGCTTATTTAAGTAAAATTTTGGGTTTAAATAGAAATTGAATTTTTTGATAATCTCCCTCATTTCGAGCTTTATTTAAGGAAATAATTTTAGAAAATGAAAAACTTAAAAAAAGCTATTTACACGCATCCTCCTGAAAAGTCCGCAAGTTTTATCCGCAATTTTTTAGAAGTAGTATACATACTGGGTATTTATGTTTAGATTTCTACAAAGTTAAATAATTTTATAAATTAATACTTTTTTAACTTTTCAGTAAAAATTATCCTTTTTTATTTAAATATTTTCAATTAATTTGTAAAATATAAAGATAATTTTCTTTTCATCATTTAGTATATTTTAGAAAATTAGGGTAGCACCCCTGAAACCCCGACCCGAAGGCTACCCCGACAACCCCCGATCCCCACGATCCTTCGGGGTTTGGGTCGAAGATCCCGTTCCTGAAGGCTCGGGTGCTACCCTAAAAATTACAGTTCCCCCTCCTTATCCTCTTCATTCAATTACTTTCTTCAACTTTCATTTATTTCACCAATTTCGTCTACCATTGCCTCTATAACCATTATTATATCCATAACCATCATCATTATAATCATCATTAATATCATCATAATCATTATTATTTCCTCCTCCATATAATGTAGGCAAAAAATCTTTAAACGCTAATCGACAAGAATTACAGCAATTAAAGGCCATATATTTCTTATTTATTCTATTTCTTCCTCGATTTCCCCAATTTCTTCTTCTACCATTTCTTTGCTTAAAAATTTAAAATTAAAAATTCAAACACAAAATTAACTTTAATATTCCAAAAATTCTCCTTACCATGCATTTATTAATATTATCCTGGCAAAAGCGATCACTTTCTTTATCTACACAATCTGAAAATTTTTGGTTTTGTTTTTAGGATTTCCGAAAGTTTATAGAGAAATATTATAGATAATCTTAACTAATATTTTTCTTTATTAACATTTTAATTTAAATAATTTATACATATTGTAAAATATATCTATTATTGTACACTTAACCCTAACTTTTAGATACCTTGAACTGCTTAAGCGATATCAATTTATGATACGCTTAATTAGGGTTGTCGGTTCTTGGAAGTTCTTCGGATATCCGAAACCGAACCGAAGAACCGAACCGAAAAATCCTCGGTTCTCTGGTTCGGGTATTCCCAATAATTCCCAATAAGTATCTAAAAATGAGCTTCAACTTTAGCTGACTTGCAAATTCATTTTATAACTAATTGTAGTTTAAAAATATTTAAACTACTAACTCATATAGAAGCGTCCATTTACATAAAGCCCCAAAGGAGTTGTTGTTGAGGGTTTAGGAGTTGTTGTTGTTGGTGGTTCTTTTTTCGCAACACAACAACGTCCATCTATATATTTTGTATCTTTTCCATCACAAACACCTTCCATTCCCCCTAAATTATTTCTTTTAAAATTTTTTCCTTAATTTTAATATTCACGTCCAATATCGTCCATTTGATTTTTAGTACAAGGGGGTATATCACAACACTGATTATTAACAAATTGGGTCCCATCCTCACACTTTCCATTATCATCAGGGGCTATTAAAAAATATTTTTTTAATATCCTATAAGATAACTAACATCCAACTTCCATCATTCCCAACGTTTTACAGTTTAATTGAATACAACAACGATCCATATATTTTACTGCATATGGCACAGTAGGACAACCATCGTTAGTAGATTCTTAATTAAACTTTTTTTTACAAAAACATTATTTTTAAATATAGTTGACTTGTAGCTTGTTTATTTTATAGAAAACTTTTTTGAATTTATTAGAAGATTACTTTAAAGTGGGATCTTTTCCCGTTATTTTCTGCTCAAAACCCCATTTTTTGGGGAGAAGGTCAAGGTACCGCAGAACTATAACTGTTCAACATTGTCGAATCCGTGACGGCTTGGTATGATTTGATGCACCTTGATGAGCTTAATCGAAACATACCGGAGCGTCCCAGATTTGACAATTCTGAACGAGGTTATAGCTTTGCGGTACCCATTTTTTATCAGATTTTCTGAAGGGAAGGCCTAAAGTCCGATTTTTATTCCACAGCATTTTTATTTAAAAAGATTTTTAACTTCAATTAATTTAAACAAAAATTAGGACTAACCACCAACATCAGTTAATTTCAAAATTTCGCATATTCCTTTAAAACAATAAAAAGATGGTAATAATTTAAATATAAAAATTAATAAAAAAATAAAATAAAAAGATTTTTTAAAAATCATTTTTTCTTAAAAAATTTTTTTAAATTAATTATTTTATTTAAATGGCAACTATTAAAATTTATTTAATATTGATGTTTAAGTTGGGAGAGAGAGAAAGAAAAGTTTTGCCAGAATTAAAGTTTTAGAAGCTTCTCTAATTTTGGCTTTACAGATGTGTAAATAATTAATATATTTATTTATATCCTCATTAAATTCTAAAAACTTTTTTAAATAAAAATTATTAATTGATTTATTTGATACAATTTCGATAGAGATTAATCCTGTGAAGGATTTTAAGATGAAAGTTTGGGGGTTTTTAAATATTTAGAATATTAAAATATTTAGTTTTTGGCAGAATTAGTAATTAAAATTCTGAACAGAAAAGTATTGGAAATTTAAATACAACAAACAAGGATATACCGTATTTGCTAAAATACTTACCCAGGGTAATTATTGTTTCAACCTCTCGCTGGAGAGGGTAATTAATCAAGGTAGGGGTTAATTATTCGAGAGAGGGACATTATTTCAGCATTTACGGTAGGTAAGTTCTATACTCCTTTTTCTGTTGAGTGTTTAAAAACACCCTATAGTTGATTTGATTAAACCAAAAAACGAATTAATTAAATAAAAAGAAGATTAAACAAGATAAATATTAAAAAATATTTTTTTCACTAAAAAATAGTTACTAACCCCCAACATCTATTAAACCTTGTATTTCACATATTCCTTGCCAACACTTTACAATTATTAAATTAAAATTAACCCAAGATACAAAAAAGATTAAAAATAATTTTTTAATTAAAATTGGCATTTAATTAATAATTCCAAGGGAAAATTTGTTTGGAAATTTAAAATAAAAAAAAACTTTATTTTCTGTTACCCAATAAAAATTTATCAATTAGCTAGCTTTAATTTAAAAATAGAAATTTATAAAAAAGATTACAAAGAAAGCAAAAGGCCATATTCCAATTAGTGAAAAATTTAAATGTGAGGTATACGAAATGAATAAAAGCAAATTTAAATATTAAATAATCTTTTTAAATATCCAAAAGGATCTTCATTTTCTTACAATTTTTTCCAATTAAAAATAATTTTTTAAATAAAATTTATCTTTCTCAAGTTCGTACTTCAATTTCGTTTAATGGTTTACTTGTAACTTGTTTTTGTTCTTTCTTCTTACAACAACGTCCATCTACATATGTAGCTCCTCCATCACAATTACCTTCCATTCCAGCTAAATTATTTCTTTAAAAAATTTTTTAAATTAAATATTTACGTCGTCCAGTATCTTCCATTCCCTTTCTTATACAAGGAGATATAACACAACAATGACCATTAATTTTTTTAGCACTCTTTTTGCAATTTCCATTACTATCAGGAGCTTCTAAAAAATACATTTTTAAATAATTTAAAAAGCTATTTAACATCCAACTTCCATAATTCCCAAATTTTTTAATTTTAAGTCAGTTTTTAAAATAAAATTTTACCACCAAAAATTTTTGACAGTAAACGTTTTTTAAAAAATTTCAATTAAAAATTTGATGCAAAAACAATTAAAATAATTCCTTAACCAGATAACTTTTATTCTTAATATTATCCTTATTTAAAGTATTTTCACCTACAATCAATTTTCTGAAAATTAAAAAAACTCACCCCCAACATCAACTAATTTCGGACTTCCACACACTCCTCCTTTTTCATCAGAACAATAAAAAGTTGGCAATAATTTAAATATAAAAATTAATAAAAAAATTAAATAAAAAGATTTTATGAAACTCATTTTTCCTTTAAAAAATTTTTTTAAAATTAGTAATTATTTTGAAAATGGCAATTTCTAAAATTTATTTAATATTTAAATTGGGAGAGAAAGAAAGAAAAGTTTTGCCATAAAAAATTTTAATTTTCAAATTTTAGCTTTTTTAATTTTAGATTTACAGATGTGTAAATACTTAATATATTTTATTAAATTTTAAAATTTTTTTTCATAAAAAATATTAAATAAAAATTTTATTTAATTGATTGAGTTAAAAATAATTTATTTCAATAGAAATTATATCATGTGAATTTTGTATATTATATCATGTGAAGGATTTTAAGATGAAAGTTTGGGGGTTTTAAAAATATTTAGAGATTTTCTGGTAGAATTAGTAATTAAAATCCTTTATTTAAAAAATAAAACAAAAATAAGATGATTAAAACAAATTAAAAAATTTTTTCAAGTTTCAGTACATGATTTGCAGCAGCTCTTTCTCATTGTTTCGCCAAAGTGCTTAAAATAATTTAATAATTCAATAAAATAATGTGTAAATATTGTAGTGTTGTTTAGCAGGAACGGCTAAAGGGCACTTTGATTCATCCTTCCGTTAGTTACTTTCCCATTAAACATATTTGTAATGTTTTATTATTTATCCCCCCAATAAAGGCGCTTAAACAACCGAGGGTAACATCTATGCCTCGGCAAGCCTGAGGATCTTCTCAACTCTCAGAGCTTGTCCGATTAAGGAGAAGGGCATCCCGGACTTAAGTCTCATCAATACGCCAAATGGAATGGTCCTCGCCAGCATGACCAACATTCAGAAAAGCCTTAGTTAAACAGGGTCTCGAGGGTTTACTTCAATTTACGGAAAAAAATTTCAATTTCAAACTTACCCCACTATTTCTACACCATTTTGTAGTTGTTTCAGCAGCCCAATATTTACAACCTTTCTCATCCTTATCTACACAATTATTTGTTTCTTCATTTCCTCCACCACAATCAGGCCTTCCCTTATTTCCTTTATGTTCTGGCAAATATTTTGGAAATGCCAAATAACAACTATAACAACAACCATAGGCCATTATATTTTTTGTAACTAAAAATTTTAGAAAAAATTTTTAGAAAAATAAATTATTTACAATATTCTCTGATGTACATCTTCCTAAATTTGATTGACAAAATTCCGGCGATTGTTTGTCTTGACAATCTAAAAAATTATTCTCTAATTTAATATTTTTATTTTAATTTGCTTAATTTTTAATCTCTCAAACTATCAAAAATTCTTGCTTTATATGTAATTAATTTATTATGAAACAAAAAATAATTTAATAAAATACCATAAATAAAAAGATATTTTTAATTTATTAAAAAAATTTTTGGCTGAAAAATACATATTTTATTTTATAAATTTTATTTTAAATATTCCTGCTACTACACTCACACATTTGAAAAATATCGTTTCTGTAAAGACAAATTTTTGTTGGAGTTGCAGCAATTGTTGTGGTAGATGGTGTAGTTGTGGTTGTAGGAATAGTTGTTGTTGTTGTGGTAGTATCAGGCTGACAACAACGACCTTCCAAATAAATTGCCGATCCATCACAAGTACCTTCAATTCCAGCTGAAATAATTTTCAAAATTATTAAGGGTTTTTGAATTATACTACAAATATTCCTATTACAACAACAATTATGCTATCTACCAAAAAAATTCAAATATTCACCTCCAATATCTAGCATTCCCATTTTTTCACAATGATCTGTAAAAATAATTTAAATCTCTAAAATTTGTAATTTTCTTTTATTTACATAAAAATATTTTTTTAAATCAAAAATAAATTTCTCAAAAAATATAGTAGTAAAATAACACTCGTTTAGGATAAAAAAAAAAGATAATAAATTTATTTTATTTATTTTGTAAATTATGCTAACTTTCTTCCTTGACTATACAACAACGATCAGATTGTGGCATTGCATTTGCGATAGAACAAGACCCATCGCTTGCTGATGCTTAATTTATTTTAATTAATTTATACAAAAGATAAGAATATCCATAAGGTTTTAAGATTAAGTATTCATTCAAATATTTTCAAGAAGGAAAGAGACGGTGAATGAAACGAGTAGAAACTAATTAAAATATAAATTGAACATGAAAAGATGTGTGACTAATGGATGAGTTGATTAAATAAAAAAATTAATTAATTAAAAAGATAAAACAAAAATTTAAAAATATTTTTTTTCACTAGAAAATAGTTACTAACCCCCAACATCTATTAAACCCTCCAATTCACATATTCCTTGCCAACAATTTACAATTATTAAATTAAAATTAACCCAAAATACAAAAAAGATTAAAAATAATTTTTTAATTAAAATTGGCATTTACTTAATAATTCCAAGGGAAAATCTTAAAAAAATAAAACTTTTTTTTGGTTAATTTTGAATCAATAAAAATCCATTTATTAGCTAGCTTTAATTTAAAAATAGAAATTTATAAAAAATTACAAGAAAGCAAAAGGCCATATTCTAAATATTGAGTAATTTAAATGTGAGGTGTGCAAATAAATATTTAGAGGGGGGGGGGTTTTATTTCTTCTAATTTTTGAATTAGAAATATTTTTTTGAATCAATAAATTCTTTCAATTTTGGGTTCTTATTTTCGATTTATGATTTACGTCGAAATTGAAAAAAATTTTTTCTGATTTTATTTTAAGGACCGGGTTCGGCCGGAGAAGTTAATATACAATGAAGCCTATAACTGAGGCTTAAAAATAAGTTTCAGTGTTGCTGCCAGCTTCAGATCAGAAAAATTTGAGGTTGTACTTAGCGCCTAGATACAGACACAGATTTCGGCCTAAGCTGACAACAACACTTAAGCTTATGTATAAGACTATCTTTTCAAATTTAAGAAAGAGTTTAGTAAAAGTTTAGCCACCGGGCATGATTCGAAACTGCGACCTCCTCGTGGTTATTGCTGGGATCTTTCGCTTACCATGTACAGGAGCTCTACCACTGAGCTACCTGGGCATCAACTAATGCTTTCTCCTTACAATTTGTTAAAATATCTACAGCAATCCTTACTCAGCATCCATACTCAAGTAAAATACTATAAAAGGACTTAGGTTTTTACTGTTGAATATTCATATTTCGTCACGTTTAGGTTACACGCCTTTGTACATACATATAGATGGGATTCATCATTCAACTTCTCGTTACCTGCTTTCTTTTGGGGATTGGATTTGTGAGTTTAAAAAATTTTTCCTTAAAACTTCTCTTTAATTCCTTTCTTTAAAGTATGCCGGAATGCTCTTCGAAAAGCGCAACAGCGGGAAAGTCTCAAAAACCACTCAAGATGTAAGTATCAAAGGAAACAAAAAACAAAAGGAGAAGCAGCGGAAGGCATCCAAGACACGCTCGAGAGAGACAGTTCAAAGAGTGGAGATTTGAAGAAAAGAGAAGAGATGATCAATCAAATAAATAAATATTTAATTGTTGGATAGGCTAAATTTGTATATATTCTAAAAATGTTTTTCTTGTTGTTGTTAATATCTCTAAGTATATAAAAATATTTTTGTTGCGTTAAAATAAAAAGTTAAGGGTATCATTCTTTTGGTAAAAGAGTTTTGAGAAATTTTATTTTAAATCTTCAGTAGTTAACGTCAAGCTATCCTTGAAAAAACAATGAGAATTTTTGCATCTAATCTTCAATATATTTTTGTTATTTCATTTTCCAAAATTAGGAAAAGGTTGATAACGGGGCCAGGCATCTGAATTAAAAAATATTTGGCTTTTGTCTTGTTTAGAAGGTGAGAGTGGAATTATGTAGGAAATACATAAATTTAGACCTTTCTAATAAAATTTTACTCAAAGTAGACATTGTTAAGAGAATATGATTAAGAATGGCTTACAAGAAACCGCCGCGAACTATGTCCAAAAATGATATCTTGAGAAAGTTATCCTTAATATCTTGAAAAAATCCCGTTAGATTAATAAAAGTCAATCGGAATTATAAACTGAATTAGAAGGAGCCTAACAATCCTTATCTATCTATATTACACTCCGCCACATAATTATATGAACACCCCTAAATACCCTGAAGCGATTTTCAGATTTTCTTTTTTCTAGGACGATTTTAGCCGATTTCTAAAATATATTAAGGTTAAAGAAAGTATTCCGGCATATAAATACGGTAAAAAGTTGTATTTGGGTGTGTTCATATAATTATGTGGCGGAGTGTATTAGTGATTTAAAAATAATTTTTACTTGGATTATTATAAGCAGTTTGATGGGCATAATATTGTGTATGTCCATCATCCCTTTTAATTATTAAAAATTTTATTAAAATATTTGTTATTATCATTTACCGTTGCACACCTCCCCCGTTTGCTTGTAGTATGGTTCCAGTTGTGTGGTGGTCACTTCGAGTTCCCCAATTAAATTGAGAATTTGAAGAATTAAATAAAATTATTAATAAAATAAAAATAAAATAGAAGTACATTTTTATTAAAAGAATATTTTTAGAATGTGTGCATTATCAAAAGCAGGTTATCGCTAATAAATAAGCTTTAGCTATTTATGGAATAAAACAATAAACACTCTTTTAAACCCAAATAGATTAACGATTGTTTAGTTAATTGTTAACATAATTTAATTAATTTATAATTAAGATTATTAAACAATATGTAGTTAATTTAAATCTGTTAATTAATTAAAGGAAATTTTTCTGGGCTAATCGAATTTTGTAATGGAATTATATATTTTTATTTTCAATTAGGGATTGTCCGAGCTAGTCGAAACCCGAGAGCCTAACCCTGGACTTATTTGAACGAAATCAAACCAGAAGAAATTTTTAAATACCGATCCATTATGCGGCCCGACTTTTCTGGCTCATTCCTTGTTTCTAGTGCCATTTAAGCGAAACAATTTTATTTCTGAATTTTTGACCGTGTTTTATTAAAAAATATAAATTAAAAAAATAATTTATTAAAAAATAATTTAAATTTCGTTTAAAAATGTAAAGTTTTATTGGTCTTAAAAATCAAAAATCTTTCGCTTCGTTTCAATTAAATAATAAATTTTTGAATTCCAATCATCAACATTGTTGTGAATATTAAAAGAATTGGTGTCTATATTTAAATATAATTTTGAAATTACCGTATTTCCTAAAATAATACTCCCCCCTGAATTAGTACTCCCCCCTTAAATAATACTCCCCTTTGGAGGAGGGTTGAAAAATAGTACTCCCCCCTTAAATAGTACTCCCCCTAAAATAGTACTCCCCCCTAAAATATTTTTCCCCTATATTTGAAAAAAATTATAAAAGAAACATTGAATTATTCTATTGAAATTTACTTATTGAATTATTTTATTTATTCTGATTAGGGTTGTCAGTTTCACTTGATTCTTCGATAACCGAAACCGAACAGCATCTGTTGACCGAAAACGTACCGAAATTTTAACCTAAAATTTGTCGGCAATTAAAGGGATATAATTGATTAGTTGGTGGGGTAAAAGTGGATTTTGGGGATATAAAGGGATTATATCGGGTGATAAAATGTGTTCTAGATTGATCAAGTAGTATGGTTTGATAAAGGAATTTGAGAGAAAAATGAAGGTTGAGTGTTCGGGACGCACTCATTCCCGAGCGTTCAGGACGAAAATCTATTTGTTATCCCGCCTAATATGGATACCCTAGGATTCGTAGGGATATTCGAAGAAAAAGAGATGTGGAGGATATCGGTGATTAATGCTGATAAATCCCTAGACACAGCGATTAGGTACATCAATTGCGCAGTGACATTGAATAATATCGGCAGATATATGCGGATTAGTGAGATTACGAGGTTTGAAAAGATTAAGGGGTATATCAGTGTTTTTGAAGGATATCTAGGGAATTTTCTCATATCAAGTGTATTAACTGGTCGGGAGTTCAAGATGGATATAGAGGTAAATTTAGAAAATCCGTGTCGGATCCGTCATTTTTCAAATAACGAACTCAAATTGATTTAGAATTTTGAAATAAATTTTCTTATGATAAATCATAAATAAGGGTTGAAAAATAGTACTCCCCCCTGAATTAGTACTCCCACCTTAAATAGTACTCCCCTTTGGAGGAGGGTTGAAAAATAGTACTCCCGGGAGTACTATTTTAGGAAATACGGTAATTCTATTTCATGAAAAAAGGACAGAGAATATTTTAATTGTCACTTTATAATTCTTAACGATAACTTTTTGATATCAAATCTTATATACGGTTAACAATTAAACGTTTAAATCGATGCTAGTTTCAAGATTTTTGCTAGTATTTAATTAATTCTAACTAATAATTTTAAAATGACTATTAAAAACTGATCAGGACATTCTATTCTACATATTATAGGGGGTTATTCCAGGGCTTCGATTTCTGCGGATTTTTCCTCATTTTGTGGTTTTTTGATAGGGCGATGAGGATTATTTTTAAAAATGCGGATTTGCGGATTTTTGTGGTCTTTTGAAGAATATGAGGATTTTTTATATTTTTCTGTAGTAAATAAAATTATTAATAAAATAAAAATAAAATAGAAGTACATTTTTATTAAAAGAATATTTTTAGAATGTGTGCATTATCAAAAGCAGGTTATCGCTAATAAATAAGCTTTAGCTATTTATGGAATAAAACAATAAACATTCTTTTAAACCCAAATAGATTAACGATTGTTTAGTTAATTGTTAACATAATTTAATTAATTTATAATTACTAAACAATATCTAGTTAATTTAAATCTGTTAATTAAATTAGTTAAAGGAAATTTTTCTAGGTTAATCCCCTTCGGAATAATGGAGTTAATTGTAAAGCATATAGCTATTGATTTCCTAAGGTTGAGCAGTAGGCGGCGTGGTGTAATGGCCAACACATCAGTCCGGTCTACTGAGGATGCTGGTTCGCTCCCAGCCGCCGATTAACCTTTTGCACTAGCTGAAGGAGAGAAATAGCTATAGCCCGGCTGCTTTACTTAATAAATATTCTCCGGTTTCAAGCAGTGATTGTCCGGATTAGATGAAACCCGAGAGCCGAAATCTTGACTTTTCGATACGAGATCCGATTCAAAGAAATTTTAAAATTTCGATCCATTACCGACCCGACTTTTTTTTGGCTCGTTCATGGTTTCTAATATTATTTCCTAAAACACAATTTTATATCTGCATTTTTGACCGTGTTTGATTGAAACATTAAATATAAATTCAGCAAATAATTTATTAAAAAATATAAAATAATTTAAATTTTTTTAAAAATGTAAAGCTTGATTGTTCTTAAAAGGCAAAAATTCTTTGTTCGTTTCATTTAAAATAAAAATTTTTGAATTCCAATCGTTAACATTGTGATGAATATTACAAGAATTGGTGCCTATATTTTTAAATATTATTTTGAATATTAACATTTATAAAATTTAAAAAGGTTTTTTAAAATTTCCTCCCTATCTCTATTACCTAAATTAAATAAAAAATTTTTTAATAAATTTTATTTTGGAGAAAAAATAGGAAAGGGAAATACTTTTAATTGTCAAGTTACAATTTTGAATGTTATATTTTTGATATTAAATTTTATATTTGGCTTACAATTTAAACTTTTAAAGTTGTGATTTTGGCTTGTACATATGTTTTGTTAGTATATTTATTTTAATAATTTAAAAAATATTTTAAACACAAAACTATCAAATTAACAAAAATTAAACAATAATTAATTACTTTATTAAAAACTGCCCCACAAATTGTAGTTTTAGGTGATTTTGTAGAAGGGGGAATAGTTTTTACTGTAATTTTGAGAGTTGTAGGTTTTTCTGTAGTTTTCTGAGTGGTTGTTTCTAATACAAAATATATTTTAAATATTAATTTTATGAAAATTAAATGAAATTGTAAAAAATTTTTGTTTCATATGCTTTTCTGTTTCAGGTTAAATTAATTTTAATTTTATGTTGAAATAAAAAAATTTTCAAATAAGAACGGAGGAAAACAAAGAAAAATTAACTAACAGTTGGGGGTTTTTTAAAATATTTTCATGATATGTTTTCAGTTACAGTAAAAGCCTATTAATTGAATTACCTAATTTAAAATACTACCTAGTAAAAAAATATACAACGACGAATTTTAAAATTTTTTTAAAAATAAATTTATTTACCTGTACTTTTTACAGTTGAAGTTGTTCTAAAATTAGAATTAAATTATTATAATTAGAAAAAAATTTTTTAAAGAATTGTAGAAACATAAAATAAATGTTTGTTATTAAAATTAAATTACTAGATACTTTTTAATATTTTTTATGAAATACTGATTTATATTTCCATGGCGATAGTCCAATTATCGTCCTGCCCCTTAGTTTGGGACTATAAAGTAATTAAATTGTGAATCAAAATCAAAGATTTTATTTAGTAATTATTTAGAAATAAAACAAACAAGATAGGGGTCTGTGTAGTTATTTTATTTGTTGTTGTTGTATTAGGTGGAGGTGGTGTGGGTGTTGTGGTTGTTGTGGGGGGATCTAAAACTTCTGGAGGTATAAAATTTTCTGGATCCCAGAAATCGTTAATTGAATTAATTAAAGGAAAGGAAAAAATAAAAATATAAAAAATAATTTTCATATTCATTTTAATTTGTATTTTTTTAGGTTTTTTGTGTAAATTAAAAATAAATAAAAAAGAATTAATATAAAAAATTTTGTAATTATTATTTAGTTTTTAAAAATTATTAGCCATATTTCCATTAATTAAAAAATTTTTATCAAATGATTCACAAATTATTATTTTATAAAATTAAGTAAAAAATGATTTAAAAAAATAATATTTATTTTAGTAAATTATGACAAATAATTAATTGAAAATTTTTTTGTGAAAATATTTATGTACAACGAAAAAATTAAATTTAAATGTTTAGAGCATTTAATATGGAATTGGCAATTTAAATTTAAAAATTATAATTTCTTAAATATTTTATCCATCCAATTTTTGTGGTGTTTGTCCAAGAATTGAAATTAATTGATAAATATATTGAATGGATGTTCTAAGTATTTTTAATTTTGAAACTCTTTTTACGTTTTTAGCCAATGCAGGAAGCCTTTAAAAATTAATTAAATTAAAAATAATAAAAAACAGACATTCGTTTTAGTTGCAGAAATGCATGATTGACTGTATGGACTGTTAAAAATTATTTAAATTTAAATACTTTTGTTAAAATTTAGATAGATAACTTTAAAATATACAGTGCCGGAAAAAAAGATAGGACCAGAGGCTGTTAAATTAGTTTTTTTCGCTTATCTCTTTTTTAATGGCATTTAGAAAATAAGTTTCAACACAAAAATTTTAGGCCATTAAGTGCTCTTTAAAATGAGTATAAATATCAGTATACTTTATCGACAGAATTTTATTAAAAAAATTTTAAGCAAATACTACTCAATTTTGGGGTGGAAAAAAAGATAGGACCAGGCTAGAAATATCGACTTTTGTGCGGTCAAAAATTCTATAAAAATTTCTATGAACATTTCCATCGATACTAAGTAGAAAATTAAAAAGAACAAAGTCTGTAACTTATTTCGTCATCGAGATCTCAAATCTCAAAAATCAACGAAAAATCGGGGTACAGTACTTCAAAAAACAGTACTTCAATACAGTACTTCTACGGGGTACAGTATACAGTACGGGGTACAGTACTTCAATATTTTATATTAAATTTTTTCTCTTAAAAGTCTAAAATTCTGAAGAAAATTTGCGGAAAGGAAAATGTGGGCGTCTGGTCCTATCTTTTTTTCCGGCACTGTAGATAACCTTCTGATTTTATTAACATTCTTTAAAAATTTGTTAACCATTGAATAAGGGATTTGTCTAAGCATATCTTCAAGTTAGAATACACTTCATTATACAAAGGTTACATTTTAAGACCCAAAAGGGGTTGAAAAATCGAGGTCTTAAATATTATTTAAAAATTTTCTTTACTCAATCAACTGTAAATTAAAGTAATTTTAAAAAGTTATTAAAATAAATAGAGGATTTTTTGTATGTATAAAATACAATAAATAATAAAATCCTTATATTACAATCCTGTACCCAAAATTAATTATTAAATTAATTTAAATTAATTAAATTTACTTATTTAAAGCCCCAAAAATAATTTAACAACCTCTTGTCCTTTCTCGAGCATTTCTTCTTTCTACACAAGTAATTGTCTTTTTTTGAATTGTTTTCTTTGTTTGTAAACGATTAAATTTTGTTTGTTTATTTAAATTAATTATTTCGTTTTTAATATTTTTATTTAAATTTTGAAATTTTGAGGAGACGATTTGTTCAATTTGAGAATAATTTTCGTTTTGATTAATTGGAATTGTCGTTGATTTACAATTATTATTTGTTAATAATAAATGAGATAATGAAGGATTGGTAGAGGATAAAGATAATAAAAAATTTGACATTTAATTAAATATTTTTGTAAAAATTAATTTAATTATTTAAAATTAAATAATAATTAATTTTATATCAAATTTAGGTTATCTGAAGAGAGAATGGATCTAGCTAAATTTACAAAAAATTATTTCAAATGATCCTTAAGAGGGTTGTTCTGAAAGTGATTTTAAAAAGCGGAAGGCGAAAAGGTGAAAGTCTAAAAAAGGAGAAAATGAGCTGAAGACGGAAGGCGAAACTCGAAAACCCCTGATACATAGTTATCAAACCTTATCAATCGCCTTTCCTGAGTTAATTACCCTTTCTCTATCATTAAGTAAATACGGCAACGCAAAAAATTCTCAAAATTCTTACTTAAATTCATCAATTAAATTTATAAAAGTTAAAATACTAGAAAGATTTATAATAATATTGAAAATAAAATTCAATAAGACATATTCTAATAAACGATTTTTTAAAATAAATTTCCACAAATTTATTCCTTTAATAAAGTTTTTAACAAGAAATAACATAAATTAATTTAAAATATAATTTCTAATTAAAATAAATAATTTTACCTTAATCTAAAAAATTAACGAAAGAATGCCTAGAAGAAACAGGTGAAAATTAAATAAATATTAAATGCCATTACTTCTCTATAAATAATATTCCAGAATAAATAATTAAGTATACCTTGCTAATTTATTATTTATTAAAAAATATCGTTTCTTTAAGTTTTTAATTAATTTTTTATTTAAAATTTTAATTTAATTACTTTTAAATACTAGACAAATGAATTTGAGTATATAGAGTTGTCGGTTCTTGGAAAATTTTCGGATATCCGGAACCGAACCGATATTCGAACCGAAAAATTATCGGTTCGGTTCGAACCTAAATAACCCTAAATTTGAGTAGTCTATATTTTCTCTTTATTTTATGTACATCTCCTAAACATTATCTCATAAACAGCATATTTTCGTTGTACTATTTTTGAGTGATCAAATAAAATATTGAGAAAGTGTAAATTTATATTGTTTTAAAAATTCTGATAAATAAATTAACTAAAATTAATAAACATTTATTAACTGTTTTTGTAGGAGTAATAATTGTTGAAATAAATGCTTCGTTTCAGAATGCTTTGTTTGGATTAATTAAAATTGAAAATATTTCGGGATCAAAATGAGAGCATAGATAACAACCGGAGGATTATTACCGTGTTTTTATAAAATTCAGTCGGGATCGATCGAGGGGGTTATGATGGTCTATAACTGAATTAGCTAGAATATTTGTGTTCTTGAATTGAATCTTTCTTTGATGAATCTTAAATTTTTGAAAGTTTCAACCGACAAAAGTAAAGAAAAACGAATAGAAACTCATATACCCTTTATACAAATTAAGGTTGGTGTAAGACGGGATCTAGTTCCTGATTTTGTAGTTGCATTCCCTCGAGAGTTACTCTAACATTAAATTTAAAAATTACTCCAGCATGTGAGATCCCGTAAATCCCGCTAATTTAAAAAAATATGTCTCTCTTAATTAATAATTATCTCTAATTATTTTACGTGTAATGTACTTTTACATTTGATAATTATTTGTTAATCAATTATTTTTTCTTTAAAAATCTCGGCATTCTTTCATGTCCCCTTTGCCCTTTTATTTTTAAAAATTATTTTTCTTTAATTCACGTGAATATATTTTTGTTTATGTCTATTAGATGCCGTCTAGAATGTATTTTTATTTATAAATAGTCTGTCTGACAACTTAAATATGGTTTTTGGCTATTCGAAGATTTATTTTAAATTTTTTTTAAAATAATTTATTTCCTTAATTAAACAAAATTTAATTTATTAAAATGTTTTATTTTATTTATTTTTTTATTTAATTATTGTTTCACAAAATTACATATAATTTTTAAATTTATAAATTTATTAGCTAAATTTTCTCTTTAAAAAATAATTATTTAATTTTATTTATTATTTAAAATTTTTTTAACTTTAATTTAAAAAGAATAAAAAAATCTATGTATTATTTTATATTAATTGTATATTTTCAATTTTTGGTTAATTATTTAATTATTTCAAAAGTAAATTGTGTTGATGATGAAAAAGGAAAAGGGTTGGGGTTATTTTCAAAAATATACTTTAATATCAGGCGTGCTCACGGATACGGATATATCCGCCCTGTGGATATGGGTAGATACGAATTAAAGTTGGCGGTTCCGGGTATCCAGAACCGAAAAAACCTCGGATATCCGGAAATTTTCGGTTCGGATGCCGGTTCCGGAACTGCCATCCTTGATACGAATATTAGAGACTAGTATATCCGGTCAAAAGGTGCTGCGGAAATAAACGGTTATGGCGGTTATGACACGCCTGATAATAGTTGAATTTTTTTATTTTTATTAAAATTTTTGTATAATTTAGTGTTGCGGAATCAACAAAACCTTTAAAAAATAAAAATATGCCTCCAAGCTATTTTATTATTGAAATGATGGACAAAGTCGTGGAAAATTTAGATAAAATATCTAAAGTTGAAGAAAAATCATTAAAAATTAGGGGAGAAACATCTAGTGAAAATGAAAATAAAATGGAGGTTATTGAGGAAGAAGATGAAAATGAAACAAAGGGTGAGGAAGAAGATAAATTAAAAAAGAAAAAAGAAAAAAATGAAAAAGAAAGAGAACATTTAATTAAATTATCTGAAGTTGTAAGAAGTAAATATATACTTCCTAAAATGGCTGAAATTAATGTATTAACTAGTCTGATTTATCAATTTTTGTTTAGTAATAATCCTAACGAGGGATTATCATCAAGTAAACTTGGAAATATTTTTAAAGAAATTAATGAAGCTTCAGAAAAAAATATGGAATTTGAAGTAATTTTTTATTTAAATTTTAAATAAAAAAGTGAGGGCAGTCGGTCTACTGAAAATGCCAGCCGCCGATTTCACTCCCAGCCGCCGATTAACCTTTTGCACTAGCTAAAGGAGAGAAATAGCTATAGCCCAGCTTTTTAACTTTTATTAATTATTTTATTTATTTTAGGAAAAATTGAAAAATGATGAGGATATTACAGTAATTAATAAAAAAGAAGGAATATTTGTAGAAGGATTAATATATACAGTATTTCAAGTTCAAGGATTTTTTGGAAAGTTAAAATTAGAAATTGTTTTAGGGCAAAAATTAGAAGAATTTAGTAATGAAAAATTAGACAAAAAAATAAAAATTGAAGAAGAAAGAATTAATGATTTTTTAAAAAATTATATGATTGATAAAAATGAGTAGGTTTTTTGAAAACAAATAAATTTTTTTGTAAATTCCAAATTTTAAAATTAATTTATTAATAAAATAAAATTTAATTACATTAAAATTAAGGTTTAAATGTATAATATTATTCTATAATTATCGTAAAATAAACAGAATTCTGCTAAAAGTTTTTAATAAAAAAATTAATTAAAGAAAATAAAATATTTTTTGATCTACTGATTAATTACTTTTTAATTAGGGTTGGAGATCATCAATTTAAGGAAACAAAAAAATTTTGAAAATTAGTGATTTTTAAATTCCCCCAAAATAAACATCTCATTATTTAATTAAAACTCAAAATAAAAACAGGAGGGGTTTTTAATAAGGATTAATCGAAAAATGAGTGTAACGGTTAATAATTGGTTATGCCATCCGATTTTTAAAATTAAGGGGAAGACAGTTTTAATTCTTAATTTTATAAAAAATATTTTAATATTTTTTTTCAAATTTTAAAGGTACCTTATGATAAAATATGGAAAAAAGAAGAAAGGTAAACTTGAAGGTGCAATGAAGAATTTGAAAAAATTTAAAGAAAAAATGTAAATTTTTAAATAAAAATATTTAATTAATTCTTTAATTACATTTTAAAGACAAATTAAAAAAGACGTAATATTACCACCAAATTCTTCAAAAAGTAAAAAAATAATAAAGGATGAAGAGGGTAATGATTTAAATAATCAAAAACAAGAAGCAATAGATAAGATTAAAGAAGCAATACTAGATAAGATTAATAAAGCAATAATAGTAGATGAAATTAATGTGGATTTAATAGGAGTAAAGGTAAATTTAAGTATACCTAATTATTTTACATATTTACATACATAATTAATTTATTCATACCATTTCTGGAAAAATTGTAGCCATACAAAGTTTCGAGTTACTCTTTAGTGAAATTATACAGGGTGCGTAAAAAGTTCCCGGAATTTTTAAAATTTCAACTATTGGGTTTAAACATTGATTATTAAAACAAAATTCGTTCACAATCATATTCAGCACTATTTTTGGTTCAGAAACATTTAGTCTATAAAAAATTTTCAGAGAATAGATGTCAAAAAGTCCTCTCAAAACTCCCCCAAAAATATCGTTTTTTGAAGCGCTTGGTCGCAGCTGGTCGGCTAAACGGGTGTTGTTTACTTAAATGAAAATTTTTACCGTCCACGCTGTTACAATATCAGAAACTGACACCAATAAGTCCGTGAGACTAATTGGTGTGTAAAAAAGACTTTTCCCGCAATCTGTGATGATTCGGGGAGGAATTTGTGCCATTGGAAGACACCGTTGGTTTTTATCGCCAAAAACGTCAAAATCAATGCTTATGTCTATCAAAATGAAATTTTGATGAATGTTTTACTTCCCTTGGTCAGATTGTGTTGATTCGAATTATGATTTTTATTTTCTTTTGACATATATCGAGATTCTACATATATCGGGATATCAATTTAAGAACTTATTTCAGGATTTCAGGACCTATGGGCGCTGGATCATGGATAGTACATTGCCCTATTGAAGAAAAGGGTGTATATCTATCCCTATTAGGGTTGCCGTTATCAAACCGGGCCGACGTTCGAGTCATTTTTTTCGGGCTTCATTTTTATCGAGCCAGGCACCGAGTCTTTTTCGGGCCAAAATTATTTAAAAAAACTCCACACACAAGTAAACTTCCAAACATTCAATACCATTTAGACTTATTTCACGCAGACTAATTAAATAACAATATTTTTATTTTAAACTTTTAATTTATGATTTAAAATATTTAGATTTATTATGGTCGATCTATTTGGATGAATCGTTTAGCCCAAGTTTCAATAATTTTACAGAAACATATTTTGGAAATTATAAAACAAGAAAAGACTTCTTGGAGTGAATTAACTAAAACATCTCTAAAAAATTATTTAAATTCCTCTCAAAATTCGGAAAAAAGTACTATAGAAGAAATAAACGAAAAAACAATATTTGATATATACACGAAGAAAGTAAATGAAAGTAATTCGCAAAGATTTGGAAACGAACTGTTTTCGAAAAAAGGAAAAAATAATAAAATAGGAGGATTAGGCTTTATGACACCACAAGCATCGCCAATGAGAGTTTTTACGAATAGCTTGGGATGTAAAGATGTTGGGGAATGTTCTTCTAAAAATAATGAACAAAAGTTGGAGAATACTAAATTTAAAAATTAAATTTAATTTTTAATTTAAAGGAGATATAGCTTTAGCTTTGCTTCTCCCATCAAAAGTTTTGTTGCATCCCCACGTCGTTTTTTTAGTCAGAAGAAGGATTCGTTTTCTAAATCAGGAAAGAGGTAATTTTTATTAAAATATTGGAAACAGATGAGTAGGAGATGAAGAAAATATCATATGAATTAGAATACAGTCTAGCCTTTGGGTCGCAAAAAATCTTATCATATAAGGTGGGATTATTGCTCAGGCATTTCCCCATCTAATAACCAACTAGAATGAAAAAATAGAAATGTACTTTTAGGGTAAATAAATTTTATGCCCAACTATGATGTAATAATTAATAGGGTTTTCGGTTCTGGATCGAACCGAGCCGAAGAACTGAGGATTTTTCGGTTCGGTTCTTCGGCTCGGGTTCGGATATCCGAAGAATTCCTAATGTAAATGGACGGCTCGAGCCGCGGACATTGAGTCGGGTCCATCCCTTTCGGGAGGACCCGACGTGTCCTAACTCTTCTAATTAAAGTTTAATGTATATATAAATATATAGATTTAATTCTTTATTTTACGATTAAAAAATAAGAGGGGGAAGAAGGATCGGCCAGTAAAACTTAAAGTAAGTTAAAGTGAGTCTTTTTGGCTAAACTGGCCCATCCTTATATTTGGTTATTTTTAAAGAATTTTGTGTCAGCTGTTTCAACAAGTATATAATATTGGTCACCTAAAAGAAGCGCGCCTCGCGCTTTAAAATTTGGTTAAAAAATTAAAAATTATATAAGCGCGAGGACACCTTCACATAAGTGCCCAATATTATTTTCAATTTAGAAAATCGACTTTTTGTTATTTTATGTGTATTTTGATTTTTATTTTTCTTTTTGTTTCTTTTCATTTCCAAGTGAGAGAGAGAGAGATTTAGAGGAAAAGCAGTAAAGCGGCCAAATTAAGTTTATATTTCAAAAGCAAAGAACTGTTTCACCAACACGTGTTGATTTTGGTAATGGTGCAGAATTGGGGAGACACTTGTTTTGGATCCAACAGCAATGTAGGGGAGGGGAGGGGACAAAGGAGAAAAGTAGATACTGACACCTCCACTTCATTTAACATTCCTTTCAAAAATTAATTTATTATTCTTCCCAAAATAAATTATTAAATTTATTATTATTTTTTTTTTTAATTTTATTACATCAATTATTAAAAATGTTTGCCATATTGATATTGTTGTTGATGCTCAATTCCAGCCGGCCCTGTAATTTTTTTTTTTTTAATAATAATAATTTTAAATAATTTTTGTGTTTTTGTTGTTGTAATTAAAGTATATATGAATTTTTGTCTGAATATTTATATTATGTGGTGTGGTCTAATAAAAATTAATAAAATAATGTTGTTTATTAAAGAAATTTTTTTGATTATTTGGTTGTTATTAGCAAAGAAAATATTTTTATTGAATTGATTATTTTTAATTATTATTTTTGTTGTTTCATTTTTTTTTTTAAATATCCTTATATATTTGGGGTTAAATTCAGAAAATCCTTTATTTCCTCCAAATTGTCAAAGATTCTATCAAGTACAAAGCTGGTTATCAAAGTATTTACTCCCATTTCCGCTGTATTTGGTTTTGTTTTCTTCTTGTCTTTCCTTTCCTTTTCATCAACATATCCTCCTCTTTTATAATATTTATCCCGATTTACGTTAGATGAATCCTTATATTTGTATGAGCATCCTTGTCTTCGATCCGGAGATATTGTATATTCATTCCTAATACCTCTTCCAACGACATGTTCATCAAATCTACTTTGTTTGGTGCGGATTTTCTTTCCACTCCATGGTTCTATTTTTTCCTTTTCTTTTAATTCCTTCAAGTATTTTTCTTTCTCTTCCGGTAATTTATCCACAATTTCCTCCTCAACTTTATCCTTCTCTGCTCTCGAGATTACCCTAGTAGCGAATTTTTTAAATTCACTTTTCCCTTTTTCTTCTTCCCATTTCTTTTCGTATTTAGCTATCAGTTCCTTTTCTTTTTTCTCCAATTCTCGGGTCATTCGTTCTTGCATTTTCTGCTGGCATTTATCGGCTTTCTTCAACACATTTTTCCAAATATCCTCATACTTTAGCTTCATATCCTCATCATATCTCGATCGAATCTTCTTTAATCGTCTTGCCGTTTCCCAATCAACAATCTCGTCTCCGTTCTTTATTTTCTTCTCCTTTTCTTTTCCTTTATCATTCTCTTCCTTTTCCTCTCCTTTTTTTCTCTTTTCTCCTCTTTCCTTCGGGATTATTTTATTCCCAATTTCTTCTCCTCTTCTTTTCGCCTCCAAAATTCTAGCCTGTTTTCCTTCCTCTTCTTCCTTCTCTTTTCTCTGTAGTTGTTTCTCCTCCTCCTTACGCCTTCTTTTTTCCTCCTTTCTTTTTTCCTTCTCTTCACATGTTATAGGAAGAAGACGCTCTTCGTCTTCCGTTAACTCAGTAGACGAAATATCCTCCATGTGCCAGGGTAATTTTTCTTTTATTGAAGTTTCGTTGTCGGAAATATAGTCGGAAATACTTATTATGCTTGATGTTTTAGACATATCGAAAGCCTGTAATTGATTTTGAATATTATTATTTTCGGTTTTATTGTTATTGTTAGTTTGTGTTAATTCGTTAGTAAAATCCAGAGCAGCGACAATCGAGTTAATTTGTGGGGATTCTCTAAATACTCCTTCCTCGTCGTCCGAAATTTCGATGTTGGGATCCAAGATCATTTTCTGGTTTCCTTTATTTTTCTCCTCTTCTGAGTAAAACCTTTTACATTTATCACTGTGTATAAGCCATGCATTTTCTAACATTCCCGTCTCAGAGATTAATAAATTTGGGGATTGAATTTCAATAATTTCATATGGGCCTTCCCATTTGTCACCAAATTTCCTTAGATTTTCCATCTTTTTCACCAAAATTTTGTCCCCCTTTTCCCACATTATTTTATTGATTTTATTTTGCTGATGTTTCATTATATCCACATTTTCTAATAATTTAGATTTCACATCCTCCCTAACGATAGTAATCCTTTCCAACATCTTTTGAACATACGAATTCATCTCTTTATATTTTTCTCGCTCAATTCCCAGTGCAGCTTCTGTAGGCAGCTTCGGTAGGAATCCATGCACCACAAAAAATGGGGAATTTCCTATTTGGTGATTATATGAGGTATTGTAGGCAAAAATAACATGGGGCAGCATATCAACCCAATTTTTCCCTTGATCAGTACACGTCGCAATCATATCAGCAAGCGTTCGATTAAAGCGCTCTACTAGTCCATTCGCTGATTGGTGATAAGGGGTAGTAGGCTGGTGGCGAAAATTTAAAGATTTAGCTAAATCTTGAAATGTTGATGACATAAATTGGGTTCCTTGATCAGTTATAATTAGCGAGGGAATTCCGAAACGGCAGACAATTTCTTTAAAAAAAATGTCAGCAATTGTGCTGGCCGTTTGATTTCTTATCGGCACCGCCATTGCCCATTTACTAAATGAATCAACCGCAACGAAAATATATTGATGTCCCCTTAAGGACTTCTGAATAGGGCCTAGCAAATCAATATTAATTCTGTCAAATGGTCGCGAAGCAGGTTCAATTGGGTAAATTTCTTCGCGACTTAGATGTTTTCCAACTATTTTTCTTCGTTGGCAAACTTCACAAACTCTTATTTTATCAGTGATATCTCTAGTCATTCCTTTCCAAAACATAGTCCTTTTTATTTTTTCTAAAGTCCTTTGGAGTCCAAGATGAGCACCCTGAAGCGGATCCTCATGGAATTCTTTTATAATTGTATTTTTTAATCCTGCGGGTATAATTATTTTCCAATCATTTTGTATTTTTCCACATATTAATCCATTTATTATTTGAATATTTTCCTCCTTATTTTTAGTCAAATTGGTAATTTCCTTATCCTCCTTTTGTGCCTCCATCAATTTTTCAATAGAAATTTTATCTTTTAGCTCTATGGCTTTAATTTGAATATCCTCTTCTGGTGGGTAGCGTGAGAGGTGATCCCCAACTTTATTAAATTTCCCAGGTCTATAAATAATATTAACATCAAAAGCCTGTAAAACAATTTGATAACGCGCCAGTCTTCCTTGGAGGTCTTTCCTCCGAAAAAGTGAGGTCAGCGCCGAATTATCGGTAATTACTGTAGAGGTTCCAGCTCCTTCCAAATATACTCGAAATTGTTTTAAAGCCGAAACCAGAGCCAATGCTTCCAATTCTACAACACTATAATTTTTCTCGTGTTTATTTAGAGTCCTAGAATAAAAAGCAATGGGGTGAATTTCCTTCTGGGCATTTTCTTGTAAAAGGCACGCTCCAATAGCGGTTCCACTGGCATCAGTTTCTAAGATAAAAGGCTTCCCAAATTTTGGTGTTGCTAAAACAGGGGCAGTAGTCAATCTTTCTTTCATTTCTTCCAAAATTTTATCATGTTTTTCAGTCCAATCCCTAGTAGATTCCTTTTTAGTGAGGTCATAAATAGGCGCCATAAGTGCTGCGAATCCCCGAATAAACCTCCTAAAGTAACTAAATACTCCGATCAATGAGCGAAGTTCGGCTAAATTTTCAGGTTTCTTCAATTTAAGAATAGGCTTTAAATCAGAATCATCCATCCGTACTCCTCTTTCGGAAATTAAAAATCCCAAATAACGAATTTCAGAACATCCCCAACGACATTTTTCTGCTCTAAGTTTCATTCCAACTTCGCACATTACATTTAAGAAAGCTTTTAAATCCTCTAAATGTTCATTTTCTGTCTGACTCCCCAAAATAACATCATCCAAATATACTAAAAAGCTTCGAGATAATTGTTGTCTCATCTCTTCCATAACCTTTTGAAAAGTATGGGGTGCTCCTGCTAATCCAAAGGGTAGTCTTAAAAATTCGTATAGGCCACAGTGGGTAATAAACGCAGTCCTTTCAGTATGCTTTTTATCCATTTTTACTTGGTGAAATCCACTTTGTAAATCAAAAATAGAAAATAAACTTTTCCCTCCAACTACGTCCAGTAAATCCTGAATTCGCGGTAAAAGATAGGTTTGCTTTTTTGTACATTTATTAAGCGCTCTATAGTCAACTGCGAATCGCCACGATTTCCCATCGGCCTTTTTGACTAATACAATCGGCGAGGCCCATGCTGATGAAGAAGGTTTAATAATATTTTGTTTTAACATTTCCTTAATTTGTTGTTCTACTTCCTCGCGTAGAGCATGAGGAATTGAATAAGGTCTCTGCTGGACTGGGCGGGTTCCCGGTTCCAGCTCAATTTGATGCACAATTTTTCCTTTATAAAGTCCAATAATCCCATCCGACTTAACAAAAGCATCCTTTTTAGAATCAACCATATTTCTTAATTTTTTAATCCCTTCCATAGACAGAGCAGTGCCTTCTAAATTTAATTTATCTGAAATTTTTTCATTTATTTTTTCAGGTTTTGGCATTTTTGGTAATTCCTTTTCCCAGTCAACTTCGGGTGAAACATATTCCTCTTTTCTTCTGAAAATTTCCACAGAATTTGTTTCCTTTCCGTCACTAGTAATTGGTTCTAAAATTCCAACTCTTGAATTTGCATACACTTGAATAGGCGAATTTCCAAAATTTAATAAACGCATTGGAATTAATCGCGAAGAACCAGGTCGTGAGAGTGTTTTTCCAACTTTTAGTGGCCAATAATCATGTTTTTCCCATTCTTCCAAAATAAATTCTTGAATAGGGTCCAAACTTCTATTAACAGTTCCCCAAATAAAATTATCAGACTGTGGGGGCAAAGTTTGATTTTTCAAAAGTCGCACTTCAATTTGTCTTTTTGGTTTTTCCAAGTAATCCATGGCTGCTATCATTGGTAATAAATCATCTCCCAACATAATAGTCTTATTTTTAAAATTTAAATGTATTTCTTCTTTTTCCTCCATTAAATCAGTTCCTATTACCAAACCTCCAGGGCACGCATTGTCTTCAGAAATTAAAAATGGCCATTTAATTTTTGACTCTCCAATAACCACAGTTGCCATAGCTGAGCCTAAAAATGAAATTGGGGTGGAATTTGCAGCCCAAGCCAAAGGAACATCTCCTGGTTTAATTTTCAATCCACATTTTATAGCCACGGATTTTCCACAATAAGAAATATCGGCACCACAATCCACAAGTGCTTTTTGTCTTTTCCCTTCCAAAAGTACTTCAATATAACATCTTTTCCGACTTCTCACTGAACAAATTGAGGGAATATAATCTAATATATAAGCTTTTTCCTCTAATTGTTCTAATGTTGGTGCGGAAGGCTTTGGATTTAATTCTTGCAATTCAACTGCTGCAACTTTTATTTCCTTTCTTTTATTATTTTCATTTGTATTTTTCGTAAGAAAAAATCTAGCCAATGATCTTCCCAACATAATTCCTTTCCATAATAAAATAAAAATTATGCGGAATTTCCAAGATAAATATGTAATTATTGAGAGAGCCGCCAATATTCCAAAAGTAATTAAAAGCCAATATAATCTTGTCATTAAGGTCCATTTTTCTTCAATAATTTCTTTTGCATCTGAAATAATTTCACTTCCTTTTTCTTTAATGTTTACGGCCATTTCCTTCCCAATTTCGATTCCATTACTCATACTATCTTTTATACCCTGTACCACATCTGATGTAATATTTTTTGCGCCTTCTGGGAATAGATCTATCGATCCAAAAATTCCTGTCATAACTTCTTCAACTTCTGGTTGATGAATATCCATAGGCAGATTCAAATGTGACTGATGTAACAAATCTGAAAATTTTTGCAAATCTCCTTTTATTGTTAATTTTTCTCTTCCAAAAGTGTTTCCTGCTTTGAAAATAATTCCTGTTCTTGAATCAATTATTGGTTTAATAAGTAAAGAATGTTGCTTTTGGTTAAAATCCAAAATTTTAGTTTTATTTTCGACAATTTTCTCCTTGTCGCAAGGTATTATTTTTGCTTCCTAAATTAAATCAGGACTTCCTGGAGATGCAAAAAGAATTTTCCCTTTCACTTTAATAGGCAGTAAATTATAACAAATTCCATTAATTTTTTGTTCCCAAATTATTTCTTCAATTTCAACAGGGGTGCACAAACTTAATGTCCATTTTAATTTAGTATCTTTTTCCAAAAAAGCAGTAATATCTTGTCGTCCATAAAGCAATCTAGCTGCTCCCCTCGGGTTTTGTTCCGCTAAAATTTTTGCTACTCCAAGTTGGTGATTCCTGGTTAAACATGAATCAGTCCATTGGTCACGCATTATTTTCTCTCTTTCCTGCGATTCTTGCCAAGCCAAATAATTTAGCCTACTTTTCTCATGATTTTGTTCTATAATTCGGTCCCTTTCACTTTGTGCTTCCTCCGGGTCAAAAAGTTCTCGTTTATTAGTTAACGGATTTAAATTTTCCTCCCACGTACCGGGATCACCTTTTGGTCCTGGTAAGCCATCTTTTCCATTCAGTCCAGGACTTCCTCTTTCGCCTTTCATACCGGCTGGTCCCTGCGGCCCAGGCACTCCGGGTTGTCCATCATTTCCATTTATCCCATTTATTCCTTTTTCGCCTTTAGGACCCGTCAATCCCTGTAACCCGGGTAATCCTGCTTTACCGTCTTTGCCTCTAATACCTGGCAATCCTCCCAATCCTGGTTGTCCTGGCATTCCAGCATCTCCTTTTTCTCCTTTTACATTTTTCCCAGGTATTCCATTCATCCCTTGTGGCCCAGGAAATCCATCCATTCCTTTAAGCCCCGTCATTCCTTTTTCTCCAGGCATTCCTTTTTCTCCTTTTAAATAATTATTTTTAACTTGTAAATTTGGTTGTTTCGCAGGAATATAATTGGGAGGAATATCAATATTAGAATTAATAAAATTATTTTTTTGAATAGGCAAATTCGTCGTCGTGGTTAATATTGGTCGTTTTGTTGGTAATATCGGACGAATTGTTGTTGTTGTTAATAAAGGCAATTTTGTAGTTAATATTTTTGATTTAATAGTTGTCGGAATAGGTGTTGTCGTAGTTCTTCTAAAATTTTGTTTCTTTTGAATTTGTCGTTTTCGAATTATTTTTTCTGGTGTTTCCTGAATTTTAATTAATACATCATTATCCATAAGCCAAGCATCGTTAGGAACTCCTAAAATATAAGAATTCCTTGTTTGATTTTCCAAAGGAGAGAAAACATATTCTATTTCTTCAATTTTAACCAATCCAATATCAGAATCATCCTTATAAAATATTTCAGCTTGAGTTGGACCAAAAGGATAATGAGTATAAATATATTCCTCTGAGGGAGCATTCCAAATAATAATTGAATTAAATAATTCGTGGTCCTCAAACGATCCATTAATTTCATGTGCCTGTAAAGAGTTTGAAACACCGAAACTTGTTTCGATTTTCTTATTAATTATTGCTCCTTCCCCTTCTTCCAAAAAATAATTTTTTCCTTGAACGCATTTTTTACCAAACCAAGCATATTCTTTTTGAATGGGGTTAGGCGTTTTCCATGTCACCTCATTTAATCTAGATAGTCTCGAACCTTTGGTCATTTTTCGACAAACTTCAGGGGAAGTAATAGTTTTTTCCAATCTTAGCGGTAATTCGTCCGTAAAAATTTTCAGAAATGACTCAGTGCATTTTTCGTATTTTTCAATCCAACATCGGTATATAGGAAAATATCTTGGGACCAACTTCGGCAGGAAAAGAGTCACATTTTTTACTTCCATTCTATGGGTTGGTGGTAAATTACAGTCCTGAGTTATGGGAAAATCCATAGCAATTCCTATCTTTTCCTTTGGGCATATTTGATATTGAGACAGACTTCCTGGACAGAATGCCAGCAAAATCATCATTACAGTAATGAATGGCATGGTCATACTGCTTATCCTAGCTGAATTCGAAGGCCCAGCTCCCGATTCAAAGTTTCGTTGCGAACTTATTGGGATTCGATTCGAATTAAAGGCTCCGGCTCCTCTTCTCTGACCCCACCTTCCTTGAAAACCTCCTCTATTGTAATTTCCACGCCAATTATTTTGATAGCCATTCCTATTTTGTCTGTAAAAATTCTGGTTTCCTCTATTCCCTCCAGCGTTCCAATTTGCGTTAATGGGGAAATTTCCTCGTCCACGCCACTCATTTCTTTGTCCTCCTCTCCAATTCTGAGGAGGGGCACCTCTTTCTCTATCGACTCGCTCCTTAATCGCATTTACTTCGGCACGGACCGCATTTACTTCGGTTAAGGCTTTCTCTGTTAAATTATTTTGATAAAAACGACACTTATCTTCCTTAAGCGCATTTTGAATCTCCTCAATTTCTTTTGCGCTAGTAATAGCCTCTTCCATTGAATTAGTAGGTTGAAATGCCAATTTCTCTTTTATTTCCATTCTTAATCCATTTTTAAAATAATCCTTAGCTATATCGTCTCGCCAATTTTTTATTCGTACAAGTCGAGCTTCCGGGGTTTCTCCAACAATTTCTGTAAAGGAATTTTCAGGGAAAGCTTTAGAAATTAATCCTCTAATTTTTTGGGCAAATTCAAGAATAGATTCATGAGCATCTTGTTTCCTGGTCGATAAAATCCTCCGAGCCGATTCTTTGGAATTTAATTTTTTTAATTTTGATGCCAACGCATCAGTAACATTTTTCCAAGTACTTTTTGCTTCTGCGTCCAAAGAGTCATATATTGCGCGTGCCTCCTCAGTTAAATACAATGGTAAAATTTGACAACAGCGAGGCGCTGTCCATTGGTGAGCAGTAGCCAATTTATTAAAACGCCGTAGATAATTATCAAAGTCCTCCATCCCCGAATAATATTCAGGTAAAGGTAATCCATTAGAATTAATTCCAAGATTTACAATTTCTTTTTCTAAATTTGTAATTTTTCTTTCAATACCTTCCATTGTTTGTTGTCGTGTTTTTCTTCTGATTGGGGTTGGTTCCTCTTCGTCAGCCGTGAACAATTCGTCTTCCGATGCCAGAATTGAATAATATGGGAAAGGTTAAGAATATAATAAAACAAGAATGATTATCCGAGTAAATAGAATTAAGTTAAAGAATAAAAGTTAATTGTCAGAATAAAATTGTTAAATTCAATTATTGTTGTTGTCTGTAGCGTAAATATTTGTCGTTGAAGAATATTTTGTTGTCGCTTCCAATTAGAATTTTAAGTTTTGTGTAATTAATATTTTAAATTTGGAGTGAATATAGTAAATATTGCTGTTTTCTATTTTAGTAATTTTTAATTTGGTAAATGATGACAATTTTTTTAGATTAATTTTTATCATCCGTAAAACACAAGATCACTTTTTAATCCTTTTTTGAGTAAATTCTCCTATAATAAATCAGGGCAGCACCATCCTTTTCTATTTTAGTAATTTGCGTTGTATTCTCGACCCTATCCAATTGTTATCGGCCGCTAACAGAAGAATAGATCTTTCGAGAATTTTTTTTTTACGTGAACATGTCCTCCTCACAAATATTTAGGCTCAATTTAGCCCACTAATTAATTACCTTTACTTAGGTTATTTTTGGGGCCCCTTTTATTTTATTTTATTTTAGTTTTATAGAAAAGGCTATTTTTGGATTTATGCTTTGGCCCTTTAATTTATTATTCTTTTTGGGAATTGTGCTTTGAATGTTTGTTAGTGTGTATTTTGTATTTTTTGTGGTTTTGTATTTTTTGTGTTTTTGTATTTGTTTTGGTATTATTGGATTATTGTATTTTGTGTATTTATCCCATTAATTTTAGCTACCCTCGAATTTGAGGCGGTGGAATGCCCAGTGGATTTTGAATGTGAATATGGCTGCTGGGGACCGACGGAGTGGACGGAGCCAATATTATGTTCTAAAACAAAGCCTCAGTTGGTAACTGAAGCTAAAGCTCCCACTTGCCCCGGAACCCCCTCCTCTCAACTGACTGGTTCACAGCACTTCATTATTATTCACTTCACACAGGGACTGATTTTAATTAGTTTGGGTGTTATTATTTGTTTGGTTTTTACACATCGCACCACACACCCACACAAACAACAAGCAAGCCACACAAACAATAAGCCTATTACTAAAAAGAAATTAGAAAATAAACCGATTTTTATTTCGGCTGTTTAAAATCTTTTTCGTAAAATTGTTAAACTTGTTAATTCAATAAAAATTAATTATAAAATCAAGAATTCGAACACGAGTGATTAATTTTATAGAAAAATGAGTTTTCTGTAAACATGGGTTGATAAAAGTCTTTTAAGAAATAAATATTTCGTGAATTATATAACACAAAGTAAGACAGTTGTTTGATTGAAAAAATTTTTTGCGTGGGCTAATAATAAGGATTTTATTAGAGTTAAAGAAAACAAAAATATTTTTCTCAAAAGTAATATAAATTTAATAAGTGTAATTATTATAAAATAATGTGAGGGGAAATAATTAAAATTTTAAACATAAAATATAATTGAAATATTAAAAATTTTATTAAATTATATTTTTGAAGATGTTTTTGGGGAATTTTATTTTATTTCTAGGACCTCCATGTAAATGGACGGCTCGAGCCGCGGACATTGAGTCGGGTCCATCCCTTTCGGGAGGACCCGACGTGTCCTAACTCTTCTAATTAAAGTTTAATGTATATATAAATATATAGATTTAATTCTTTATTTTACGATTAAAAAATAAGAGGGGGAAGAAGGATCGGCCAGTAAAACTTAAAGTAAGTTAAAGTGAGTCTTTTTGGCTAAACTGGCCCATCCTTATATTTGGTTATTTTTAAAGAATTTTGTGTCAGCTGTTTCAACAAGTATATAATACCTAATAATAATTATCCGACAACCCTAATAATGATTATAGTATATTTTTTAATTTAGTGCTGCTTCTAACAAATTATATAAGAATTCCCGTTCTTTGGCAATTATTTGGTTCTTTGCTGAGCGAACATTAAAACCAATACTTTTAAAAAAATTTGATGAGGAATTAAATATAGAAGCAAAAAATATAATTAATTCTTTGGAATTTGATCCAAAAATTTTAAAAAATAAATGGGTTGAAGGTTGGGAAGACGTCATGGCAAATGAGGATCAAAAATTATTTTGGAAAGAAACAATTATTCTGGGGCTTCGTGTTTTGACTGCTTTTGAGAGAATGAAAAAAATATATGAATTAAAGGTGATTCTGTATTTTAGAAAAATTTGGGAATGAAATTTAAATGATTCTTTTGTTTTATATGTCTGGGTTTTCCTTTTTTCCGAATTTGATCGGCTATAACTTTTTTATGCTTGAACCAATCCGGATGATCTTATATCTTCGAAAGCTCTCGATGTCTTTTTCCTAGCTAAATGGATCAAGTCTGATCGTCTATTAAAAGATTACAAGTCTATAGGTGCGAAAAACAACGATTGACGATCAGACTTGATCCATCCAGTTGGTAGAAAGAAAGTGCTTATCGAGAGCTTTCGAATGTTAGATGTAAGATTCATCAGGATTTGATCAAGCATAAAAAGTATAGCCAATCAAATCCGGAGAGGAGAAGAAAAGGAGAATGGGGGGGGGGGGTCATATAACACAAGAGTGCCATTTAAAGTTTAATAAATTAATTAGAATTTTAATAAATTTTTCTAATAAATAGGACTTTGCTACCACGGTTATTGGAAAAAGTGAATTTAAATTTGAGACGTTAGAGAACGAAGAAAAATTAATAGAGGATATTTCAGAAGAATTAGAAGAAGCTGTTTTGAAAAAACTTGTTAATTCTTATGAACATAATTAAAGGGAATATTTTAATTCGGAAAAATTTTATTGGAAGGGTTGGATTAAATTAAATAAAAAATTGTTGGTAATTTTAAAAATGAGTATCTAAATTAGAAAATGTGTAATTACCGTAAATATTCTGATATAACTACACTCTCTGAAAGAAGCACACTTTCCAATTAAACCACACTCTACGGGAGGATCGAAAAATATAAGCACAAGTGGTTCTATTGGAAGATTTACGGTAGATAAATACAGTCGGATCTAACTTTTACTATATACATACACTTTTAGAGGTTGAAAGATTGTTTGTAATCGAGTTTAGTAATTAGTTGGGGGATCTTTTATGAAGCTTCCTCCACCTGCAGCTAACCGAAGTAAACAAATGTAGATTAAATTGAAGTGTAAATATAAGAGATCTAGCCGACATAGGGAATTCCTGATTTTCGGGAACCGGGTCGGCTAGAACCCTTGTAGGTTGTTTGATTGTTTATAATCAACAATCTTCCATTTATTGTGTGTATGCAAATTAAAGGTTCCGACTGTGAATTAATCCAACCCTTATTATAAAGTAAAAACATGGTTTGTAAATTTATTATGTAGTTGGTACTTTATTATTTAACAAATAAAAGTTTAGAAAAAAATTTTTTTATCAATAAAAATAAAAAATTAATCAAAGAATTCCGTAAATTAAAGCCTGAAACTTTAATGTAAAATATATTTTAAACGTTGACAAACTTGGTGGAAGGTGGAAACGTTGAGCGAAATAAAATATAATAAATTAATAAAAAATATTAAAGATCTCGTCCAACCAAATTCAGGAAATAAAACGTGTATATGTAAATTAAGACGGCGGTAAATTAAGACGGAGTTAATTCAAATCGGAAATAAAAAAAATAAAAATAATTTTAAAAGGGCATTTGTTAAACAGGAAAATAAGTGCATTGGACTTTTACTTTTAATGTGAAAAGGAAATAGATTTCGATATTGAGAAAATTTTAAAAGGGGAGGGAAATGTTTAAAGGAATGAGAGGAAATACCTCTAATAAATTAAATTTCAAAATAATTATTTAATTTAAATATTTAAGAAAGGGAAATTAAGCGAATTTAATTATAATTAATATTTTATTTAATTATATTAAAAAATTTTAATATAGCCGGGGACCTCATTTGTAGACACATCCAATACTAGACAAATTTCTGATTCAGGATAAATTATTAATTTGTTTAGGCATTGAGAGGAGGAGCTTCTAAGCAATAGAGATCGAGCTGGGTCTGGACCAAGGCCTGGGATTTTCCTCTACCCAGAGTCCAGGCCCAGGCATTTTTTTACCTTCCTGGGTTTTTCCTGGGGGTTGTCCTGGACTAGAGGCCCAGGATCCGGCCCAGGTCAATAAATCAACCCCGGCACCCAGGAACAGGCCCAGGCTTTTCAAAAATCCCGATCTCTAATATGCAATATCTTCTTTAAAATATTCTAGCAACTCCCTTTCTAATTAAGTTTACTCCCCTCTCTAATTTAACATCCCGTTATTCCAAATAACTTTATTAATTACAAATTTTAAAAATTCAGTTGAAAAATTATTTATTTAGAAAATAATTTCAAATCAAAAATAATGAATTCTTCCCAATTTTTTAACAAAAAACAAACATTTTTATTTTTAATTTTTGTTTCTCAATTATTTTTTAATTGTTCTTCAACAAAACGTTCCCGTTCAGACATTGTTGCACCCGCAATTCCTTTTTTGGGAACAGTAACTCCTTGTGTTGACTCTGATGGAGTACCAATACAATGGCATGTTAGTGTTAAATGTGTCAAAGGATGCAATGAAATTGTTAATTTTTAAGTTAAAACGAATTTAAATCCAAATTTTAGGCCAAAAAGCGTGGATATAGTGATTTTACTATAATTACAAAAACTCCTCATGGGGCTGGCTTTATCTTTAATTTGGTTCCAGGTGTAAAAGATGATGGAACTGTTAAAAGAATAAGGAAAATAATTGTGAGAATTGAATCTACTAGAGAATTGGCTGGACAAAAAAGGGTATGTTATGAATTGAATTATTAAAGATTTTGCTATTAAAAAGATAAAAAATGATAAGAAAGATTTTTAAAAAATTAATATGCCAATAATATGTAGTAGTTTAAAATAGAATTGGCCGGTATCGGGATCACGACAAAAAATCGGTATTTTGGAATGATGATATCGGTCTCGGTATCGGGATTCCAAATTTTTTGCTAATACCGCAATCCCGATACCGATCAGTATCGGTATCAGAAAAATCAGTATCGGGATTTTAAAAACCGGTTATACCACCCGATACTAAATTTATGGTCGATTAATACAGGTTCCAAGACTGCTCTTCCAATTTCTAGACTTTTCAGTTTTTTAATCAAAGTTATTATTAAAAAAGTTTTGGGACATTTGATCTTGAAACCTACGACTTATCTTGGATTTTCTGGAGTTCAATATTCTTGAAAATCCCCTAGTTAATTCAAAAATGAGATTTTTGGAAACCCAATTAAACAATTAAAAAATGTTTATTTTAATTAATTTAAATATATTTTTAAAGGCAAATACTTGGACTTTGGAATATCCAAATTTCGATAAAATCCACAAATTCACCTTTGGACATTTCAACCCAATTCCAAACAGTCAAAGAGGCCTTTCTTTAAATATTAAATTTACAATTCCAATAGATTCTAGTTTATTAATAAAAATTAAAAATGAAAGGAAAATGGTTTTTACAGCAATAGTTCATGATAAAAACAAAAATGAACTTTCAAAAAAAGATTTAAACGAAAATGAATGGATGGGAATTGAACAAATTGAAATGATATTAGATGAAATTAAAATTAAAAATTATTTAAAAAAGAATAGAGAACATTCAATGATTTTTAGTGTTTTTGTGGTGAATTTTTGAAAATATTTAAATTATTTTTGAATTTCGAATTATAGGTACCAACAGTTGTTTGTTCAATTTGCGGGCAAAACAAAAGGTCCCTCGGGAAACTTCGTTTATTGCCTGGTTGTGATGTATGTTTTATTTGTTTATTGATAATAAAATTGGAATTCTTTGAAATTTTCGGCAAAATTTGGCAATTTATTTGCAATGAAATAATAATTTTAAATTATTATTTTAATATTTTTGATATAGAATTCGATTTTACGTATATTCTTAGGGACAAGAAGAAACGAGGTTACCTAAAATCGAATTTTTGGGTATATTCCTTCAGTATCTCGCCCTATCCGGTACTTTCTAAATTAAAAAAATCGTATCTAAATTCAAGTACTCAGTAATCTAATATTTTATCTATGTATGTAGTAATCAGAGCTGAGCAAAATCTAAAAATAAAAAGCGAATCGCGCTGAA